TTTTGGTCTCTTTACGGGCGATGCTGCCAAGCTATTAAATTTGCTAGTTGTTTCTTGCAGCGATTTTTTTAACTGAGAAAAGAGTTACTCTTTTTTCACGCTTGCAGCGTAACTATCTCTTAAAGAAATCTGTAAAGACCTTGAGATTCTGTGCTAAATGATCCAACTTTTTGTTCACAAATGCAAGCAGAAACCGCGTGAACGTTGAAATCTAGTTTCGTGAGCGCGATGCTAATCGAACATCAATTTGCCGGATGGTGCTTATTTATCCTGGTGTTAACCTAATGTCGAAAACGTTTCGTTTTTACTTTTTCATTTATTATTTCCTGATAAATGGCTTATATTCATCTATATTTTTATCATTCTCTGCTGTAATTAAGAACACTGCACGAGGCCGGCTAAGGGAAAGCAACATTCAAAAACTTTAAAAAGCCTCAGGGATATTTTCGGAACACAAGAAGCTATGACGGAGTACTTATTGGCTGTAATTATAAAATCAGTGAACTAATTTACCTTTTAGGCTTTAGATTTCACATTTAGTATCAGGTGACTTTTGATGAAAACAAACTGCGAAAGTTCGGACATTGAGGCAACCACCCACTACCCGTGTACGAACTTCGGCTTCGGAATTTTGTTTTTGTTATTTTCACTGTCGTGAAGCGTTTCTGCGCTCAAAATTGACATCTCTTTTGTATCATGTGTTTGATTATTTATCAAGCGACTGGATATCTCGCTATTGCTAAAGTAGATGCAAAGAAGGCAGCAGGAAGCGTTCCAGCAGGAAATAATCAATCATCAGGTATTTTCAGGATGATAAGTACGCAGAGTGTCAAATAAACCCACGTCTGGTAGGAAATTTGCGCCCACGGATCGCTGTAAAACGTAAGCAAGCCTTGATTCCCACACGGAATTTCGTATTATATCGTATTATGTAGCAATTTTTGTAACCTTAAGTAACGCAAGTGGGAAATTCTGTGAAAGCTTTAAGAACAGCACTAGCTCAGAATGGCAGAACACAAAGTTAGAACCGATTTCAACAAAAAGATAATTCAAATGACTTTGAGTTCATTGTGACGATGAATACCTGCTGGGAGGTTATTAATGACAGTATAAATCAGTCTGATATAGAGTAGCATATGTAGAGCCTCCATTCTTGATTTTCTTTTGAAGTATATCTTGCATGTGAACTAGTCGCGTTTTGTTATCCAAACGGAAAGGATGTGTATTCTGTTGCGCTTTGTAATAAAATTATCGCATATTGTAGCAAGACTTGGTTTTCTTAGACAGAACGTAAGGAGGAGTTGGCTTGTTATTTCGATCATCTTTCAACTTAAAGTTGCAGCCGCTCAAGAAGTTTTTGTCCTTTGAATATATGGATTTGTTATTGTCAAGTACAGTCGGTTTAAAACTCAGAGTTATTATTGTTTATCGCCCACCTCCCTCGACCTTGAATGGTTTAACACCCTCATTGTTCCTTGATGAGTTTTCTACGTTCCTGGAGCACTATATCGCTGATCCCGGTGGAATATTATTAGTTGGTGATTTTAATATACATGTTGACACCTGTTCTTCCCAACACTCAACTGAATTTCTTCAATTGTTGGATTCTTTCAATCTTACTCAACATACACATGGCTCAACGCATAAAGATCGACACACCTTAGATCTTGTGATTACAAGATCTGATGATAGTATTGTTTCAAATTTGACAATTGGTTCTCCTTTTGTCATCTCTGATCATGCTGCTGTTCACTTCCAGCTCTCGCTTAATAAGCCGCCGCTCGACAAGAAGATTATTTCATTCAGAAAGCTTCGATCTATTGATTTTGATAATTTCTGTGCTGATGTTATGAATTCGAGCCTTCCTGATCTTTTTTGCCTCGTCATCGTCATCCTTGGATTATTTGATTGATCAATATAACAGAGTCCTTACTACCATACTTGAGACTCATGCTCCACTGCAAAAAAGTTAGTTACTTTGCGTCCCGCTGCACCTTGGTATTCTGAGGAGATAAATAATTTAAAGAGATCCCGTAGAAAACTTGAACGACGCTGGCGAATGACAAAACTTCCTTCTGATCGTAAGTTGTTTATTGAGGGATGTGATGCTGTCAACAACTTAATTCGTGATTCCAAGAAGAATTATTTCGCATCATTAATCAATGAGAATCAGTCAAATTATAAACAGCTTTTTAAGATAATTGATAAACTACTACAAAGGAAAACAGATATTCAATATCCCCCTGCAAATCGCCCACTGATCTTGCTAACAAGTTTATTAAGTACTTCACTACAAAGATAGATAGAATACGGGGTCATATAACGACTGCTGCTTTCCCTCATCGAGATACAGTTGCTGTTGTTGACAACGCCTGTCCACATTCTTTTGATATTTTCAAAATGGTAACAGCGGATGAAGTTCATACATGTATCATGAATCTGGCTGCTAAGTCATGTGCTCTTGATCCTCTTCCTGGTTATGTTACAAGAAATGCACTTAGTGTTCTGTTGCCTTTCATTTCCAAAATCATAAATATCTCATTGGAATCTGGTCAGATGCCTTCGCAACTCAAGGTTGCAATGTTACGCCCGCTCCTTAAGAAATCTTCTTTGGATCATACTCAATTCTGCAATTATCGTCCGGTATCGAATCTTTCATTTATTAGCAAAGCAATTGAAAAATTGGTAGCTAATCAACTTATCTCCTACATTAACGATTATGAGTTAAATGAGACATTCCAGTCGGCGTACAAGAAATATCACAGTGCTGAAACTGCACTTATTCGTGTTCACAATGATATTCTTTCTGCCATTGATAATCGTCGAATCGTAATTTTGCTGTTGTTAGACCTTTCCGCTGCCTTCGATACAGTCGATCATACCATCCTCCTCTCTCGTTTACGTGTACGGTTTGGGATAGCTGGGAAGCCTCTATTATGGTTGCAATCTTATTTATCGAATCGCACGCAATATGTCTCTGTTGATGGTGGTACTTCGACGAAACATGACCTTAAATGTGGAGTGCCACAAGGATCGGTTTTGGGACCCATTTTGTATTTGCTTTATACTTCACCGCTTTCAGATATCGTAAAGAAATTTAACCTGAGCTATCATTTTTATGCTGACGACTCACAGCTTTACTTGTCTTTCCAACCAACCGTACTGGGTGATAGGGATCTAGCGGTTTCTAGCATCGAGAGCTGTGTGGATGAAATCAGTCATTGGATGATGGTTAATCGTCTTAAATTAAATAAAGACAAAACTGAATTATTGGTAATTTCCGCTAAACATCTTCCAAGACCACTCCTTCACGAAATTTCAGTTGCTGGTGAGACTATTCCTTCCGTGCAAAAGGCGAGGAATATCGGCACTATGTTCGACAGCCATTTTTGCTTTAAGGATCATATTACTGACATTTGTAAATCTTCATTTTATCATTTGCGAAATATTAGCTATATCAGGAAATATCTTTCAGCGACCACTACTGAATTGCTGGTTCATATGTTTGTATCTTCGAAGCTGGATTACTGTAATTCCCTTTTGTATGGCCTACCAGCCTACGCTATAAAAAAGGCTACAACACGTTCAAAATGCCGCGGCGCGCCTCGTCACACTTACAAAAAAAACATGATCACATCACGCCTGTTCTTTTCAATCTTCATTGGCTTCCCGTTAACCAACGTATTATTTTTAAGATTTTACTTATAACCTACAAGGCACTTAACAACCTGGCACCGTCGTACATTTGTGATCTGCTTACATCTTACACCCCATCGCGTCAACTACGCTCATCATTCAAGCACCTTCTGGTTTCTCCATCAACGTAAGGAGACCCACTCATCGCTATAACCATCATCAATGATGATAAAAAGATACTGATAAAAGTAATGATTGTGACAGTGATGATAATAATAACTGCTATTCATCATGATATGCACAACCCGAGCACCATATCGCAAAATAATTTGTGCAAATCCTGTCCGCAACAAAATGAATTTCCATCCTTAGAATATCCTTGGGCTATTGAAAGAAAGAAACTCTTTCGACTTACGGATGTTTAGGAGGTTACTTTACACAACTTTTCTCTCCAGAGCGCATGTGAAGAGGACCGTTTCCAATGTAGTGATCATAGTATATGCGTTCTCAACTATCAAGATGACAGCGTTCGATGCCAGTGTAAGCATGGCTTCACAGGAAAACCTTGTGGTAGGTATATATCTCTTTGCTTAGGCATGGAAAAAGCCTCGATTATCATATGAAAAAGTCAGCTTGAATAGGTTATTTTTTTCTTCGCAATAGAACGAAAAAGCTGCTCCCAATTGTTTCAAGATGGATTTAATTCTAGTGGCGTGTACACCATCAATCCAGATGGAGGCAAACCAATCCAAGTGTTTTGTGACATGATCACAGGTGGTGGAGGCTGGACCGTTTTTCAGAAACGCTTGGACGGCTCTGTTGACTTCTATCTTAAATGGGAATCCTACAAAAACGGCTTCGGAAATCTGAAAGGAGAGTTCTGGCTTGGAAACGACAATCTTCACCGTTTAACAGCCGCTGATGACGTTATGTTGAGAGTTGATCTAGAAGACTTTGAAGGGAACATCACGTACGCTGAGTACACGAATTTTAATGTTGCAGACGAAGCTGACAAGTACCGGCTTTTTGTTGAAGGATACAAGGGCACTGCTGGTGACTCTATGACGGTACATAGGTAAGAAAGGAATTCAGGTTGATTGAGAGATAAACAAGGACGCATCCAAACCAGTCGGTAGACACTTGAATCTCCCTAATCATTCTAAACAACACATGGCAGTTTGCGGCCTTTTCTCTGCCGCAAAACACTAGAACAAAAATTTATCTTCCAAATCGGCACTCATAATCCCCACGTTATTACCGTGCGCTTTTCATTTAACTAATTTATTCTTGTTCTCTAGTCACCATATTCCCACCTAGAGCGTAGCTCCATTCTCTGAATATTGACCCACATACTACCCACAACTCCTCCTATCGCTCTGACGAAGGGCTAACGCTCGAAACGTCTTCTCTCTATCCTGTTCTATCGAGCTGACTGGTTTCATCGTTCCTTATCATGAGAGAAACTCCGGTATCAACATAGTGTCAACAGAATAGAGGCATCCTGTATTGAAATTTAAAGATACGACAGTGGAAACAGAAACCATAGATTGTTTAAACGAAAGAAAGAACATTTGACGGACTAGGCGATTGAGGTTTAGAGTGATTAAATGCTGAAATAGAAACAAAAAACGAAGTAAAGATCCTATTGCAAAATAAGGAAACGGCCTTTCCGCACTAACGGGCAAAACTAGAATTGTTCCGACAAAATCAAAGGACAAATTTTGTCATGTAAAATGTTTGCTTCGTCTGTCGCATCCGCATCAAAAAAAATTTCTAAGCCGTCAAAAATTCCGTTAGCGCCTGATGTGTTCATAAGACCGGCCAGCTTAGTTTGCCAAAGGATTAAACCTCCAATCTCCAGGATTTGTCCAAGTCATTTTAAAATTTTAGAGTCCCCGGGCTTTGCAACAAAAGATAATTATTGCCCTTCTACTATACTGATTTCAGTTCAATCATACGCTGGTCGTGGCATTTACGACAAATGATCGACAAGTTTATCACGGTTTTGTTTATTTAGTCGATTTTGTCCAATTTTTACCCAGGACAAATCTTTTTTCGGCAGTACATTTGAAGATTTGTCAGGTAGAGACAAACCATCTGCACTTGGAAAATGCTGATGATGACAGGAAAAAACCAACTCGCTGGTGCGGAAAGGCCCTAACTTTACAAACGCAAAGAACTAATAAACCAAGAGACTTTCGTGAGCCTCAAACAAACTTCATCAACGTACACTTCTAGTAATATGTGTCCTAGTTGTTATTAGTTTGTACAGATAACCATCCAAACTAGCTTTAAAGCTGAACTTGGTCAGCCTGTATAAATATCGTGAATAAATTGATAAACAACCATTGCTTTTTATGTGTCTAAACATGTTGAAAACAAGCTTGCATGAAATTTGATTTCATTTCAGCAATATGAGGTTTTCTACGAATGATCAAGACAATGATTCAAATGACAATTTTCACTGCTCACAACGCTACGAGGGAGCCTGGTGGTACGTAGCCTGCCATAGCTCCAATCTGAACGGATTGTACCTCAATGGCTCTCACGTGTCTAATGCTAATGGGGTCAACTGGCATTCTTTCAGAGGCCATCGTTACTCACTAAAACGCACCGAGATGAAAGTGAGAACCAAAGTATAAGACAATGTCTATCCAGGATAACGCACTAATCAAATCGAGGCTTCAACACCCCCCAGGCCACACACGGGCATTTCATTGTCGTTCTTTCCAAAGGGTGAGGAACTTGAACCTTGCCCGGGTGGGGTGGGCAATTTGTCCGAACCTGCCAAGTCCTTCTAACGGAATACACGTGTTTTATCTTTTAGTATGGAGCTGTTTAAAGGTAGAGTTCACTTTCGCAAAAAGATGGCTAAGAAGAAGGGTTTACAAGAAAGTTACAGTCGCTGATCTTACTTCTTACAAAAAAACTGTGTTTGAACACAATTTTGGCCCCAGGGGACGGGAATTTGAAGAAGCCAGTCTTTAAAAGTTCAAATGCCCGGAGAGTTTCGGGCGGGGGGGATGTTGAAGCTTTTGAATTGATTGACGCTTTAACCAACAAGAAAACGATTTGAACTGAAGCCCGCGCTAAACCTAAGGTAGCAAGTTGATGCGTATATATGATGACACCACTAAATTGAATTTTGTTAGTAGCTTCAATGCAATTTTTACCATTGAATTAGTATTAAGGTGTAGCTTAAAGTAAACGATACCATAATCTTTTTCAAAATAAAAACCGTCTGTTGCATCCATGTTTTGTTATTCACCAAAATTTAAAAAGCCTTGGACCTACTTTGAGTGCAATAGAAAGTATCTATTTTACCTGTATAGTCCTCACAGTTACTTACTGCGATTTACTATGGGACACATGCTCCCCATCATCAACGCTAGAGCTCGAGTATATACATGAATGTGCTGCTAAAGTCATACATAGACTGCCTTGGGGCACTCAGGATGTTTTATCCTTGACTATGTGGGATTCATATTTAAATATGTATGAAACTGGGTGATTGCTTTCATTTATATACAGGGTACATAATGATATGGAGGAAGATGATATTGTGTCTTTTTAATTAGATCTAGAGTAGTAGTTCTAATTATAATTTATGCAACTCCCCAAGTTTTAAATTACCTCATCTTAACGTAGATTTAGGGGGAATCTCTCTAGGATGTAGAGGGCTTTTCGCCCAGAATATAACTGACAACATGTTATTTCAGAAGGAAGCCTTTACAATCTCGAATAAATACCAAGATTACATTTATTATTGACTACTATTTACAAACATTTTGATTTATTTAGAACTTTTGACTAATAGAGTATTGTTGTATGTCGTACATGCAAGTCCATATCAGCTCTGTTGCTTTTAACTTTTTAACATATGTTCAATAAAGTATTAATTGATGTTCATTGATTTATTGATTGACCAAATCATAAAGCGAAAGTTTCAGTACAGCAACAAGATGGGTGGAAAACAAAATGAAAATCAGTTGTTAATGGCATATCCACCAGCAAATTGGGGTCACAAATTGTAATGTTTCTTTATAGTTGAATTGGGGCGGTCGGCCGTGTCAGCTTTCACGCTTCCCTCGCCCCCTCACCCCCACCCCCTTCTTATTAAGCGTGTAAATTTTCCTCTTGAAAATAGTCTGTCGGGGTCTTACTAAGGTCAATAACGTTTCCCGAGTATCCATGTCACCAATAACATACCATAATAGAACATTTTACAAAATTGGGGGCACACGAGATTTAAAAGGAAAAACTAGAGGAATATAACGAACTCCCTTCTCTTGAAGGGAGCTCCCTTAGCTATTCGAAAACCTTCCTACTTTGTTTTGCTTTGTTTTGTTTTTTAGTTACTTATTTTTTAGGGACTTTTTATGTGAAGTTTTCTTCAAAGTGGTTACATTCGTTTTTATGAAATAAAGGAACTAAAAAAACCTGTAAGATGTGCTCAGTAAATAGTTGCTGCGGAAACATTATCGCGAAATAGAATGATCATCATACTGTAAAAAATAATATTAGTAATAGAGATGTTTTAATTAGTTATAAATAATATAATATAATCATTGACCCTTATCTAACTAAATTTCTGATTGCTTTATACTTTTATGTGGCGTATAGTTCCCATCTCACGCAATTAAGTTTTTTGTTTTGAAAGCTTTAAACAGAAGTGCCTTACTATCATTTTAAAATTCATTTGTTTGTTGGACGTGGATTTTTTGCACAAAAATGAGCCCCGCGATATGGCTAAGTTGGCTTGAAAACAGTCAACTATCAAAATTGTCTCACTTCTTATTCCCTTTATTATCTCCGAAAACTTGTAGGCGTCCTTGTATAAAAAGAATTCTTCAACTGTCGACCAATCGAAGAAAATAATCCATAAGGTTTTCTTAAACTTTTACTTCAAAGCTTGCATCAGATGAAAGTAAAAGGGAGTTTTTTTTTAATCGATAAACTATTCATTCGATGATTTAGACCGTTTGGACTTTTTCCTTCTGTTTTCGTGGAGATACTTCGTAAATACGCGTCCGCTTCACTGTAAATCTTGCATGAGCTCATCATACTTTAGGTTGCCTAAATTTGAGTCTCATTCAAGTTAAAACGCCTCGAAATATAATACACAGCGCTGTTAAAACGGTGTACGATGATATTCCAGGTAAACTTTAACAACTTCAAAAACAACATACCAATCCAATTGAATTATAATAAGTTCAAATTAGTTCAACAGATCCCGTAATGTTATTCTTTAACACTATGCAAATTTTGGCTCCCCATCCTTTCTTCCGAATCTGCTTAGCTGCAACGTCTGCACAGAAGGAGAAGCTTTCGAAGTTACTTATTATTTCTGAATGAAAATTGTAAACTAATATTTCCCATCGCCGATTATCAAACAGGACACTTAAGCTAACCACACTCAAGGCACATGGAAGCCGAAAAGGGACAATCCAAAAATATTTTGCAAATCCGAAAAAATATTCAGAATCGCTATTTAGACGAATCGCTTTTGAAAAGGTTGTCAAATTGAGAAAACAATTTCAAATCCTGGTTTAATTTATAGATCCACAAATAAATTTCACGAAAATCGAAAATAGTTTACAATCCAAGAGTCTTTCCTTACTCCAGAAAATTTTCGCAAATCGAGAAAAATATTTCAAAGGATTGTCCCTTTTCTGCTTCCGTAATAACAGGTAATTTAATGTTAACAACTGAGTTGAATACGTAAATTGGGCACCGTAATGAGTTAGAAGGCTGACGTGTCGAGCGTTAGCCCTTCTTCAGAGCTCTGACGAAGGGCTAACGCTCGAAACGTCAGCCTTTTAACTCATTACGGTGCCCAATTTACGTATTCAACTCAGCTGTTAACATTAATTTACCGGAAATTAAAACCAGCTTAGCAGAAAGTTAACAAAACATTTTGTCTATGCTGTTTTATTCTCGCAATTTTCTTGCGCCCTGGTTATCGAGTTGGGATATAGAACGAAATAACTCATTCCTTTTATCATACTCTTTCTGACAGTGAAGACTAAACATGCATCTCAGCATAATATCTCTTCTTGGCGCCATTGCGCCTAGATCTAGAGTAGTAGTTCTAATTATAATTTATGCAACTACCCAAGTTTTCAATTACCACATCATAACATAGATTTAGGGAGAACCTCACTAGGATGTAGAGTGCTTTTAGCCTAGAATATAGCCGTCATCATGTTATTTCAGAAGGAAGTCTGTACAATCTCGAATAAATACCAAAACTACATTTATTATTGACTATTATTTACAAACATTTTGATTTATACTTTAAACGGTTGATTAACAGAGTTTTGCTGTATGTAGTACATGTAAGTCCACATCAGCTTTGTTGCTTTTAACTTTTTAACTTATGGTAAATAAAGTATTAATTGATGTTCATTGATTGGTTGATTGACCAAATCATCAAGTGAAAGTTTCAGTATAGCGACGAGATGGGTGGAAAAGAAATGAAAGTCGGTTGTTAATGACACATATATCAACAAACTCTTGGCATATTATTATTATTATAATATTATATTATTATTAAATATATGTGGGTCACAAGTTGTGATGTTTCTTTATAATTGGATAGGGGCGTGTCAGTTTTCATGCTCCCCTCACCCCCTCACCCTCTCGCCCCCACCCAACCCCCCTCTTATTGAGCGAGTAAATTGTATTCTTGAAAATAGTCTGTCGGGGTCTTACTAAGGTGGATAAATTTTCCGAGTAATGAAGTCGCGAATAATATTACACAATAAATAGTTAGGGGCACAAGAGATATTAAAAGGAAAAACCACAGGAGTATAATGAGCTCTCTTCTCTTGACGAAGGTTTTGTGTTCCCTTATCTATCGGAAAACCTTCCTACTTTGTTTTCCTTTGTTTTGTTTTTTAGTGTCTTATTTTTTTCTTGAGACTATTATTGTAAAGTTTTCTTCAAAGAGGTTACATTCATTTTCATGGAATAAAAGCAGCCAAAACAGCTTGTAAGACGCCCTGAGTAAATGGTTGCTGGGGTAACATCATCGGGAAATACAATGATCATCATTCTGTAAAACTAATAATAGTAATAGTGATGTTTTTTTATAATAGAAATGTTAATAATAAATAGTTATAAATAGTAAATGATAAATAATGATATGGCAATGAAAACAATGCTGATATCGACATTGATGATACAAAATAATAAGAATGATGATAATTTTTTTTCTTTTTAAATTTAAAAATGTTTTTCTTAGTTTCCCTCAAAAGTACCTACAATCAGCAACAGCATTGTCGACACATTAACCTTTTTAACTCCATGTTACTTTAATTGCATCTCTTTTGGTCTTCTTCGTTTAACCTTTACGTCGCCATCCCTCCAAAACAATGTTGTATTGTGATTCCATGAACTTCAAGAGTTACAAACAGGACAAAAATGAATGGGGGAAGAGGTCTTTTCATTGATTTAGAGTGTGGTAGAAAAAGAGTGTTACTCTACACATAAATGGAACTCTTAAAGGATGATGCATCAACCAAATTTGACGTTAATTGTAGATTTAACGAGGGAGATTTCGATGATGATAATGACACCGCTATTCTGTTTTGGTGGCGTTACCACTCAGTGTATATGAAAATGGTCTTAAACGATCATTTAACGGTCTTATGATCGGTACCTACCGCTTAAAGCATATAATTGAATTAGAAATAGATCCACTTCCCTATGATAAGGAGATTCCTTAAATAATCAAAGACATTTAACGATCTTGTGATCGGACCTACCGCTTAAAGTATAGAATTAAATTGGGAATAGATCCACTTCCCTATGATAAGGAGGTTCGTCATCATTCGTCTCCTTTATGTTTCAATTTTCACCTCTACTTTTTGCTTTCGTTTTTCCAACAAAACTTTGGCAACCGCTACTGTTTCTCAGCCAACTTGGCATCCAACCTTTCCAGGGACTGGGAGCCTGAGACGAAGGAGAAGGGTCTGACTCGGGTGGGGGGTCTGATATAGGAGGTCTTTTAGCCGTTGCGATATGGGAGGTCTTTTAGCCGTTGCAATTTTCTACTAAGAAACAATAAAGTTCATACAAGGTACCTGTAAAAATTGATAACTCCTATGATACCAAACAGAGCAGTTTTCAATTGAGTTTTGGAAGTAATATGGGGTGTTCTCGGTTTCATTTTACTTCGCAATGTGATTTTTCCAGAAATCACACGCCTCTTAAACAATCAGATTTAAGCCTGAGACATATCGCGACTTCTTCGGCAGCGTTTACCTGTGCCATGCAAAATTTACTTGGTTTCACTTTAAGTTCTCACTCATAGCCATTCCGGTAGACCATTTTCCCACGGAAAGGAGGACCTCTCCCAAACTATATTTATGTATGTTTCGTGTGTAACCTCTCTTCCTACGGTGACATAGCCCACGGAAAATCACTATGGATACATAGAATTTCACATGATATTCCCAGAACCAAGTCGTGGGGTTTGGTAATGGTTTATCCAACCGAGAGCAGTCTGCCAATCGGGAAGCAGCAAATGGTCAATACAGGAAACTGCAGCACACAATGGACCCACTGTTGTGATCTCACGTTGAAATTGCGCCATATTGCCAAACACTTAACAAATTCGAGAGCCTGGGCAAAAAGCATGGCCAACTTTCGCGCTTCGCTATATAAGAACTAAATTTAAGGATTGACATCGGTTAATTATTTGTCTTGTAACCGGAAAATTTTACCACACCGGAAACCCAGGCTGATCCCATCCAATGCCAATTACCCCTTGAGGAAACGTTGGCCAGACTAGATTGTAACCGCATCTATCGACTCCTTGCGGTATTTCCCTTTGCCCTGATTAACTGTTGAGATTACTTTAATTTTTGTTTTCCGACACGCAATGGAAATGTACTCTCCCTCGAGTTTCAAAATTTCAAAGTTTCTGACTTGAGAGAGCCTATCTTTGGAAGATGCCTACAGTAGTGTGGGTATTTAAGTATTTTGGCCAACAATAAGTTAATAAAGAGTCAAACAGGGAGCCAGAACCCTACAAACGACGCCTCAGATATTACAGATTCATCGTTCTTCATGAAAAACCAACCGATGTTCTTTTCTTTAAGAGGCCCATGGATACAAATAAGCAAAGCATATGCTAGTACAACTAGTCACGTTCCACTACAGACACAACTAAACAGCGTGCACTTCTAAAAAAAAGGCAGAATCGCTCCAAAGAAGTAAGATTTAAATTTTGAATTTTAAATAGCGTTTTCGTGTTTCTTTTTATTGCTTTCCTTTCGGACGATTCTCAATCTTATTATCCCCATTCTTGCCCGTGAAGGGTTTGCTGATATGGGCTTTCTTTTTTCGTCTGAAAACGTACATTTTCTTTTTCTTTCTTATGTCACAGCACATTTTGGGACAGGCATCCGAGCACTCTGAGAAGCATGAAGGTTGACACTGTAGAAGAGGACTAGCTAACAATTCAGATAAATGATGCACCATTTTTGCTTTGTAGTCTGCGTCGATATTCTTTAGGGATCTTCCAAGTGGTGGAACTGTTTCTTCGGGTGATTTCACCAAGAGCGGAGATATGTTTTGTCGTTGACAACAATAAATAGGGCATACAGGGATACAGGATGACAAGCAATAAGCTGGGCACTTTGACAAAGGAGGGGATACTGAAAGGAAGGACCCTTGGAAATCTGATCCGTTACTACTTGGAGTCTGTGCCGATGGTTGAGGTGGGTAAAGTGGATGATCTGTTGCTCCTAAACAACACTTTAACGGACAGGAACTGTCACAGTGATAAGTACAGTGCGACGGACACGCATCCGGTGATAGCGATGGCAAATTATTTGGAAGGTATGGAACCTCGCAACAATGTTTTGGACAGCTTGGGAGGCAGTTATCAATACAAGTGCTTGGACAGTTATTCAATGGTGTAATCGATATCTTGCAGCAAAATTTTGGACACGGTGGTAAACAACTGGCACTGCAAGTAGAGGGGCATATTTGAGGAGCTGATGTTGGTTGCTGTGTGGAAAGTCGTGGCAGTGAACAGCAAAATGAAGGACAGAACCGATCACACGTCTCCTGGCACTGATCAGGGCAAAATGAAACTGGAAATATTCTGATTACGCAGCAGTGTTTCGGGCAGGCTGGAAGACAAGTTGTCTTACAAATCGAATGACAAGCGAGTTGTGCTGGCGCAACCGTCGGTTGATACTGTGGTGTACAACAGTTGCTCGGACACGATGGCGCACAGCTGGTCTGACATTGACTTGGACATGCCGCAGCTACTGGCTTGACAACTTTGCAACAATGGCCAGGACATACCTGAGAGCAGCTTATGTGACATTCAGATGGACAGGCTTGTTGTGGTGTACAGCAGTGACTGGGACATGATGGCGCACAGCTAGTCTGACATTGACTCGGACATGCCGTTGATGCTAGCGTGACAATTTTGCAACAGTGAACAGGACATGACTGATGACAGCTTATGTGACACTCAGGCGGACAAACAAGAGGACTTGGCGATAAAGGGTGATCGAGAGTTTGAGGGCAGCAATGATCTGGACAAGCTGGTCCACAGATATGATAACAATGATCTGGACATACTGGGTGCTGTTCAGAGGTCTTACAGCATTTGCTCGGACACGTTTCCGGACAGGTCAGGCCTTTGCTACATTCTGCAGGACAGCTCGCTGGTTCTGGTTTTGGTAACGTGGCTTTGGAAACAGGAAGAATATACGAAAACGTCAGAAGTCCTCTCGTGAAATCATCTACGGTACATGCACGGAGGCTGCAAATGGAAGTTCAGGTCTTAGAATCTTTACTTAAGGAAGAAAAAGCTACTCAAGGTCAAATTCAACAGGCTGGTTCATTCACGAGCTCTAAATTGAACATAGAGGTTTTTCGTATAATGATTAATGATGATCAATCGTGCGCACCTACCTGTTTTAACTAAGAACATAATTATGTACAACTTTAAAATTATATAAATAATATCACTATTTGGAAAGAAATTGTCCAGAACTCTCGTGATATGGAACGAGATTCCAAGTATGAAGTTTGAATTTTGCTCGCGCGCTCTCTATTACTGTAAAGATGTCCCAACAAATTTTGGTCACGATTGTGGGTTAAATATCTACTACTTACCAACACAATGGTGGCCGTCAAAAACAAATCCAGGTATGCAAATGCAGATTCCACGTTTACAGTGAGAGTGGAGTGGACAACCTTGGCAGTCATCCTCTAAAATATTATGCAGAGAAACTTGATTAGGAAAAATTCTTAAATTAGCAAATTCAACTAGCCGTTGAGAATTCTGATGCCTGACCAAAGAAAGCGAGAAAACGCGGGCGACTAAGACGTAATCTGAGTTTTACATCTGATTGGTTGAGAGAGTGGTGCGAGTTTTGTGAGCCAATTACAGAGTCCAGTATGTAAAACCTATGCAATTTTGAATTACGTTTGACACTCAGTTGTAAATTGTTTAAAAAATCTGGATTATCAAAAGCAAATTCAATAAGGTTCAGCTGTTCAACTTACTGTGGCACTGCTGGCCGTTGCCAATGAATCCAGTCTTGCAAACGCACTCGTTGTTTATGCAAGTTGCATTAGGGCTGCAATGATGGCAACGTTTAACTGGATTAATCAAGAAAATCGAATGCGTCAGTGGGTATATCTTACCAAACTCATAACTTAGAATGTTTCGATTTTCTGCTTATTCTTTCCATATACACATGTACCTATCGTCATGCAATTAAAAAAAAGGAAATGCCAGCTACATGTTTAGTCCTGCACAGAGATTTAATACCAGAATAGCGCCTAAAATATCAATCTTTTTGACGTTGCACCACAGTCTACGTACGAGTAAACTTGATTCGAAGATCTACCTCATGACGAGATATTTGAGTTTATCATTTTGCGATAGGAAAGAAACTTTATTGGGAAATTCTGGAAGCAAATGTGCGCTTCTGTATTTGATATCTGCAGATATCCATGTGTTTGGACACGTAAAGGTTAAGTCTGCTAGTTCTCTATATTTGGACACGAAGTTCATTTAGACAAGTTCTAAAAGTCGTGTTACTTTATTTTAATACTATCAAAAACAAATGTAAAGCGATGCTTACCCTTTTTGCATTCAAAACCATCACCTTTGAAACCCACTCTGCATTTGCAAGCTCCCTGAACACATATGGCGTGAATATCACATTGCTCACAGTCATCCACTATTAAGACAAAAGCGAATTGACATGCTACATCGAAGTTGCAGTTTTCAACGACGAAAATGTTATCTTCATGCAGTCAACATTGATTTAAATGGTTTATTGTTCAAAGACGCTGGAAAAATATGGAGAGGAGGAAAAGAACTCTTCTCAGCCTTCATAGCTAATATTAGCTTCTTATTATTAATAGTTATGATATTTTTCCTTTGTTTCATTTCTACTAACTTATTCGTAGAAAAGAAACTTAGCACCCAAACAGAGAAGAGTTTAGAGGGGTAAGTTTCTAAAGAAACTGTGGTGCTGCGTCGGTGGGAGAGTATAACAGGTAATTTAGTGTTAAAAACTGGGTTGAAAACGTAAATTAGCCACCGTAAAGGGTAAAAAAGCTGACGTTTCGAGCGTTAGCCCTTCGTCAGAGCGATAGACGAAGGGCTAACGCTCGAAACGTCAGCTTTTTTACCCTTTACGGTGGCTAATTTACGTTTTCAACCCAGTTGTTAACACTAAATTACCAGAGAAGAGTTTAGTTCCCATTGAATTACTGCGCCGCTTCGAAATATAATCTGGAAATTCTTTTTTATAGTCCCAGGCTCCATGCAATATTAGCGCAACATGCATCTGTCTAGATAAGTAAAATAAGATAAGATATCATGACTTTGGTGTTGATCGCAAATAGGATCCGAACTTAGTGCTGATTTTGAGTTGTAAAATTGCGAATAATTAATTGAGATCACATTTCAATTCATTACGTAATGTTGTGTAAGTAGCAACATGAATATATTCAGTTTTCCATATTATTTAGGTTAGGTTAAGTGAAGTAAGTTAGCAGTTGTGTCTCTAACGATGAAAGGTTTTTCACGTTCCCTTACAAAACGTTGTCCTTCGCTGAAACACAACAACATCATACATTGTATAATCCAGTAGATCATGATTTAAATATTCACTGTTTGAACTTCAACTGTCATACGATATGGTCAAAGTGCTTGTATACCTTCACAATTAACCCCTCTGTACGAGCCGATGCATTTACAAGTGTATCCACTTTTGCTGTCAGTACATTTCCCTCCATGTAGACAAGGATTGGGATGGCAATATGACTTTGCTGAGGAGCGAATATACTCTCGTGGTTCAGTCCACATACAATGGAAATAGAATATTTTTTTAAGGACGGTAATATTATTGAGCTCAGGAAAAAAAATTAAATTAAAAAAGCAGCAACAACAGCAACAACTAAAAACAGTAACATAAGCGCAGTCAAGGGTATGTATAAGCTTGACCTTTAAACCTCGACGATAAATGAAGAAGGGCTACCAGATTCGCAAAAAGTGAGTAAGTCCTCTTAAAAATCGCGGCGCGTAAGTTTGAAGCTGACCTTATCTACTTTGCCACTCTAAAACTGTCGCAGCGAGGGAAGAGACTTTGCGCATCGATAATAAATAAGTATGAAGAAAACGCATTTATACAAACCTGTCACCTCGCACGTTGGCCCTTCAAATCCCATGGAGCACAAACATTGAAATTTGTTCGCTTTTGGAACACAGCTCCCTCCGTTTTTACAAGGCTCGCCTGCACAAGGGTCCGGTATTTTGTGCGAAGGCGGAGCTGCTCCTGTAAAAAAAACATAGATCTTGACGAAAATGTTAGAATGCTCTGATTGAAATCAGCATCCTTAATGTATGCCTTTAAATAGAATTGTGATAGTCTGGTTACGCCTTATGTCTAGGGTAGGGATTGCATGTGGTCTAAATAGATATATTCCTCTGATATACCCGTGTACATTGTATATATCAAAGTAACAGTAATATAAAAAAGCAAACAAAATGTAAGCAAGGAAATAAATGATGGTGCGATAGAAATTTCGATGCTTTAAGATAATAAAAATAGGTGAACTCTATAATGGATTTCTTTCTTTCTTTGTAGATGATGATGATATCTGTTGCCCTGCAAACGCTCTTATAATCACCTGAGCTGCCATTATTTTTTTCGGGTTAACGTGTTTAATGAATAAAAATACGCTTGCTCGAGTTTCTTACTCACTGGTGGATAGCTCACAGTTTTCTCCATCGTAGTCAGATGTACAGACACATCTGTGACCGTTTGCTTCTTCGAAGCAAGATCCACCGTGTTGGCAGGGATTCGGAACACAGAATCTTGGGTTTGAAGCTACAAGAAAACTAAAATGCGTCAAAAAAATAACTGAAAACTTTAATGTTTAGATGCTGAAGATAGATCTGTTTTGGGAGCATGCAACCTAGCAACTAAAAAACCAATTATTAAGTTAAAAATCTTAAGAATGTCTTTGGTTTTTTCTAAATATCAGGTATTCATCCATGTAAGAATGACGCTGCTATTGACAAATACAGGTCCTCAAACACGTACGATCTACATAACTTCATTCTCTGCACCCCGTTTAATGACCTTTGTACACAAATAGTTACTTGGTAATATGGGCCACAGTGTCAGAACATGTAATGTATTGTACATTAAATAACTCGAGATTGTACCAGAAATTACTACTTCTTTGATCACCGTTTCCGCATACCTCCCACACGGAAACATTCTCCCAAAGTCCCAGCTCCGTAATAACCTCCATCACACACACACTTTCCATTTTCACAGTGGGCATGGACATCGCATCTTGCACATTTATCCTCTGTGAAAGAAAAGCCACAGATCAGTTGAAAAGGCAGCGATCCATCCTGATAGAAATTCATGATTGACTTATTGATTAGGCTCTACTCATTCGAAGGATAGATAACGCTATCCACTGGATAAATGTCTATCAGGTTGATAGCACAATAAGTTTTGTTAACACTTATCAGTTGGACAGTGCGTTATCCGTTGGATAGCGCTATCTACCCATCAAACAACCGGGGCCAGATACGTGGTGAATACAACAACAGCTCTAAAAATTCGATTTACGAAAAAAGAGGCTAGAGTCCAAACTCCGTAGAAAATATAGGTTAGACTTGTTATATGAACCACAACATTTTGCTGAAATAAAAATTCCGAAACTTCTTAAAATTCCAAACGCAGGAGTAACAAATTTACGCGAACGAAGAGAAAAGCTGTTTCTTAAAATTGAAAAACCAAAGAGATTTTCTTCACAAGCGGTGAATTTTTTTTAACATAGGCACAAGTAAAAGCAATGTAAATTCATTACTCTACGTGTGTGAGAGAAAAATGGTCACACAAAGCTTCAAAATAAATTTTGTTTGCTTTTGAAACTGTGTTAGGTTTCTTCAAACCTAACAGCTGAGGTACCACTCTCCTCTCAGGATTTTACGCTAAGAAAAACTCATAATAAGTTTCTTCTCGATAACTATAAGGTTTGTGAATCAGTTGTTCAAATTTCACCTTTTTAAACGTGCATGACTGATACCAAAGGTAAGAATGAAGTGCAGTAGATAAATAATAATGTAAATAGAAACTGAGATGGAATCATACTTGAGGAAATGTATAGCAATTGTTATTGTGTACTTGATAGATGAAGATGAACAAAGGAGGATTCTTGCCATAATACAGATACCTGCACATGTGAAGCCTTCAAACCGTTGGGTACACAGACAAACATAGGACTTCGCCTTCAAGTGGCAGGTACCGCCATTTTTACACGGATTTGGCTCGCAGGCACTGGCTTCTAGGGTTCGTAAGGAAAAAAAATAATCATTTGATCAGTTTTTAGCCCTTACAGTAAACTTTAATTACAAATGTGATAACTGCCTCACCTTCGCAGTTCTCCCCATTGTACCCCTCTCTGCATCTGCATATGTAGCCGCCTACAACTCCTCCTTCGATGCATGTCCCACCATTCTCACAGGGATTTCCCAGGCAAGGGCTGACATCTTGAAGGAGATAATTTGCGGAATGTTGATCATTTATAGTTAATCTTAAATATTCAGGTGTCATTTCTATGCATGTGTCATGTAAATATAGAGACGTGCACGAGAATGCATAACGCCGACATGCAACCTGTTGGAGTTCCAGCGAAAATGCAAAAAGTTCGCTTACATGACAAAAAAGCAAACGAATCAAGGTAAAAGCAAATCCAGAAAATCGTATATGTCAATTAGCCTTTGCCAATTGCCTCACAGGTCCTCCTTGAAGTATACTGTTTCCCCTTCATGTTTGGAGATTTTTTTAATTTCTTGATTTCTTTTACATATCTTATACTTCTCACACCTTCTCCTCGATGTTCCCATATTCATTTATTCTCCATCATTTTCGTGTTTAATGTAAGTTAAGCCACCTGAGATATTTCATTTTTCTCGCCTCTTCTGGCGATGTGTGTTTATTTATTTTTTTATTTAAGCTTCAGATTTTAAGTAATCAAATCACCCAATATGTATGTGTAATAATTAACTGGCAATCATATCCATCTCAGAAAAGCCTTACGTTTGCACAATGGTCCCATGTAATGCTCAGCGCAATCACAAGTGAATCCTTTTGCTGTTTCATGACAAGAGCCACCATTATAGCAGGGATTAGGATGACAAACATTACTCAAGGGGGAGCCTGTAAGGAAAAAAAAGGAAAAAAGAAAAAAAGAAAAAAAGATATTGCAATTATTGCAGCTTTATAAACCTGTCTTTACCTAACATACTCTACAATGACCGTGGATAGACCATGATGGTCACTAAAAATCAACAACTACAACAGCAAATCAAAACTGCAGATAAATAACAAAGTCGTAATCCATTTTAGACAGTGCTTAACGTAAACAATGATACAACAACTGAACTGTCGCTAACTGCCTCACGGACTTTAAAGGAAACGATCTTATGGGTCGATATATATATATATATATGGCATTTTCGAGATACCCAAAGTCACAGTTTTAGTTCAAGTCCAATCGCGAAACCTTTTATTAAAAAGCAAATTTAATTCCTCTTGAAAATGAAATGAGTGTGAAGAATTTGCGCTTGGCCTCACCTTGAAAGTGAGGGATTTGGAGCTTGGCAATGATCTATTTTTCAGCTTAACCATCTTTACCTCGTGGTATGAGGTTACTCAAGCTATAATATTTATGTGTGTATCTAAAAAATTCAATCTCTTATTCATTCACTCACTCCATTCTGATCTGTTAGACAAAGATTTTGTGCATTAAACATGGATGAACGCGTTATTTTTTAATTACTTTCAGGGACTTGTCAGAAACTAGCAGGGGGGGAGGGGGGTGGAAACAGAGGGGGGGGGTCACAACTTTTTGAGCCTCAGAAAAGGGAGGGGTCATGAAAAATGGGCAGTTAAAAGGGGGAGGGTCATGCAAATATTTGCCCGTGATCATGTAGAGGTTCACCCACAGAAGAAAAAGGAAGTTCTTTATTTGGAAGAGGTGGATGATCATGATGAATGTGAGGTAGATGAAGGGGATGAGGCATTACCCACTTGTTCTAGTGATGAAGACTTTGTATTGGGAGAAATAGGAGAGTCGAGTGATCAGTCGGACTCTTAATGCTGTCGTCGAAAATGTGTGTATGTAGCATGACAAAGAACAGATTAGAAATATATTTTGAGTTTTCATAATACTGACGCACCCTTGTGTATTGCAAGAACTAGATTTTATCATTTATACAAGAGGGGGAGGGTCATGATATTTTAGGCCAAGCTCAAGGGGAGGGTTAGAAAATTTCACTCCCATTGCAGGGATGGGTCACCTAATTTCCTAACCCAAATTTAAAATTCCCAGCCCCCCTCCCCCCCTGCTAATTTCTGACAAGTCCCTCATGATCAACAAATTTTCGATCTCCCTCTGTGTCTTGTCATGAAAAAAATTGATGCACATCGAAAATGAGTTTTTTCGATTGTGTTGCCTGATCTAGTAGATGACAGTTGAGACTGCCGTTTCACAACCTGAGAAAAGGACATCAACAGAGTTAGGAGGTTCTTCTCAATTTGTCGAAGCGGCAGTCACTTGTTCCCATTAACAACAGTCTTTTAGAGGACTACTTTTCCTCAGACAATCAGACTACAGGATCAACTATTACTACTCGGTTCAAATCATTTAGTGTACTACTCAATCAAATTTACCTGTAATCACGTGAAGACTAGTTGGCGGCGCGGTTGGTGTGTGCTCACTGATCTCCGTAACTTTCAACACTACAAAATACAGATTTCTGTTACAATGCCTTTCGCTTACCGTGTATATATTGTGAAAGAAGTTCGTTATGAGATAATTTCAAATGAAAATTCCTATTATTTTTTTCTTGATCATTTAAGTGGTTTTTCCCATGGCTCTCTCTTATATGTTGGTAGATCCGGCTTTTTTTTTCGGCTGGTCTCTTTGCCTGCTTTTTGGTTTCACTGTTATCTTTTTCCTTGAACTTACTTTTTCTTTAACTGATTTTTTTTCGTTCTTAACAGTTAGCTATCTTCCTCCCCGTTTATCGGATTTCGTGTGCACGTGTTTGGATGCAGGCAAAGATGGATAAACGCTGTAAAACTGCCATTTTATCACCCAGCTGCGCTTCTTCTTACTTCTATGAACACATTTACAACAACCAGCTGGGGAACTTTGAATTATAACCGAGCGGAAACCAAGCTATGCCATTAATCCCAATTAAATCTTGAGTATCATACAGATCATTGTTCTTTTCGGAGATTCTGAACAATCACGAAAAGTAATTATGTGCTGCTTGTTAAATTCCTTTGGACAACTAACGGGTTGTTTTAATGCTCCCACCGAAATATTCGAGCAACGCGCGAGTTGAAGTTGGCATTATTCCCTGTAGAATAGATATCTTGCATTGAATTAAGTAATGTTACCAATGTTAAAGATTCCATAGGAGGGGATAAGTTCTCTGAGCTTAATCCTCTTTTGCTATATTCAAACTTCAGAAAACAAATTTTATAAATACCTTCACATACATTGCCGTTTCCGTCGTATCCTTCTTCGCAAACACATTTCCCATCAAGACATCTGGCGTGCGCATGACAATCGGCACACAACACAGGAACGGCCGTCATTTTGACTGAACCTAAAGGATGAAAATAAAAAGATTCAATTTGTTTTAAGATATAGAAAAACTGTCCGTTAATATCCCAATGAAATACTTACAAATAAACACTTTCTGAGAACCGCCTTAACTACTGTTGTGTCATGTTTGACTAAAACAAACTTGCATCATTTATGGTGAATATTTCTGTAGTGCCGGAACCAACCTTCGCATGTGTTTCCTGAAAATCCACTTTTACAAATGCACTTATATGTGTTTTCTACGGGAACACATTTCCCTCCATTTACACAAGGATTATTGAAGCAGGCGCTGTGTAATTCTGTAGGGACTAAAATTCAAAGTTGGCATAAGTTCTGACTTTGTTAGAGTAAAGACATATATATTTCAGAAGACTTAGCGCCACGTTGTTGTTGTCATCGCTTCTTTTTAATCAGTCGATCATCGATCACGCATAAAAAAAGTTCACGCCAATATTGCTCTAATTTCTTACATGAAGCAAATTCACCTCTGTGTGGAGCGAGGTCACTTTTGTATTGAGCGAGGTCACTTTTGTATTGAGCGAGGTCACTTTTGTATTGAGCGAGGTCACTTTTGTATTGAGCGAGGTCACTTTTGTATTGAGCGAGGTAACTTGTATTGTGGAGTGATTTAACTCTTGGTTGGAGCAAACTGACTGTAAGAGATCTAACCGTGGAGCGAGGTAACCGTAATTCCAACAAATTATGTTTCCATCAGTTCCGAAATTTCGAGGGACCCTTATCATCAGATATCATTCTGGTCACGCCCACTTAACATGGTAGGAAATAAATGAATAAGCACATGACTTCACCATCTTAAGATCCCTTGTAAAGTAATTCACGATTTCAAATTATGCATAACAACGCTTTTTTATTAAATTTGAAATATTATGAGCCCGCTATACACATCGTTTCAGTAGCTCCCCCATACAATACCTTCGCAATGCCGTCCCTGATACTTGCTGGAGCAGATACAGTGAAAGCCTTCTTCCTCGTCCTCTTCACACGTTCCTTCATTTTGACATGGTTGAGATTCACATTTAGAAAATTTTTCTGGAAAGAAAATGTACAATATAGTATATACTTTACTTAAACACCATTCCTTTAGAGACTAAAGTTACTCCTTCAACAACTTGCACCATTATTGTAATTACTAATTCAGCCTGCCGCTTTATTTATAGCACAGTGTAAATATACGTCCTGTTTGATGAGATTAGGCATTCAACACTACTTGAGATTTACCTAAGAAAAGCCCAATTTCAGGCCGTCCAAACCGACTGATTAAATAAAATGTTCGCAGGTATTAACACTCTAATGGTTTTTACTTATACTAAAAAGATATATAGTGTGCTGCGACACTTCCAGATTTCCAAATGCTTGTATGTTTTGAACATATGTTATCAAAACGATAACACCAGCTATTCAATAATGGAAATTTGAATAAAAGACCAAGTGTCCCTCGTCCTACCATCACACGTGATTCCTCTGAACAGCACAGGACATAAACACATGAACTGCCCAGCACCGGTGTTGTGACAAGTTCCAGAATTTTGACATGGATTAGTGTAGCACATGTCTAAATCTGAGGAAAATCAAAGAAACAATTAAAAACAAAACGAGTAATGAGTCACGAGGTATTACTATCAGTTTGTTAAAAGTGTTCCTATTTCAGACTTTTTTTTCCGAACAAATATGAACGCAGTATGTATGTAACCAGCGGTCTAACGAGGAGTGATCCTAGAGGTAATCTTAAGACTTAAAAATTTGAAACGACTGCTGAGGTAAGCACGATCAAGAGTTTTGACAGTGGTTAAAAAATGAATTATACATCAGAAATTGAAGAATACATTGATCATCCTTCGTTACCGGAAGTTTCCAGAGCAACGCAATGACAAACGGTTAAAGCGTAGAAACCCAAAGCGAGATTTTGTACCTTTTAATCTTTCAATTAATCTGGCACTCTATAGCTTATGTAGTTTTTAGACCCGTTTATCTCCATAGTGATGTAAGTTACTGTTTTAAGTCTTCACATACCCTGATATTAGGGTATATGAGTTTCAATGGACTTTTATTGACAAGAACATCATGCCTACTGCACGGTAAAAGAACCTCATTGACAATCAATTCTAGACATCTCTGCTCAGACCAGCTGATTTTGCAAGCTATCAGGTGTCACCTACCTCCACAATCTGAGCCATAAAATCCTGGTAAGCAATGACACTCAAAGTTCTTTTCTCCATTTAAGCAGGTTCCGCCGTTTTTGCAGGGGTTTCCAATGGCACAATGGTCAGCAGCTGTGAAATTGAAATGAACTATCTCGTCACTATCCTGATTTCTGCTATCCTTCCAGACGTTTTACACGCAACCTTTTTTTTTTTCGTTTGGACAAAGAGATCTCTTGAGGCCATCTTGGGCCTGTTCGGAATGATAGATAGCTAACAATGAATTAAAAGCGAGGCAAATAGAAGATTTTAATATCTTTTAACATGGGACAAGTAAGCCAGACTTATATACTTGTCACTAGATATCTTCATGATCATCTATCATCCTTATTCTTTGCGACACCACTATTGACACAGCACTACCCATTCGATGGCGTACATCATCAATTTAGTTTACCTTCGCAATTACTGCCTTCAAATCCAGGAAGGCAAAGACACTTGTAAGAGCCACCGTTCTCCTCACACGTCCCTCCATTCTTACATGGACTGGGGATGCACTTGCTAGTGACTGTGGAAATCAGAAAAACAATTGTACTCCGTCCCTTACCGTAAATCAAATGTCTCCACCCACCCCTTCCTTCAGTCGTGCTAATTATGTGCCCGGTAAAAGACATGACTGCTTGTTAAGAAGCGCATTTAATGAGAACTCGGAAAAAATGACAAACCGACACGAGAAGAGCAAAGAAAAGAAGTTAACTGCTTCTAGACTGTACTTTATTTATCTATCTTGTTTTCGTGCAAAACTCGAATCGAGTGCATGGCGTATAAGGCATATATTTTGCTGAGCATTATTATCCCCATCAACAACTTTTATAACTTATAGGCGCATGCGTAACTCCACGATATACTTCTAGATAAAAATAGGCAAATGATCAGATTTTATTCGAAATGCTTTTTTACTTTACAACAGTTAATGTAATGAAAAGCTTAAGGTTTTTTTGAATTGTCACTCACTATCACAGTTCGGTCCTTTGAATCCTTTGACGCATGTGCAATGGTAGCCGCTTGTCGTTGCATAACAGTTTCCTCCATTTTTACACGGATTCGGGAGGCAGTGGTTGACCTCTAAATAAAATAATTATAATATTTGCGCATGGTAAGTTTATAACACATTGAGGTGTGGTCACTGCTAGAGACTTCTGGCCATCTGCAATCAATTCTGAGACTCTCTCAGTTGTTTTCTGTTGAATAAACTACCTCGTAGGTAACAAATTCAAAAGAATTTGATGATAGTGTGAGGTCCCATCACGATATGATAAAATTTCTTCGATTTTATGCTTTCAAGGGAAAGTTAATAGATACTTTTACTATTTTGATCTCTTAAGTGATTCGCGCCTTAAAATAGATTTGCTCAACCAAGGAAAGTTTTAAAGTACCCAAGTGTTCATTTGTATATGAACAGATACAATCAGTTTTGCCCGTATTTCAGATAAGTCTATTAGTGCTCTGTTACAAATACTAAAATCTGATGATAAGTGAGAGAGATTAGGTAAAGCGAGAAGCTTAAGGGTGTGCGGTTGCAGATGAAACAAAAGAAAAGAACAACACGAACTTGTCTTGTCGTTGTTTTGTACCACTAGTGCATTTGGACGAAAGCATTTTGATTGTTCACTTTCGATTTCTGCGTGAGATGGATGTGCTCAGAAAGTAACTGTCAAATAGAGCTAGTCGAGCCATTAGTGGAGAGTGTCGATTCTTTTGAGAATCTGCACTTACCTTCACAATCCTTTCCCATGAATCCCATCGGGCACTCACACTCGTAGTGCTTTTCAAAAGCTGTACATACACCATCGTTCTTGCACGGATTAGGACTACATTTCGCTTTGGAAACACCTGGAATACATTGTACATTATTCTCACCTATGCTTGTAGAGAAACACTTACTGACGAAACTAGCATTTATGTTATTCGTGGACAATGTTCTCGCTACGATTCGGGATACGTTTTTAACGCCGCATTTCAAGTTCGACAGAACACTTAACAAAAACAAAGGTAAGTTTATGTTTGTCAAGGGAAATAATCCGTATGACGGGGATCCCTACATTAATTTACTTAAGAGGTAAATAAGGTGGGCATGTACAAACGATAACACATTCACATTTTTGTCTCCGAGCAACTTCCTTACAGCTTATTTCCTTTGAAAACCTACCTTTGTGGACGTGACGATTCACATGTTGACGTATTTCCCCAGCCATCTGAAAGGGGAGTGGCGGTTCAAACAAACCTGGTGCTGGCTCAAAGTTAGCTGGAAGATTCGCAGGTATATCAGGCGGACCGAAATTAGCTGGAAATTCGTCGGGTGGTGGACCGATAGTCGTAGGGAAAGGTGGTAATGGAGCACTCTCATGCATAGGAGTTATTTCAGGAACAGGGGCAAAGTCAGGGGGGTGTAGGAACGCGTGGTCTGGGGTTTCCTCTCGTAGGTGCACAGGTCCCATCTCGTGTAAATGGGAAACGGGCTGGGGTGGAAATGGTAACGGTGGAGGACCGAGTCCAATAGGACCTGGTACCAGAGAGGCGGGAGGAGGTCCTTCTTCAAGATGAATAGCATTGGGGGAATGTATCGGAGGAGACATAGCCGGAAACTCTCTTTCTGGGTTAAAAGGGGGAAACTGCCGTATAAAAGGCCCTGTTGGTCCTGGAAAAGGCGATCTACCGGTTAAAGCATTCAATAGTTGCTTTCGCTGAAGTTGAACTGGAAGGAATAATCTTTTAACAGCTCCTCTTTGCTTTTGAAGATTCACGTTCAGTTTCCGTAGGTTTTCCATCACAGTTTTGAAGGGTGTCGGTCCCCATATGTGAATAGCCTTCAGAGGTTTGGTCTTTTTAAGTCGGTTTTTTATCACAGCAGAAGTTGCAACCACTCGTAACGGCTTTGCTGGTTGCGGTAATGACGATGCATGTGAAGCCTTTCCATTCGAAGCTTTGTTGCCAGAGATATTATTGCTTCCACGTTTAAGTCGTCCTGTCGAATGCGAATAAGCTTCCAAAATACTTTCTTGTCCATATTTCACCGCTTTGTCGGTTAAAAGCTGTTTTTTTAATTTTGTGTGATAGAGATAAGTTAAGTCTCTTCTATATCTTGGATGAAAGCCCTTCACGGAACGAGACGAGTTCCTCAAAGACCTCTTTCGAAGACGTTTACAATTCGAGTAATTAGTTGAAAGGACGACGAACCATAGAATCGCGATATGTAGAAGTTGTTTCATTGCGAACTTCTGACGCATTGTCTAAATATTGCCACAAATCCCGCCATTTGTTTTGTCTAAATTTCCTGTAACCGCTTAAATTCAAACATCACGGTTATTTCGATCGCTTTTCACGGTCGAAGTGATTTCACCGATATGATGATATCACGCAAGTATTAACAACAAAGTACTACCAAATAACAACCCGCCACAAGTCAAGTGTCAAAGATGGGCGGTCTTTAGTAATGTCTGAATTCTAAATGATCAAGCGGTGACCTGTGAATGAATTCTGAAATCCATCCAAATTCACTGAACAATTCAACAGTCCTCGATTAACTGATATTTACTGTTATCGGTATCCAGCAAGAATAATGCCAAGCAGTATTTTTAAACAAACTTTCTCCTCAAAAACTAGATTTCAACCTTTGCCAGAGGAAATAATTTTCAAAAAAATATTCAAATTTGTAAAGATTGGAGTCTAGTGGTTTAGTAAATAAACTGTTTAGTTTATTTTTTGACAAATTTCCTTTGCACGCTTACACGTTAGACAATAGATGGCTAATTATACCCTCGCATGCTTTCAGTCTCTACCAGCATGTTTTTTTTAATTCATCTTTACTGATAAACCACTCTCCAACACTCATTACTATGTGCAAACACTAATTCGACTCCAACAATTTTAACTTTAAATTAGCTTTGTCACATTGTCTTTCTACTCAAATATATTTCTTTCTATTGTTTGTTTTTAATTACTTTAATTGGTAGCAGTCAGTTCATAGAAAATTTGATGGCAAGTGTTAGAGTATTCTTTCCCTTTCTTAGAAGCAATGGCACCGAAAAAGTTTTCACATCATGGGGGTCCTTCATTCTGAATATGTCTACTTCATATTAGATCGTGGAGAAATTTCTGCCAGTAGTTATTGAAAATGCTTTGTTTACCAGTCAGGCGAGCAGATTGTTTTAAGAATTACTTTCTACAGGTAAAATCATAGATTCGAAATTGAGCTCTTTTTCTACATGACGACTTGCTGCACTGTAGATAATTTCCAATTCACAAAATGGCAAGTCTTTATCCAAAGTTGTCAGGAAGACGTTTCTCGCACATGATACCGTCAAACCCTTGCTGACACACACATGCAAATCCATATTTACTATTGGTGTATGGTCCATCTACGCATGTGCCGCCGTTTAAGCAAATACCAAGGGAGCACGGTCTTGAGACTGTATAGGGAAACAGACAGAGTACAGTACATGGAAAAAACTATTTGGAATTATTTCCTGGGTAGTCGGAAAAGTTCTGTTGTTACCACTTCAGTTAATACATCCAGCGCCACAAAAGATAAAATCAATAAGTAGCTCCAGTTGATTAGGTTTATTCTTTCACGAAGTTCACGTATTGAATGCCTTTTTCTCTCCCTTTAGCTTTTAATATCTATTGAATTTTATGAAGAAATTGTTAGTTAGCTGAGAACTATAGCCTAAAACAAAAAATATTCTGAAAAATTATACTTATTCTGCCTTGAGAGGGTCAATTAACGCTGAACAACACAACATACCTGTATTCCACAGATAATGAAGTAAAACTGCAAAGTCTCCATACCTTTACACCTCTTTCCAGAGAAGCCTTGTTTGCACTGGCAGGAGTATTGATTACCAAATCTTAGACAAACCCCATCATTATGACAAGGGCTAGGGTGGCATGCAGAGGCTATACAAAGATACGGCATCGGTGTTATGGTTAGTGAAAAGTTTAAGTGCGATGAGTAAATATATTAGCTGTCGATATTAAAATAAACGTTATTTCGAGAAATATTTAATCAGTTATAAAGCCGTATTTCAAATATCCATGTCCCTTCATTATTCGGGCAATGTCCATTCGATACGGCCACACGGCTAAGAATGGGAGAGGTAGGTTTAAGAAGGGACAGATTAAGTTTTTTTAAATTGATGTTATACCATCGAGTTATGCCTTTTAATTACAAAATTATTAACTGATCTATTTATCTTTATATCTAGCGTTATTTTTTAAGCAGATAAAGACAGATATCTACAGGCAATACTATGATAAAAGTTATATTAGATAACTCTGCGGATTTGTATGATTGGATCATGGGCCTTTAAGTCGAGTACACCATAAAAAGAACATACATGTGAAAATGTCTTCCTTTTTTTCATGTTACAGACAAACCTACAAATTTTACTGACTTCGAGTGAAGAAGAGACTGAAAAGGCGTATTCGTGGTCAAGGTTCTATGTCTGATTGTTTTCTTGTTCTCTTTAGACATAAATTACTACAAAACGACGAAAAAACGATCTGCTTTCAGGAAATGACTGATTTAAATGATAGTTACCTTCACACCGCTTTCCATAAAATCCAAAGCGGCAGTCACACAAGTACCCAGAGCTTTCATCTCTACATGTTCCTCCATTCAGACAATAAACAGAATTACACTCGCTGATAACTAAAAGGAATGAAAAAATAGCGCGAGAATGGAGTCAAACATAGGCCGAAAGAGATTTTCTATTTGGTGTCCAGACAAAACTTTTGATCGAGCTTTGAAGTTTGCGACTCTAGCAGCAGGTTAAACTTTACACGCATCAAATGGTCAGTCTACTTTATTCTTTTAGATCGCAATTTGAGCCCTATATCATCACTGACAAGGGAGGGGCAATTTTAAGCCACCGAAATTATTGACGAGAGTTGCCTTTGTGAGGCAAAATGACTGACGGGTTTCATCGAATTTGGTTAAAATTGTGGCTAGTTAAGTTACTGTTTACCAAATTTGTATACCCGTATACAGCTCCACATGTGCAACAATTGGCCGATATCTAAAAATACTTTTTAAATTTTATTTTGCAAAATTCAACCTTTTTTCTAAAATATATTTCAATAAATCCTTCATAAACTATTCTCGCATGGGCAAGGTTATCATCAGGCTATATTACCACTGACCTTCACAAGTCTTTCCTTTAAAACCTTGTGGGCAATTGCAGATATAACTATTGCCCATTTCAAAGCATACACCATCATTCTTGCACGGATTTGGTAGGCACTTGTTGTCAACTGAAGGAAAACACAAAGTAAACCAAATTAAATGACGTTTAAAAGTAAAAATTAATAGATGGAGGACATATAAGCTTTTTAAGAAGTGAACTTAGTAATATAATAACCGAACTTTGGTGACTGTTAAAAGTACTTTATAACGAGCCAGCTCCAATGTTTATAAATATAAAATGCCTGGATCAATATCAGTATCTGGGCAACTGCCCATCTACCCCTTCCTCAACCCAACAACAGTCTATTGATAACAAGTAAGGGTTAATATTGGGTTAGGGGAGGGGTAGGTGGGCAGTTGCCCAGATACTGATATTGATCCAAATTCCTCAACGGGAAAGAAGAACCCTCTAAAACGAGATTTACCCCCAGCGTGTGGCTTCGAAGCCCAGGTTGTAGTAGCGCTAGAAAAGCATCTGAGAGGCACAGGTTCGAATCTCATCGGAGCCTGAACCTTTTCTGCAATTGCTTCAATTGCAGTCCACCTGCGAAGATAACTATTTGCTTGAAAGACCGCTGTATCAAAGCTATGCCTCTTTTCTTCATTATTAAGACCTGCGTACGTCGAAGATAGAGGTGCTTGCGACAAAAAGTTAAAAGTAGTAATATGTAATTTGATGATACTCACTTTCACAGTTTTTCCCTTTGAATCCTTCTGGACATACACAAGTGTATGAATCCTCAGACTCGCTACATGTGCCGTCATTACGACATGGGGTTGGGTGGCAAAGACTTCGTGCTACAAGGATGAAAGTAGTCGTAATTATATGTATTTGAAAAGAATTACAGCTAAAAGTTGGTCAGGTACTAACAACGTGCTAAGGCAGCAGAAATTATGCATAGGAGACGTAATTTAGGGATTCTTCCTCGCTTGGACAATCAACAACTTACTTTCGCAATTCTCTCCAAGAAACCCCACAGGGCACGTACACAGATGTCTTCCAACTGCAATTTCGGTACATGTTCCTCCGTTTTTACATGTTGAAGGTCTGCACTCTTTTTTAACTGTACGTTCAACAGCATATAAATCAGTTTCGATAAGCGATTTCCCAAGTATAAAATTAAAATAATTGTCCTAAGCCTTTTTGGCAACTTGTGCAAAGCAAAATCTGAAGCTAACTAGCATCTGGCATGAATAGCATTGAAAGTTCACTTTCACTTTCAATTTTTCAATCTTCGCACGACAAACGTGTCACTTAATCACTTAGGTTTCATTTTAAGATTCTAACTGGAAACGTGAAGTTCGTGGAAGTGTTTTACTCCAAGGATTCGCGCTTTATTTGGTTTGTTTGTTTGCTTGTTTCTTCTTTCTTGTGATTTTGTTATCAAATCGTCACTTTCAAATCCTAAGACCCACATTTGAGAACATTCATATACCTTCACCTCGAATAACAAACAAAGCAGCAATTGCATCTGTTCCCGCGCCAAATACAGCACACTGAGTTGAATCTAATCAAGGGAATAAGCTTCTTAGTCGCTCTTTGCGACGTGAGTTAACAAACTCCAAACAGAGCAATATTAAATGAATATGCCTTCAAATTTATATCATCATGTATTGCTAAATCACACTTTGCACGAGCCTTTGTAACAAATTCTCTAAGCTGGGCTAACGTGGAGCATTAAAGGATTTAACCTTCGCATCTTGTTCCAATGAAACCAGGCAGGCACTCGCAATAAAATCCATGGCGCCTTGGAACGCACATTCCGCCATGGTGGCACGCATGGAAAAAACATGGTCCTGAGTAGATAAGAAAAAAAGGGCTTCAACTCAGCTATCAGGACTACTCAAAAAAGTGCATTGAAATCAAAAGGTTAAAGACATATAATGTAATTTTAAGTAGCACTTGAATATTCATTGTATATTGTATATATTTACTTTTCTCTTGGTGGCATTGGTGTATGCAGTGACCCTGAGAGCGAAAAACTACAATTTCACTTGTCAAATCGACCGTGAAGGGTAACTGAAGCCTTTCTAGGACCAAAGTTGTTAATATAGCCTAACAAAATATTTCTCTAAAGTGCTTACACCTTTAATTCCCGGGCAACTGACTCTTAACGATTAGCATCCTCGATTGTCAGAAAACTGTTTTCAGTGTTTTGGGGTGAGAGGCAGTTGATATCAATCTTCCACTTCGGTGACACTAGGCAGTCTTTCATTAATTTCTTTTGGAATATTTGTTAATTCTGAACTGTGTTTGAGAAACCACGACAGAGGGTATGGAAAGTAAAATAAATACGTAAAAGGCAAAGGTCATTCAATAGCTACCTCTCTCTCCTCGATGAACCAGGAACATCCTTCGGTCAACGGGCCTTGACATCGGTTCATAGGGAGGAGCTGGCGCGAAAAAGAAGTCCCTCTTGTTAAAACTAACAGTTTTTTTAGCATTGTTACCTTTCTTCAGCCTTCTCTTTAAAGAGCTGGCTTTGTTCATGCTACCGTATAGTGAAGTAGAATATTGGTGGCGCTTTGTGCGTAGTTTTATGCTGCCTGGGATCTGCGTCTGTTTAAGTACAATATCACTTCCTTGTGACAACACATAATCCATTTGTGCAATTGTTTGTTTCTTCCCGATACTCCTCCAGATTGGACTTTTCTTTAAAATCATCGCTGTTTCAACAAATATCATCGAGGAGAGTATTGTCAAAATATCTAGAAAGGTTATCAAAATACAACACAACAGCATGACGATGACTTGTTTTTACATTTCTCGGTGTCAGTTCTGTCGCCCAAAAAGCTCATAGGATAATCCCGTCAACGGTTGTCTTTTGCATCTTCCATTAGGAAAGGCAAAGAAACACAACTTGTTCCGGTTCCGAGGCGCTCTGATCATTAAAGATTGAACGTTTTTTCCGCACTTGTCAACTTTGACCCATTTTCCTTTGTTTGCGATCGCTACGCCAAATTAACCGTGAAAGGACAACCTGTCCTTGCAAAAACTGTATTTGTTTTAGAATAGCACCTTTTAAAATTGATCAAGCCAAGTCTCTCTCATTCTCTTTGTTTCGATACCGAGGGCTCGGTTAATTTTCCCCTAGATATAGCTGCAAGTCAATAGACACCATTGCAATAATTAGCAACCAGTTGGCTCGTTTTATTCGTTATGTCACGATCTCAGCATGAAAGCATTTAAAAGCGTTTGTAAATGTACATGTACAAGCCGAAATCTGTGCGGGAAAAGTGCACTAAAAAAAAAAATCTGTCTCATGAATTGAGCGATTAATTCGACCTGCTTTCATGGCACTTTCTTTGTAAAAAATCAAATCAAGCTTTTTTTTGGTCGATGATAGATTTTGCACTCCAGGAGTGAGATCATGGGTGAGAAAATCTGTGGAATTTCGCATCCCCATCAGCAATTGTCAGTGAAAAGATTGATGGGAGGCAACTGAGCAATTGTTAAGACAATGAATTTAAATTTAGGCATAAACGCGCAGGTCATGATTGTTCTTAAAACTGAAAACTGAAAACGATCTAACTTGATCCAATTGGAACGACTACTAGGCAAAACAAAAAAATGAGAACGTAGATAAGAGGAGGGAGTTTTCCAGCAGATGTTAGATCGTTTTGGTCACTGCAACCTCTCTGGTTTTCTTTTGTTTTTTCTTTCAGAGACCTAAAAAGTGCTCTTTATGCATCTCACGCCTTTTGATCTGCTACCCATGGCGATTGACCACAATGAGTAATTTATCAGCTCTAAAATTAAGGGCATGAATAAATATTTGATGGCTGTTGAGTTAGATGAGATAATTTCACAGAGAAACTTTTTAGTCTTCTTTTCTTCACTCAGAACGGTTTCCGGTTAAAGCCAGTGTAATCCCTCAAGTCTTATCATCCCATGAAAATGGTAACTTTTTAGACCACCTCAGATGACACTTGCATATGAATCCGTTTTCATGTTTAAGTTTTGTTCACCTTTTTACTGCTTTGGCGTTAATCGGCACAAATGGAATCACGGGTTTACAAAGGAGTCATGTAAATCGACTTCCAAGTCGGGATGGACGTAGCACAAAAGGGTTAAGAAGCATAAGGTCTAACAGTCGACAATCTAAAACAGAGGGCGGTCCTATCATCGACATTGTAAAAAGTTGGAGGATCAAACGAGACAACAGCCACCTGCAGGCTAACAATGACAGTAATTCAAAGCCATGCAAGGGAAATTCGTGCTTATGGAGTGCAAAACAGCCTTTCAAAACCAAACCGAGGCGTTCAGTGGTAAATCGCCGTCGAAGAAGACAGTCTGTCTTCTTAGCCAAAGCACTTGACATGTTGGATCATGCTAGACCTGGGGAAGATAGCAACTTTGCCACTCGCGCAACGGCAAATAGGCCATTCAAGCCAATTACCACCATTAATAATAACACAAACAAAATTACAGTAAAAAATTCTACGCTGATTAACAAGCCTACAATGAACCAGTCTGGAGATAAAAGACAGGGATGGTCTGATCCCACCGGCGAGATGAGACCGCGTTTCTTTTTCAATAGTGCACCCGCAGAATACGTCGAGCAGAAACCTCCGTCTTTGAGAGCTGGTACGGGACCAGATAATTTAGCATTGCCTCCAGAGACTAGAGCAGGGCCACCTGTACCTGCCCACTTGCACCGGATGAATCCATTCTTAAAAGGAGTCAATAATGGCTTACACGTGGGAAAGCATCCTGTCCACTTTCCGCACATACCAGCTACTTTCGTCGGTAATCCCTTATCCCATCGCATGACTGGTCCGTCCCATTTCCATAATCATCTACGTCACCATCAATTTGGTCCTCCACCATACGCCATCCACATAAACGCACCACCCAGACTAGAGCCTCCTCTTTCACCCCCTAATCTAATACCTCAAAACATCCCTCCCTTTCCTCAACCACCTCCAGAAATATTAGGTGGGCCAATGCCACCTTTAAATCCACCGGTAGGCTTTGAACCTCCCCACTCACCCGGAAATGACGCAGCTATGCCTGGGCACGTCAAAATGCTGCCGCCAGGAGGCATTCCCATGCCGCCGCCTCCTATCAATTTGCCGGAGAGCATACCACCTGAAGACTTGTCACCCGTTTTACCACCAAGACCTCCCTCTGGGGTTGAGCCTCCACCACCCGACTTTGAAATAATGCCACCTGCTGAGATCCCGGTTCATACAAATCATCCTATTGATGGACCAACTGGAGCCCCGAATAACCTTCAAATTACGCCGCCACTAGGAATTCCTATGCCTCCGCCTGACTTTCAGATAATGCCACCTCCAGAGACACCTATTCAAACAAATCCTCCGATGGATACACCTATTGGAATGCCAAGTAATCTTCACATGACACCGCCGCAAGGAAATCCTATGTCACCCCTTCAGGCTGCTTTACAAGGAATCTCTATGCCAGGTGAGGAGCCACCGATGCCACTTCCTCATCATGTTCATCACGTCCCTTTTCCTGTGGCGGTTCCATCACCACCTAGAATAGAGAATGTACCTTACCCAGTTCCCATTCCAGGTCCACCATCTATTCAGCCTTTAGTTGTGCCCGTCCAAGTTCCATCACCACCCAAGATTCAGCGGGTGCCTGTTCCGGTAGAATCTCCTCCTAAGATACAGAATGTACCTGTCCCTGTTCCAGTAGCCGTTCCTTCTCCTCCTCAGATAAAGCATGTGCCATATCCCGTCGCCCTCCCCGTTAAAGAGCCAGGTGAAATTCAAAAAATATTTTATCCCATAGCAGTTCCTCAACCGTCTCAGATTCACCATGTTCCGTTTCCTGTTTACATTCGCTATCCGTCAGAAATAAGACGAGTTCCGTTCCCTGTTGCCTTACCTCCAAAGCCCTTTCCCGTTCCAGTACCTTCACCGCCACATTACGTTATCCATCGAGTCCCTTATCCAGTCATGTTTCCGCAAAAAGTTCCTTACCCTGTTCCGCTTGTTGTTCAACATCATCACATCCATGAGGACGTCGGTAATACAAGAGGTGAGTACATTTCTGTTTCATCATTTTTATATACAAATTGTTTTTTTTCAATGAAAGCAAATATCTCTACCACACACCTCTTTCATCCAGATTTTTATAATTCACATCTACAGTGGATCTACTGTCATAGAATCGGGTAATCTTAGGTAAGTTGTTTGTGTTTAAGCTCGATACTGAAAGATAAAAACATGTAAAGAGTTGTCTTTAAGTACAATAAAATGACCCTATTTTTAGCATCAAAGTCTGCTTGTGATACAAATTATGATATGTTTGCTTTGTGTCATTTTTCTAGAGTCAGTAAGTAATGGACAGTGTTTGGTGAATCTTTGTCTTAATGGGGGCACTTGCTCAGCCTACATGAACACCTACCGATGTCACTGTCCAAACGGATTTCAAGGAAAGCATTGCGAAGGTGAGAGAAGCGAGAGGCTTATTCCAAAAATGTTTGAGCAACAAGTTTGCATTCTTGTTGATACGACCAAAGGAAAAAATATCACGTAAACATTAGTTGATATTTTTTGTGTTAAAACTTGTTAAAACAAGGTTCTCCTTGATATACGTGTAATCCTTCCTTTATGTGGTTAATTTCATTTTATTTTAACTCTTAAGAAATTGCTTTGTTTGGTATAACGTGTCCTCAATGTTCCTTCTCAGGTGAACTTGTTTTTAGCTTTTTTTATGAGCATGCATTTTGATGTAAGGAGAAATCGTTCAAGCTAACTTTGAATCTCTTTCTTCTTCAGAGCAAAACACGTGTGAGCCAAATCCCTGTAAAAACTTTGGTACGTGCTCCCAAGTTGAGCATGAGTACGAATGTACCTGCACTAAGGGGTTTATTGGAAAGAACTGTGACAGTAAGTAAATAAAAAGGCCAGTGTGAATTTCCTACTACAGCTATATATCCACTTCTTCCTTCAATATTTGATTTTCAGTGGCGAAATGCATTAATGTCGTTGTTCTTCTTCTTCTCCCCCTTTTTAATAAGAAAAATATTGATGACATTGAAAAAAAATTTTCCCTCTACAGGAGCAGACCCATGCGTCCCATCTCCTTGTGAAAACGGGGCTACCTGTTCATCAGACGGATCGTCATACTCTTGCACTTGCAGAATTGGTTGGATAGGAAAGAATTGCCAAGGTTTTTTCATAATATAAGATCATGTTGCAAGGAGTGTTTGTGGCATTTTCCGATACAGAAACAACTTTTTGAGCGCTGAGATGATGTCAGTTCTGACAATAGTTATTCCCCTGATTACCTCTCTGTATAGAAATATTCATTTAGTTATCTGAAAGGTCCACGTCAAAAAATTAATATGTCGCGGTTTACACGAGAGATCCAAGCAATTTACATACTTCCTATTTTAGATATTGTTGACCCCAGGTTGTATCTTGTCATACCAATTGTTATTCTATTTCGTGTTTTCCAAAGTTGAATCAAAGTGCCTTCCAATTAACCCATGCCAAAATGGTGGAACTTGCACAGAGGCACAAGGAAGATACCAGTGTGACTGTACTCCCGGTTGGTCAGGCTTAAGCTGTGAAGGTAACGGAGAGAATGACAACTGCTAACAAAAATTGTTCTATGCAATGATAGCGTTGAAGAATTATATGTTTATCTAGTCTGATAAGTAGCTAATATGGTTTCCTTCAGAGGGGGAAGTGAGACCCAAGGTATTTATTTTATGCAAAAAAAGACTATTCTAAACTTTTTTCCTTACAGTGTCAGCTCCGGAAACCCTTCATCAAAGAGGTACTTCAGTTTATCTGTAGTATGCATATTGAGCATTGAATAGCTCAGTTCCTCGTGAGAAAACAAACGAAATTGATCATCTTGCGAGGAATTTTAAGTTCTTCGAAAGGTGTGCCGAAAGGTGAACCAGTGATCTAATTATCCTCTTGCCATTTTCGATCTGAAACGCAACAGACACTGAGACTCTTAAGCTCATTAAGGTTATTTTACCACAACATTTGATGGGAATTGGGATACCACTTTATCTTCTTCTAATTCTATCTACTATCACCCAACTGTGCTACCATCACTTATCAACATTACAGTTTTCAAACTAAACTACAAAGGTTTTGAACACTTTCAGAAAACTAACTTGTAGACATTTATTCATCTAGATTCAAAACTTATCTTAATTCTTTGCAAATTTTTTAGTAATATGCGAAAATTGTCACACTTCGGATGACATTATTGAGCAAAGAAATAAACTGCGTCACAGACTGACAGCAATAAAGAAATGGAAAGGTACCAAAGGATAACCAAGGTAATGACAATAAACCTAAGTCTATTGCTCCTACAAAAAGCGAGTTACTTGACGCACCTAAGTTATCAAGCTTAGACACCATTGCAAGCTTTTTTCGCGAAGCTCAAGAGGTCTGAGCATGGTCAGCGCTGGAATTAGCACTCCTCATAATGGAAACGTGAAAATTAAGCTGCATAATTCCTTAGTAAAGATTATACCTTACTTTTTAAAAGTTCAAGCATGGCCCACAGAGCTTTCCGATCGGTTTCTTGTAATTCGCACAAGCATAACACAAACCTTGTGAACGAAAAAGGGTAAATCATCCTGGATGCAAGCTTATTGATGACATTCAAATTATGCGGATAAATATCACACCCTTCGTAGCTTATTAGAAGTCAACATCAAAGTTTCTTAACTTCTCAACTAGCCCTTTTTGCACCAGTAAACTGCAACTGCTTCATGGGCATAAGCAATGTAACGATATCTCATAACTGACACCGACGATGCGCAGTGAAGGTGTCTTTTTCATACTTATTGAACGCTTTCATGATTTCATTTCGCACTTACAGCGCTTGAAGACACTTGCTTGAAGACACTCTCAACGAAGACCTAAAACTAACAGAAAAAATTAACGACGAAGAAAACTAACAGACAACGCTTCCTGGAAAGCCCTAGACCTTCTACATTCAACAAGATCCTTGTTGCTGTCTATATCAAGATTGTAAATAGCACGAAATTACATTTAAGAAGTTCTGCCTTCTAATATTCTGGATGTAGTTAAAAAATGAGAGGGTATGCATCCAGTTACAAAATGAAGAGCCGTCTCACTCGGGAAGCCACACTTAAATCTAAATCTAAATCTCTCCCACCTAAAAAATTATCAGATGACTTCATATAAATGTAACTAAATAGGATTTCGATTAACTAATCTGGAAACGAAAACAGAAGCATTCAAGCCACATCGTGAAGTAGTAATAGAGGTTTCTCACAAGATATTGAGTAGCCATAGAGTAATTGCAGGTCTTGTGTAACCATAGAGACATTATCAGATAACTCATTTTAAGGGTCTTAAGTGAGGAGTCTGCCAGTTGATACGTGATTTATTTTTTCAGCATTCTCAGCAGTTTACTTGAAAACATTTAAAGTATCTTCAAGTAACTTAAGGTCATGCATCACGCTCAGGGCTTACTGATACACGAAGATGTAATTATTACCTAATTTATTATAAACGAATGGCTGATTGACATTGCAGAAATACGATAAAAAAAAAGTGATTTTTCTGCGCATTAGAAAAGTGCGTGGATAATTTTTCATAATAAACGTGATTGTGTGTATGTGTTTCTTTTTCGCTGTTTATGACTATAAAAAATCCTGGTTGGTTATCACCAGCCCGATTTGAGCGCTGATAGGATAGTGTACGCGTCATGCTTATAACTGGACAGTGTTATAGGACATTTAGCAAGTTTGAAACATTATGCCTGTGTAAGTGGACAGTAAGCGTGATGTGCGCGCTCTGTTGTCGTTGTTGTGGCTGAGTTACCTGTTGTTATTTTTTATGAAAACCTTTAAGCGATAGCTAGCTTCTTTCTCAAATGCTCTTGTTATAGGTTTGATTAATTGGTAACCATAATGAAGTGTTGATTTTATACATTTGTCAGCAAATAGGCGAACCTTCATGTATAAAGTCTACTAAATAAGTACGTGACTAACAAAACACTCAAGTATAAGTTTATGAAAAGAAAAAACGTTTTGTCTTCTCAGCCCAAACACAAATTCCTCTTTGAATAATCAATATGCATTTTAGCTTAAGCCTCAAAATATTGATAAATTTATCGGCCAGTACAGTTTCAACCAGATGAGCAAGACCCGTATATTTATCGGAATATTTTGGATTAAAGCCGCTCTTCGTTTATTGTAAGCCTAGATCTTTTATTTATGAATTTCTCCTATAATTCATGGTCAACCATTCTTAAATTGAACGAACATGTATGCTTACATTTTCTACATCATTAATGAAGCCAGCGAACAGAAGCTTTGGCCTCAATGAGATAAATAACCAACGTGAAACAAATGGAGACGGTAAATCACAAATCACGTGATAAATCTTGGCAAGGGTTGCAGAGGGAAAGGATGACGCCTTGGTTAAATCATTAGCCTTTCACTGGCAATGCAAGAGCTCAAATCTGACGTGTTGAGACCAATGCCGATATCTGAGAGAAAAAGCCGATTAAAGCTGTTGAAAATAAGCCGATTAAAGCTGTTAAAAATAATCCAATCACAGCTGAGGATAATACTTTGAAGGGCTGACGCATGACCAGTCGATCTCTTGGCCTTGAAAAGTTAAGCAATATCCGGTCGTCGATCTACATCGCGGGGAATTACTTCGTGAGGCCAATGATTTCGGCCTGTTAAGGGAGGTGCATAAATATAGGGTTTTGCTAAAATGATAATAAACATATTGGTCTTTACATAAAGACGGACGACTTTCCAGAAATCACTGATTACTGTCCCCTCCATTCCCCTTGAGCCATATTTCAATATTCTGGCCGGAGATGAGGCGATTTTTAATCGCGCAATATTTACATCCATTTTAATCATCGTTTTGAACCAGGAGGAAGATCATTAAGTAGAATTTTTAAATTAAATCATTTAAAACTAACCCTAAGAGATTTAAGTGATCTACGTCGGTTGTTTCACATATTTTAAATTCTGGCTTTTTTTATTTTATCTTAAAAAGGAGGAAAAAATTGAGAAATAAATTAAATTCCCGACTAATGTTATGCGACTGAGAGATTATCTCCACTAGCACATCAAACAATCGCTGTTTAGACATAGCAACAGAGTGCTCTTAAAATCTTTTACAAATACTATGCCTACATTAAAATAGGCATTGTTATTCAAGATATGGTGAAAGTAACAAAACTTTGAATAAGAGAATGTAGCCGTCTAAGAGGAGCGCGTGTTTTATTGTATCGCGTTTTGAAAAATGAACAATTCACTCTATTAAAACATAGACTCTAGAAATAAAGACTATTCCAATTTAACACTCCGCGTAGTGAGTTACCTGAGGGCATAATGTAACCTATCAACATATAATTTTAAGTGTATATTCTTTCAATGTTAGGATATTTACTTTTCGGCTTCCGTTAATTATATTTCAAGTTTTCTTATAGGTCGAGTTATATAACGTTAGCCAAATCGGAAGATTGCTAACTATTGCTGTTTTTTCACGCTGCTGCAAATGGATTTTTCAATCGTTAATAAACTAATGCTGAAGTGGCTCCAGTGTAAATTAAAATTGGTGTTTTTGTTCCCAAGGACCATAAAAAACGAAACAGTGCTCGTCGCTTTACAGAAAGATGTTTTCAAATCGAACCAGTATTTCTAACATGCGGCCTGTGACACAGCTTCATCAAGATATACGAGACAACTCTACTCAAATGGATTTGATTTATTCCCCGTCAACAATCAAGATATCTTTGATAATTCTTGGGCTTGAAGTTATCTTTGGAGTTGTAGCCAATTTAGCTGTATTTTCCACTCTACGAAGTTACTGCAATCGAAGCATGTCAGTTTATCGAGTGTTGGTTTACAACTTATGTCTAACAGGCGCATTAAGCAGTTTGATAGGGATTCCCAGTCTCTTTGCAGTTATATATGTTTCGTTCATTGAACGGACTTCTGTACCAGCTGCCCTTTGCAGAATGAGGTATTTTTCTTTGACTTATTTCTTCTTCACTGACAGTATGAACATTTGCTTTTTGAGTTTGGATCGCAACGACTTTATTACAAGACCGTTTCGACGAAGGATAACGAAACGGAATATAAAAACTTACATTGCTGCAATCTGGGCAATACCTTTTGTGATTGGACTTCTCAATTTTGTGATAAAAATCAACACAGAAAATTGTATTCTGGTCTCATCCGCGGAAGGTCCTTACTCCGAACCTATGGTAGTCTTGCTCTCAGTTATCCTGGTACTAACCTGCAGTTTTGTGGTGACAAACAACTGGTCCTCGGTAAGATCGATGAGAAACCTGGCTAGAAGTCTCAACACATCTAAGAAAAACCACGTTCGTTCAGAAAAGAAGATGATTATTTTGACAGTGAAAATTATTTCTGTCTATTTGGTTACCGTAGCTCCAGCGACTCTATGGTCATTTGGCTTGCGCGCTGGAGGTGTCAAAAACTGTGTATTATGCAACGATGTACGAATCTATTTACAGTTGTTACTTCTTGTTAAATACCTTGCTAATCCTTTCATTTTCGTGGGTTCGATATGGAAGAAAAAAAATTCTGTAGGCCAAACAAATCTTGTGCGAAAAAATGGATTCAGAGGTCAAACAGTCTTGGAGGTTAGAAAATCAAGAAAAAGACCCATACGAGGAAAACCGCGGGAGTTTCTTGGAGAAGCCTCATCTTATGGAGATATCCACCAGCTTAGCACAAGTCGACGAGTGGTAACAATTTATGAGGATAATGAAGAGAGGCACATTGAATCTGAAAACGATCAAGTAGCATACCACGTGAACCGGGGAACACAAACTAACTTGGAAGTGCTTAACACCTGTCCAAAAAGGAGGCATACGGGCAACACAGACAATTCCTTGCCTAACATATTGGTTCACTCCTTTAGCAGACATTAAAGTTTTTAAAAATTCTTTTTTTAATATTTACGATAGTATATTTTGGCTCCTTTAATCAAGTTATCGACAATAGCATGAATTCAGCTTTCTAAAACCTCGTAACTGTATGGTTATTTAATAAAAAACAGAGGTTGCGTGCGTGTGGCGAAGAGATATCCTACTCAAGTAAACGTTTTTCACAGTTTATTCCGGTGCCGCCTCGTTGAAGATAAATCGGCCTCGAAACATGTAAATTAAGAAAGCCTTAGGGCATTCCTCAAAATGAAAACGGAGAGACTGTTTTTGTCAAATAAAATGAAACAAAACATTTTAAAAGCAATTTTCTTATTTTCAAAATTTATGTGGAAGAAGGATGTTGTTTCCCCCACTTTGATAAAAGAATAAAATTAACTCAAACGTCTGAATTTATTTCTTCACTGTCGGTAGGCTCAATGAAAAGATTTGTTGATCCCCTGAAAAATGCCCCAAAGGAAAATTATTTTTTGGAATAAACCCCCCGTTTTGAACTTGCAATACTCCACCCAGTGCTTAAGATCACTCATATACGATTTTTGTCTATGATATTAAATGTGCAATTTCCTTTAATCCGAGAAACCTTTGTTTGTAGGGTTATCGATATTTCCTGTAACATATAGAAGTGTGAAATGAACCAAAAGGGAGTTTAGGTTGAAGATAAAGAAACAGCCACCACTGAATTTAATTTTTTTTTTGTACGTAGCAAAGTGAAAATTTTAACACTTTGAGATAAGAGCTTTTGATATTTCAGATACTGCGATTTTGTCGGTAAATAATAACCGATAGGCTTAAATTAACTCAATTGTGGTCATTGCCAGGGTTAATGCCATAAGTGTAGACAGCTTAATTACTCTAAATTCGGTCTTTTCCTCACTCTAAAGCAGCTTAATGACAGAAATAAAAAAAAATTGAATGAGGAATCAAATCTACCACCACATTAGAGTCTCAAATGGCGATTTGCCCCCAGCAAAGGAAATTTTAGGTCCTCTTGAAAGAAGGTTGCCGGCTTGTTAATTACATGCATTAGTTAACTCTAGCGCTTTCATGTTTCCTTCTTTTACGCATAAATGCTTTAGTCGATGGCGATAGACCTTAACGAAGCGAATCATTATGCGGTCTAAACCTTCCGTCAAAAGGACAAAAAAACATGACATCTGTGTAAAATGTAATCTTTCAAAGTAGTATCCGTGTTCATCACAAATTATTCGCCGGAGTTAAAAAAAAACACTTAGACCCCTCGGTCAAGAGGTAAATAGCCTGCCAGAGTTTACCACTTCCGGTTGTACTTATAACCAGAGATACAGACAAAAAAAGAAAAAACAGTAATACTGGATTGGATTCAGGGAATACTGTTTTGAGATCACACTTTGAATCAGCAAAGTTCCTATACGGGGTGGTTACCAGAACTGCTTCACTTTCCTCTTTGGCCGTCACATTAACCTGCTAATCTCTAACTTCGTGAGCAGTCAAGCAATCACTTTCTGACCTACGCTATTTAACTCTACGTTTTCTATTAATTGCTAACTAAATAGGCCTTTTAAACTCAGGCAGGTGCTGAAGTCGCTATTTGTACTAAAATGAAAAAGAAACAAACAGTCAGCTTTTACGCAAATATAGCGGCTACCGAAATCTCATTCAAATTAATTCTACCTGTATAAAACAGCTATCTAAATTAAATTTAAGATTCATAAAGTTGCTCAATCATCTTGTCGTTTTTTTAAAAATCCCATAGTATTGTACCCTCTCAGAGTTAATAGTGCATGTCCAGAGAAATGATGTCATAGGGATTTTGGAACAATTGTGGGCAATGCATAATGTATGGCGCTTCGAGATGTTGGTTGAAACACAAATGCAACTTTGAGAAAATGGCTCGGAAAATCACACGACAAATGTAACGTTGCACCTTTCACCCACGGCTGAAGACATGGATCTTAGGCACTTGACGATAGTGGTTTTCTGGCTAGGGTTAGGGTTGTGCGTTGGGTCCCTGAGAGCCATGTCGTTCCCTGTGGCTGAGAAGGGAAAGTCGACAGTCCGCGGTCGAAACATGATCAAAAAATCATCACAATCTCATCAAAGACTGAGCAACATTCGAACTCATTTAAAACAGCATTTATCAAGTGAAATGCACAATCCGAAGAAAATAATTAAGAGAAGAAAAGCTTTTAGACTAAATACCGGAAAAATTGCTGGCATATCTAGAGGAGTAATTGCGATAAGCAAATTAAAACATGGCTTCCTGAAGCAAATTCCACAGGAAACTGAAAACCATGTGTATCATGGAAGGAGAAATATTGCGTATCATAAGCCACCGTCGTTCCCCTCACACCTGGATTTCAAAGTGGCTCGCCGGGACGAGGATGGAGTTTTAAAGAGGTCTCGAAATAGAGTGCGACTCAAAAATAAAAAAACACAGGCTAGAAATATGGAATCGTCAAATAAGTGGCTTCCAAAGAAGGAAAACATTACCTTGAACACAAAAGGACCGCAAAATACCAATGCTTCGATGGAAATGAAACGACAGCGTATTTCAGATGGAGTCATGTTTGCTAATAAACCCAACGAGTTTCTCAATGAGGGCATGCAGCTGAATGAAAACCCCGATAGTTTTTTTGCCAATCCATTGGCTGCTAAACCAGAGCAACGTATTCTCCATTCTTCTCATTTCTTTTCCCCAGCAGTGCATAAGTTTTTGCCAGCTGAACATCGTTTCTCTGGTGAACCTATTCACAGATATCTGTCATCTCCAGTGCTATTTAAGGATGCAGACAGGGAAGGTTTCGCCCCTCTCGATACCAGGGGCGATTCAAACGGACCTTTTGAAGGTGCACCGATGCCACCTCTATTTGAAGGTCCACCTCGCCATGGTAATCGCGTCATCATTATAAATAGGCCCATTCATACTCCTGTTCCTGTGCCTGTGCACGGACCTCCAAGGATTTCTGTGATCCATCATCCAGTACTACTACCACCCCAACAGGTCCCTGTTCCTGTTCCAATCCCCGGGCCGAGGCCTCCACAATATATCGTTGTACACAGAGAATTTTCAAGACCAGGTGTGTTTTTAGATTTAAGAAACCGTCTTTGAATATCATCCCAATCGTTGCGTATGTTTGTTTTGTTTATTTATTCGATTTTACTTTCCCAGCGATTGACCCTTGTGGTGTCAATCCTTGTAGAAACGGAGGTACTTGTACAGCAGTAATCACGGATTTTAAATGCATCTGCTCGGTGGGATACAAAGGAGAAAGATGTGAAGGTAGCGCATCAGTTATGGCTTAGCGTGTTTGCTCAATAATTAATTTATTCATCATGCTCCATATTTTACCTGACTGGTGACTGCATCTGCCTCGCTAGTTGGAGTTTCTTTTTTAACTCTGTTCGTTTTTTTCCTCCGTGAATCCCTAATTCAAGTCTTTAATCTTGCCGTGAATAGAACAAGGTTTTTCTCATGCCAATTTTGGCGCTTTACACCATGTTACATTATATTTAAATTATTTTTCACGATTATTTCGAGAGTTTCGTTGTTAACTGACAAACCTTTAGAAGCTAAGTGAACTCATCTGCACAAAAAATATATCTGTTTATACCATTTAATGAATGTCAGTCCTTTCCGTAATTTGAGCATAGAAAAAGTATCGTTCAGCTTTAATATTATATCACTTAAACCACAAGGCAAATGCTTGAGAAAGACATTAATCCATCCTTCCTTTCGCTACTCTACGTTCATTGACTTTCCTCAAGTCGTTAAACTATTCTAAAAGCTGACCAGCATAGACAGTAAGATGATCTTGTTGCAAATGTAGCTGACAATTCCTGTTTACCTAATAAATTAATTTATGTTAATATTCCAGTTCAAAGCAGATGCTTGCCAAATCCATGCAAGAACTTTGGAAAATGTACCGAGCTCCCTGAAGATTTTGAGTGCACCTGCCACACTGGCTTCCATGGAAAAACCTGTGACCGTAAGTTGGAAATTATTCTTTTGTTTTGATTTTGTAGAGGTTTTCGCTTGCATTTAGAAAGTGTCTAAATACATCTTGGCGTAAACACATCCCTCATTGAATAATTCAATTTAGCAAGAATTGATCGCACAGCCTCTTCATTGTGGTATAAGTTTGACCAGCAGATACTGAACAGTTACAACCATGTTAATTGTTAGTGTCAGTCTTCAAACTTACATTGTCTGCAAGTTAAGACAGCTCTATGACTATTTCTTCCCGCGCTTTTCCGGTAAATGTAGTGTTAAGTGTCGCTGAGTGATAAGCCCCGCAGTCAGAAAATATTACCAAATCTTAACTTTCTGGGTATAGGAGAATACCAAACAAAACAAGCAAGAAGCACATAAGTGTTTGGTTTTGGTAATAATCACGATAACACAACAAACAGTCGGAAACATTTTGCGAGAATTAAGTAACCGAGCTGCAAAATATTAATTTATTGTTCGTGATTTCATCCAACATTTGTTTTTTCCGCTTTTTTTCCTCAGTTGAAAGTAAGTGTGAGCCTAATCCTTGCAGAAACGGTGGGGTGTGCACGGAAAACATTGACAACTACATCTGCTCGTGTGCAGCTGGATTTATGGGAAAAAACTGCGAACGTGAGTGATTTGATGTTGTTATAAGTTTGTGCTACCTCGTCGAACTTAATGCAGGAGAGCTGTGGAAAGAAAAGACAGATTTCGATACGAATGAATTTGGCCTTGTGCACTACAACTATTACCTTTTATAGCTGTATGAAAGTCTGATGTTATATATTTTGTATAAAGGTTTAAGCCATCATATATAAAGTATTACCTCACCGGTAAGATAAATTGTTTTTTAACATGTGACATATCAACAGGGGAATCAAAGTGTTTACCAATCAACCCATGTAAAAATGGCGGCATGTGCACGGAAGACCTGAGCGGTTACAAATGCAACTGTAAAGATGGATTTGACGGAATCAATTGTGAAGGTATGATAGCCCCAGAATCCAACACAATCATCTATTTTGTCATTATTTCCGTGTCAAAGGCAGATGTAAAAAACCTTGGTAGAGGATTATTTACATGTATATGTACGTAAAAATTTGCGGGTACCACAAACGGTCGACTTGTTAGGGTAAGTTTTTAGAGAAATAGTGATGCTTCGTCAAAAGGGGGGAGAGGGTGTAACAAGATGACTTGGTTTTTATCAACTGAATTGCAAAAGATTCGCTCTAAAGAAGGATTAATACTCGAAACGTCCACCTATAAACTCTTTACCGTGGCCAGTTTACATTATCAACTCATGTGATAAAACCAAATTATCTCGTTGAGAGACTTCTCTGAGAGGCCATCTCCGTGGACCAATGCTTTAATAAACCTATATTACGTGGGATTTTAATGATATTGTTGGTGTTTGTAGTTCGCCAGACAAGCACTTCTTGTGACAGTACTCCTTGCTTGAATGGCGGGACCTGCATCACTGATATCTACGACTTCTCAAAATTTTCATGTTACTGTGCGTCTGGCTTTACGGGATTAAGCTGTGAAGGTATTTTCGATAGATTTAAAACCTAAAATCAACTTTAGATGTGATCGAAAAATAACATACTTCATGCACTGATTGTTGGTTTGCAGTGACCCACATTTTTGAGTCAGTAGTCAGAAATGGCACTCCTAGTCAAACAGATTTAAGAATATTCCTATCTCTCATTATTGAGTAATGGCCGGTCTAGCCGGTAGTGTTTCTTATTTCACTATTTCATTTAACTATTCAATCAATCAACTTAAGTAGACCACACGTTGTGGCCCAATCATGATGGTGGATGCATTGAATAACTGATGAAACGACGTGGGTTTCAATGAGGTCATTATCTATATGCTTTCTCGAGCAAAACACCGTCATTTCCTTTCTCTGATCATGAACAATCAACCTCTCGAGGAAACTCGACGAATTTCTGGGGAGTAAGACTGCAATTAACTAACATCCATGCGTATGGAAATTAGAAATCCTTCTTGTCCCCTTGTTCCCTTCACGCTCGAGAAACCGAGGTACGCTTCGGAAGCTACAACAAGCTTTACTTCGCTTTTACAATCCCTCTTAGCTCATTTCTCGTCCTTAATTTGAAATCCATTGTTTTTATCAACACGTGCATGACTTGCATGGTACTAGAACTTGCATGTAACAGCTGCCCAGGAATATGCATCAAGGGAGTGTGTAAAGCAGGTATCCAATCCCAAGGTACGTCCTGTCCTTGGAGGAATGGTCACTGATGAGCTCTGATAGGGACTTTTTTCGTGATGTTATTAATAGTTTACATTAAAAAAATACATCACAGAGAGGCAAGACAGACGAAATTTTGAAATGGTGCGCAGCTATTTTCAATTTGACTTCTTTCAATTGGAAACACCTGGGAAAACGCTAACTATTATTATTTAAAAATGAAAAGTAAGTATCACTATTTGTTAAAAAGAGCGATGAGAAGATATTAATATACGGCACTTATACTTAAGCGTTTAATTAAAATAGTGATTTTCACCAAATTTTGGGGCGTACTTATCCTCACCAAAACAGTGCAATGCCTACAACAACAAGATAAAGAGATTTAAGCTTTTGAAAAATGATTTTAAACTATTATATTATTCTTTCAGAAAAAGGGTTTCAATCTCTCGTTCTTTCCAACCCACTTTCCAACTCACCTTGTGCACCATTTAATCCCTGCCTTTTTGGTGGACATTGTCTTCCGGACGGGGAGGACTACACCTGTTTATGCCCTGCTGATCGAGGAGGATCTCACTGCGAACGTAAGCCTCCCGGAATTAAAAAAATAAATAAATAACTATATATACATATACATATATATTTCTCCACCTTGATTTCTGCAAGTTCGTTCCAAAATCCTCATACGTGCCTCCTAAGTATATGCAGACGGTACCTCAACACTGTTTTAATGTTATTGAAATATTTTTAAATTTTGTTACAGATTTGTTTCACGAGAGCAGCTGTAATGGCTGCCATCACCACGCTGTTTGTATCTCTAGCCAGTGCACATGCCGAAAGGGATACTGGGGTGATGGACATAGATGCAGACCAAGTAAGTTATGAAGTATTTTCGTTGCGAATTTACGTGAGGCAGTCGAACCCCTAAATTTAATACGGTGATGTAAACGACTTTGTAGGGGTTTTTTGGGGAAATGAAAAACGTCTTTTCGGAAACATCGAGCGACTTCACGTGGCGTGAACATTTAAGGGAGCAAATAAATGAAATGTTTTCTCGTTGATAGACCTTGCCTATCGTTTACCGAGTACAAATATTACTAAATGAAACGATTGTTAGCGGGGGAATTTGCGAGTATGCACTTCATCTAAAGGCAAAGTAAGTTGACCGATTTATTCCACAGAAAAAAGGTTAGGCCAACATATATCTCAGAAATTTTGTTTTTTACTTTTTAGCAATTTTGTTATTTTTTTAAGAAACCTCTCCATGTCATCCCAACCCATGTGAGAATGGAGGTACTTGTCGAGAGAACGATACTTTAGAAACATCTCAATCGGACTGGTGGTGTGAATGTCCCAAGGGATACAGCGGAAAACGCTGCCACGGTATGGTATCTGCTTCTACTCCATGTGATAAAAAAACACAGTGATGTTTGTGGTTTGAAAACCATGCACTTTTAACCCACTGGGGAATTATGGTGTTCAATAGCACGAGATAGGGAAATAATCACACTATTGTTATTACAATTATCGCTGACTGTGTATAGTTAACAACCTTTCACCGAAGTGGAGGTGGTTAGTTGTTGATCTTTACCAAGCCACGATCCGGCCAGAAAAATATCCAGTGCTAGCCACCGACACTGAGGTAAACAGTTTTTTAGCTTGTACTATGCAAAAAAAAAAAAAATGACCTTAACTCATTTATTTCCGCAACGATTACAATATTATCGGGCTCACATCTTGTACGAGTTGTTCAGAGGTGAATACCAAAAGATATTCGGTGTTTGAGTGGCTAATCAGAGCGTGCTTTCATCGCTATTTACTGTTTAACTGTATAATGATTTATTACATACAATATCAGCGTCTCAATGTAACCTAAGTGCATATAAATTCACAATCAAAGCTGTATAGTAATTTTACTCATTCGTGCCTACAGAGTTCGATCCATGTTCGAAAAAGAAGTGCTACAATGGAGGAACATGTGAAGTAATAGATAAAGAACCAAAGTGCAATTGCGACGAACCATATGAAGGAGAGAGTTGTCTGCGTAAGATATTGAATTCATTTGAACATTTTAACATTAATCAGAGATCCCTAAGAGAGAAAAAGGCGTCCTGCGAGCAATTTCATGCCATGATTTGAAAATGTATCACCCTTAAAAATACGAATGAAAAATTTCAGCGTGCTCATTGGCTAAAAACACTTCAGTTAACCCAAAACAGTGCAGGAGGTTGAAATTGAGTGCTAAAAGTTTAAATTTGGCATAAAAATGTGCGAAAGTACAAAAAAGAACAAAAAAAAAAGTGTACAAGAAAAAAAGGAGAAAGTAACGAAGATTTTATATCGAGTTTGAAGGAGAATGCTGGGAACAGAAAAAAACCAATAAGGCACAAACAATTAGCTAAATGTCTGGACGTCTTGGGCTTCCAAAAACGGTTATCATGAAATCATCTGAGAGTACGAACCTGAGGTCCTGAATAAAAAATCTTCGAGGAGTTTTATGCAACCGTTAGTAAGGGAGAAAAGGAAGATTATGAGCCTGATAGCCTTCGTGTAATGGTTATTGCTGTTGACTGATGCCTAATAGAGAAAGAGTTCAAACGAAGGGAAAGCCCGGCTGTTAAGCAATCAAACTCTCATGCAATCTCAGATATACCATCACTACGGACTCGTGAAACTTGGTTAGCCTTGGAAAAATTTGCTAGAGCGGATTTTTCCCAAATTACATTCGAAACCATCTCATAACCTATACAAAGTTATTGTCTTGGAAGAGTTATAATTCATCGAAAAAGGTAATCATTGATAACATATTAGGCATTAGCTGTCTCACTTACAATTAATTTCATGTAATTACATTTGTATCTATGTAGTCCATGAATGATGGTATATTGTTGTATTACCCTGATAATGCTCCCCTGCTGTTTCATCAAAGAAGATGTTTAAATTATGGTACAATTAACAAACATTTGTCTTGATTCAGTCGATAACGCTTGTTTACCAAAGAATGGCGAAAAGAGGGACCCTTGTAATAATGGCGGAAAATGTGAATTCACCGACGGCAAAGTAACGTGTGTTTGTCCGACTCGGTATGACGGTCCGACATGTGCACGTGAGTACTTCTATAAACGTACTGTTATTCATAGAGCACCTTTCGATTGAGTGTCGTAAAACCAAGACCGAAGTAATCACGGCAGCCAATTAAAATGAACGGAAATGCTTTTAAAAGCCAGTGAAAGCTTAAAACAAAACCAACCAAACTTTCTAAAGCGCGGGAAAACGCGGGCGACCACTTCGTGATGAGTTTTAGTTTTACATCTGATTGGTTGAGAGAGTGGTACGAGTTTTCTGGACCAATCAGAGAGCAAAGTTAAGGAAAACCAGTGCAATCTCGGGTTCATTTTGGCACAAACTCGAGAATTACTCTGTACGCTAAAAATGATACGTTCCTCCCGTTTTTGTTCGGTTTTTTTTTATAATATGTTTTGGCTTCTTTTATTGCTTTTATTTGTTCTGTGTACTCTGTATTTTTGTTCTGCTTTTTCGTTTCATTTTTAGGCGTGCCTTTTCAATTCCGCTTTAGATTATTAAATGTTAATCGAACCATTTCTATAAGTATCTAATTATAACGCTCTGTCATTCCTTCTTTTTTACAGTTGACAAATGCGCTAAATGCGACAAAAACGCATATTGCGAAAATGGAGCTTGTAAATGTCGCCCACCATACGAAGGAGACGGAATCACTTGCACGAATCCGGAGGAGGAAAAACCAAAAAGTTAGATTGAGATAAGTTATTTTATTCCTGAGCGCTTGTAGTTGGTCAATCCTGCTGATTGACAGGATTTTTCTTTTTTTTTTTTTTTTTTTTGCGAATGCATCATTGCGAACAGATTTTATTTGACGGCTTTAACGTAACTCTCATAAAGAAGGAAAATTAATGATCAAGAAGCCTCATGTATTTAAGTTCATACCTTATGCAAAAAAAGAGAAAATGGTTTTTAGGAACTCAGTGAACAAATTACAAAATAAAGTCATCTACCTAGGTTTTAAAGGTTAAAATTCTGAGTGTTAGCGATAATATTTTCAAGGGTCATTCACTTATGCTAACTTGAAAGAAGATCATTAGTTTTTAGAATTTTTTTCCTAGGGAAAGATTGCTTTCCGAAATATTCGCGTCAAGGCTTAACTCGACATGATTTATTCAGTGAGAGCAACAACGTGGCGGTTAGTTTTCTTGAAACAACGTCAAAACCTATAGGAAATATTCGGAAGCATATAGCGAACGACTGAATAAACACTCCCTTTCCATATAGAAATAACCTTTGTGAAATCGACAAGTATAATTCAACAGATACAACGACTGTCGATTGAAGGCCTTGTCCTATGTTGCAATTTTGATGCCGATCGGAATTAATATGGAATTAGTTAGGTTAAAAGTTGAGTAGTTCGAAACACTTTATTGGAATAACACTGACTGTTGATAACGCCTTTATCTATTTCAGAGGCGCCTACCAATCCGTCTGAGTTGGCAAACGGCTGCAATCCAAACAAATGTAAAAATGGAGCTGAATGCATCGAAGGAAAGTCTACTTTTTTCTGCGTTTGTCCAGAAGGCACCTTCGGCAGGCTGTGTGAAAAGAAGATTACACCCACAACACGTATGATATATGTATCAAGATAAAAACAACTCCAACGGTAGCCGGATACAGTTTCCAAATTCCCTCTGTATCTCTCGAACAAGAAATACTGATATGAATTGCACTTGCAAGGCCGCTGCGTACTCCTCACCTTCCTCCCGAAAAAAGCCAAAATAATGCTACTAATGATAATAGTAAATAACAATTAATCGTAGTACTGAATTAGTGTACCTGTTTGAGTATAGTCAATGACGGCTTGACATTCCCCTCTCTACATATCTTTCATTTTCAGCTAAAACTGTTGGGCTTCAATTTCTGAAGAGACAATTAGGATAATCGTTAAACAGTGATTTTAATTATTTAAGGACCTGACCGTAACCGCATACAATGCTGCGGTTGCACCCAAATTGCAGAGTCCTAGTCTGGCAAATACATTGACGAAACGTGTAAGAGGCATTTGAAGTATTCAGCTTTAAGAAAGTACCATCCAATCCGATTTGTTAAAAACTGTCATAATACGATCACAATAGTAAACACATTTTCTGAGTTTATCATGTATTAGATGCATCATTAATGGTTGGTGATCTGGTTGTTATTCTAGTTTGATGATAGTTGTATAAGCATGCGCAGCTAAGTATTGCCCGTAATGAAGACGATATGTGACCCTGAAGAAACTTTTATTTTAAATTCATTCATGATAGCTCCACCCAAAGCAGCGTGTCATCCAAACCCTTGTCTTAATGGAGGAATGTGCAAAGAAACGGGAGTCAACCAGGATTTTGAATGCATTTGTCCAAACCCCCGGTTTAAAGGGAGGTTTTGTGACGGTGAGTGAAGAAAGTAGAGCTTCTTTCTTTTTCTGTCTGAGGATGGGGTCTTGGACTCTTTTACAGACCGTCCTTATGGCATTTCCTTTGTTATAGGTAATCATTTTATTTTGCTAATTGCCATTAAATTGTAATAAGTTTAAATAAACCTTCTGACAAAAGGCTGAGAGAATGTTTCATTGTGAGAATCATACGTTGAAATTACTAATTTACTGAACTGTAAATTTAAACTGTCAGATAATATCTACATTTTCCATAATCACGATCAGTTTTCAACAGGAGGAGGGTGTAAGAAACTAAATATCTTTCGTTCTCCAATGGTTCGATGTACGGTTACATGCTTGGTTGCCAAGCCTTTGAACAGGAGTGAGGCTAAGGGTGACCTTGTTATGATACAAACCTTGCAGCTTTCAAATGCAAATTACTTTGTTATCATGCTAACTAGATACCAGTCTCTATCATAACAAGGTCACCTTCAGCCTCACTCCAAATCAAAGGCTAGGCAACTAAGTACACAACTGTTAAAAAAAACCTATTTGTAGAATGTAATTTAATTGAGTACATTTTCGATTCACTGATGCTTAGATGACTATCAACACATTCTACACCGAGTAAAGCAATGGTCTTCGCAATTTAAAAATTGCAAAAAGAAGTCTGATAAAAAAAAATTCACGTCACGCTTCGTCAGGATTCAGTCGAATCCTTGCCTCCCAGAAAATAGTTGGACGCTACTATCAACTAAGCTACGAGGACGCACGCTGAGAGCGGGCACAATTTGGAAGGTCCTTCTTTCTCGAGAAGGAATATGATTATAATCTTTAATTTCCTAACAGTGGACATGTGTGCCGAATGCGATCCTCATGCTCGGTGCATCAATGGAAAGTGTTTCTGCAGAAGAGGGTATTCTGGCGACGGCTTTTCGTGCAAAAGAGGTAGGTTTGTGCCTTTTAATGAAAATGAAAAGTCTCTCATCACTGATAGACGAACATTAATTATTTTCGTGAATCCGAAATACTTGGGCGCGTACAATGCTATGAAGAAATCACCACTTATCGCCAGTATTTTTATCCCATTTCATTCGATGGCTAACTTGCATAGTGAAACCTTCAATGTACTGTCCTCCGTAGATTAAAGAATGAATAATTATACCTTTAGTATCTAGCTCTATTTTGTACCCTTAATTATCAGACTGTTTAAATGCAGTAATTAGGGATAAGAAAGAATGACTATGGTTACTTAAGAGGACTGATTTGATTGAAAATGGACACTAGTAAGTACTTAACTGTCACTATTGAGTCGATGAAAATGATGATACTATTATGTCATTTATTTTTGTTCGTAGTGAAGCCAAAGTGTCCACCGTATTCCTACACAGTTACAGGCGACATTTGCATTTGCAACCCAGGTTACTACATGAACAATACTGGGAAGCGCGCATGTATCCGTAAGTATTCGTCATGAGTCACTCAGAGAGGGAAGAAAATAATTTTGTAATGCTTCTTTATTCAATCAAGCGTTGCGAAAAGAACAATAACATGTAAAACTAGCCTTAAGACATACGTTACATTTATTGATCAGTTACCCCATCGCTCAGGGTTTAATGGCGGGTCAAACAAAGTGAGTATTTGTTATCAAGTTTTGAGAAGATAGGCTTAGACAGGAGGGAGGAAGAATAAAGGCTTAGTCAGGAGAGGAGCTCAGTAATTTTGTTGAAAAGTGGTATAATCCTTCTTGAATTCGATTAATATCTGAGCCGCTCGATGTGGCTCACGGAGAGGAAATCCACCAGAGAGGCAACTAAAAAAGGTTATGTTGTTGACTTCTGATGCTCATCTTTGCCTCAACGTGAATGCTTATCAACGCAAGCCTAAGAAACTCTTTACCGCTTTACCCTTGAAGTAATTTTCTGTAACAAATAATGCAGTGTAGTAAAAAGTTGATAGATTACTGTGACTTAAATATTAAACTCTTTGTGTTTTCCTCAATGCTAGCGATCACGGCGACATCTCGAACAACAATGCAGCATGGGACTCAGCTCCAGATTCCTCCACCAGCGCTCGGAAGTACAGAAACTGGAGGTGGACAACAGTGGTCAGGTAAAAAAAGAAAAAGTCGAGGATGGATGCAGGAAAATTTTAATTTGTACTAATGCGGCAGCAAGTTTCTCCTAAGATAGTGAGCATCGACTGCCATAAACACGTTTTTACACGGGGCTCACCTTGTTAAATCGACTAGAATGCACATTCACTATTTCAATCTGGTTTATTCAAGTTATGTTAGGCGTATGACAACTGACTGAACTGTGTAATACGAACTCGAAAATGACCTTTGCGACGACTTTGGTACATACTCATTGAGGTCTCGTCATAAGGAGATCGTAATCTTCCAAATGGTTATATCTAAAAGTTTTCAAATATGGCGCAAACTTATTTTTGCATTTCTTAGACCAAATTTAACTTCTTTCTCAAAATACTTTCTTGATTACTGACACTAATAAACAGTTTGTAGAGTGCTTGTCACATCTGAACTTTTCCATTCATCTATTTACTAACTCGCTGTCTATTCTACGACACTATAGTATTACAACCTTACCGACCCCACTAACGTAACATTACGCGTTGAAATCTACCTTAAGGTAGTGGAGCTGAAGCTACACAATTTCCAGTTACGAACTATAATTAAAACACCACTACTTTTCACGTTATAATTTCTGATAACCGACTTGAGTTACAATGACAACGCTTCTAACATAAGCTTTTTTATATGATAAAACTAACTCTGCTAGCATAACAGTTTTTAAATACGTTAATGTCATAACAACAACCGAAGCTACTAACATTCCAGGACAAAGTACCCCTTAGCAATTCGCGGCAATCAAATATGAACTTAGCATATGGCTTAGGTTGTAAGTGCATTTACCCTTGAAATCGAAATTGGTGCAGAGTAGCACAAATTCTTGAGCTCGTAACCAATTTTTTAACATTCTTCACTACCTTGTCGCCCTCCTCCCAACAGAAGACATTGTTGTTACAGAATACCGTAGTCTAGGCTGCTGGGCCGACACCTCCGAGTGGCGAGATCCATCTAAACGCGCCATGATGGTGATGGAAGGCTTAGATCCCAATTTGGCCGACAACTACCACGAGCGAAAACAGCCAATCAGCAAGTGCGCTGACGTAGCTAAGAGGTTGGGTCTTAAAGTTTTTGCCATACAAAATGGAGGTCAATGTTTTGGTGGCGCTGATGACAATGGTTACAAGAGGTATGGATCGTCTGAGAACTGCGGTGACGGAGTAGGGGGAACCTTGGCCAACGACGTCTACAAGCTCTGAGTGTTTCGATTTCAAATATTTCTTATTTTGGGAAAGTACCTTAGCCTTATAGCAATCATACAGCAGGCTGAACCTGCATCATCCGAAGTAAAATTGCAGGTTAGGCACGGGTGCAATGAACAGTTAAAACACCGCTCTGGCAAAATTTGAGCTTTTTAAGTGCGGTAGTATAAGTTTTTACATAAGTTTGAATCAATTTTCATATAGAAAAAACGATGCATTCTCTCAAAGAGAGAAAAAGGAGTAGTTTTTAAAACTTAATTATTGCATTTCCGAGTACTTTCCTTTGCAATCATTGGAATCATGACGATGATTTTAAAGCTGCAACCATTACTCTGAAAAGTACTCTACTTTTTAAACAGAGAATAAGTTTATAAAATCATTTCCATGTAACAGCTGGATGGTAAGTGGAGAAGACTTGCGCATCAGACTCACAGAATAAATGAAAATCTAGTGCATACCGTGGAATATTTGGCTACCTCTAGCATGTCACTACTCGGTGTAATCGAAAAAGATTTCTTGTTCCTTATTGTTCAATAAAGAATGCATCGAAGTTTGTTTCCAATGTTTTCAGGATTAATAAAAAACGTTAGCTCAAACATCACACGTGATGCGAGTGCTAAAGTTTTATAACGAAATTATCAATTAGAAAAGAAAAACAGCTTAAGCGCGCCTTTCGAACCGTTTAAAACGTCTTGATTAAGGAAGCCTTGAAAGCAGATAAGTATAACAGACAACACTGATCCTATGTTTCACGATTCTAAATCACATGTAATGTTTGGAAGATCTCCATTTTTCTTTCAAAAACGCCCATTGTTAAGAATTGCAAATAGGGAAATTGATGATGGATAACCTCTTTTTCTGTCATGCATAACTATTATCCCCCTCCCCCCCCAAAAAAATTCGCCTCAGTGAGTTAGGGTCTCTCGTAAATGTAGAGTTTGTTTTTCTTATCAGATGTTTATGTTTATGTAGCAGCATACATTCAAAAAACAATCATTAAAAAAAAAAACAGAAACAAGCTGCCGTAAGAGATTTCCATCCATCTAAGTAATATATAAGTCAGTCTGAAATAGCAGTTTTTGGATCTTTATTGACAATATACATGGTGAAATTTACAAATTAGAAAGGCGCGAAATAAATCTAAATTCGCAAGCTGGTCGAGGCAGCCGAGAGCCAATGAAATGGCGCGTATCGCTTTTTTCGCGAGTAAGGAAAACGACACGTCTAATCGGGAGCAGCTCCCAGTGCTGTTTACTACGTCAAGTTACCTATAAAAGATGACTGAGGAACTTCTGTTCGTGATAATGTGGAATAGAAAGCATGCAGAACTAAAACTCAAAGGAGAAAACGATAAGAATACAAAGCGGCGAGATTTAAAACCGTTCGAATAATTTTTTCCACGGAAAAACGAGGAAAGTAAACATGTATCTTGAGGAGTAGATTCGCCCCTTTCGACGAGAAGGCAGAGAGATTATGAACCATCAAGCTTATGAAGTTTAATTTTAATTATTGACAGGTTTTTTTTCCACTTGAGGCAATTTACATCGTTTACATCTTTCGTGACCGATTTATGAGAGTTTGACTTGAATCTGTTGAACAATACATTGTCCTTAACAAGAATTGAATCTCCGGATATATAATAAACATAAGACATCATGGAAAGTCTGTCCGTACGTCATTTACGCACTAGTGGGTTTGTATCAGAAAAATCACACGACCGGTGCGTTCGCTTGTTCGGTTACCGGTACTATACCATCTCGTGCGTAAATAGCATACGTACAAACTTTCCATGATGTATTCTATGGAATACGTGGGAGTAGGAAGTAGCACGTGGGGGGTTCAATATGGAATACAGATTCAAGTCTCGCATTTTTTTTCAGTTAGTGTTCGAGTCACAGTGTTAAGGTTACCATTAGAGACAGCCATTTTCGTTATGCGGATCCCCATTCTATTCCAAATTTCATAGCCTACGTATGAGAAACAACCTTATAAAAGTTGTTATACAGTCGTTACGCATGCGCTCTGACGAAGGGCTTACAAACGAGACGTCAGCTTTAGACACTCTTTACAGCGGCCAACTCAAATTATCAAATCAGTAAACAAAAACAATTACGGAAAGGGGACATCTAAAAATAATTTCAAAATATACTTGTTTGGTGCATTTTAAAGTACTACCCAATCAGCTTTTCGTACACTTTTTCTCCTTCTGCAACTGTTTTAGCTTTTCCATTAAAACTTGATGTAATAGTGTCATAACTAAAGCTCTTTCTCGAGGTTCATGGCTCAATCCGTTTTCCTTTTAAGTGATATTGATTGTAAATATTAGAGCACCAAATTAAATTTGATATGCTCCCGACAAACAAAATACATATCCTTATAAGAGTTCTCATCCCGCGGGGGTATCAAAATTCTGGAAGACTAATCGTTTTTTGTGATATTTATGAGCTGCTTTTGACTCTAAACAAAGAACCCTTAGCACCTGATATGTGTCATAACAATAACTGACTCGAGCAATTTCCACTGAAGAAAAATTACCTGCATGAAAAGATGACACTTCTAGCGAGAATCCATTGAACCACCAGCTCTATTCTCTTTAATGTTTCTTCACACCAATCAGAAGTTAGAAGCCTAGCTGTTTAACAGGTAGAACGCTTCGATTGACATATATCTAATGATAATCAAATAAAAACCACCAGGCGCCGAATTGTTTTCGTGTTACCTATATTCTTTGCTTTGAAGACAATTGTTTGTATTATTAATTGTAGACGTGTGTTTCTCCGTAACCAGATGAAGATATGTAGTCAAAATATGAAAGTTTTGGGATATTTTGGAACAGTTTTCCTTCTGTACGCTTCACAGCTGTTGGCAACTCTTCTTTGTCAAGCAGATGCTAAATTAGAGGACAGCCACATAAAAACCGCACAGAGAAATCCGACTTTTAAAAAACATGGCAACAAGTACGATTTAGAAAAGGATTTGAAACATAATAACATTGTGGAACTCAAAGAGAGAGAAGACAGTTCAACGGTAAAAAGTAAAGAAGCATTCTCGATTTCTGCTGGAGGACGAATTGTTAGCAGGGTTCATATTAATACTAAAAAGAATGGTTTTGATCAAAATGGAGTTACGGCGGCTGACAAATTAACGAGCTCACCCACTTCTTCTCCAAGTCAGGAAGAATCTAGAAAGTTTGGAAGCAAGTCTATTGGTACCCCAACAAATGTGAGGAAGGCAACTCACTCTAAAAAGTCAAAACTATTAAAAAACTTGCCTTCTGAAAAATCGACCAAACCTCATCAGAAGGACAACGTTACTCCTAAGAAGAAAAAAAAGTTATTTAAAAAATATGCTTTGGTTCAGTCATTTTCTCCACTTCAGTCTTCTGAAGATTACCCGCCGATTGCAGCGGGTGGTGGAGACCAGGGATATGGTTCATTGGCTGAAAGTGATCAAACAGGTGAGATTCGAGACCAGGGACAGGCCCAAGAGCAGCAGCAGATAGATTATTCGAATTCGATGTCTCAGTACGACAGTGCAGGATATCAACAGGGCAGTCAGTCACCCGATACAAATTTCGCGGGCCTTAACAACGATGACGCTGGTCAGAGTGAAGGAGGACAGCAGCCTTCCAGTCTGGAACAGGCTATTCAGTTACAGCAAGAGGCATACACTCAGCAGCCTCAAGAGCAAGAACAGGGGGAGCAAGGTACCGAGCAGGGAGGACAAGAAGAAGGAGGCCAGGCGGCTGATGGTGGGCAGCTACAATACCAGAGTGAGCAAACAGTTCAGGAACAAGAGCAAGGTGGTCAGGAAGGAGCTCAAGAACAGGGCGGAGGTCAAACAGGTTTTGAACAAGGGGATTATCAGCAGGAGCAGGCACAAAATCTTGGTGAACAACAGTCTCAAGGCATTGAACAGCAGCTTCAACAACAAACGCAGTCACAAGGGTACCAGTCTCAAGCGCAGGAGGAACCCCAAGAATCACAGGGTGCATCTACAGAATCGCAAACTCTCCCGACGTCCTCTAGTTCTCTTGGTGGCTTATTTAGTTCAGAAGCTCAGCAAACGGCAGAGCAAGAAGGACAGGGAACAGTAAGTTACGCAAATGAACAGCCTAATGAAGATGGAGGGAAAGGTACACCTCCTGGTATTCAGTACGCCTCTTCGATCGAGGAAGCACTTAAAGAGCCTGGAGAGAATCCCCAGGAAAGTACTAACGATGGAAGAGAAAATCAGGGTAGCCTCGGAGGAATGGAAAATGCGAATGTCATTAACATCGGTGGAGGTTCAGATTCTAAAGAAGAATCCAATGGTTATATAGGAGCAGGAACTATAAGTGCCCCGTCCACATATCAGTCTGCTGCTTTTGATGTTAACGGGAACACCGTTCAACCAGAAACTACATCTGAGGCTAACGCATACACGTCAGAAAATGATCAGACCTCAAACGGTGAGGCAACGGGTTTCGACGGAAATCAACCATCACCGAGCGCTTCCTCTCCAGAGGGGCAGGGTCCATTCAGCCTTGCTGAACAACAATTTCAGAAACCAGCTCCAAGACCGAAGGTGCCCTCTCTTGAAGACGATTTTTATAAGATCGTCAACATTGCAAATAAAAATGGTCCCACGGCAGGTAAATATGCCCTTCGTCTTAGTTACAGGGAAAGGTGGACGCTCTAAAAAATGATAGCGTACGTCGTGGTCTACATGATAATATTCTTAACATTTTCCGCCAAATTTGTGAGTTCTTTGTAAGACCGCGTTGAATATACGTTTGTTTCCGTTTAAAGTTAAATACGACTTTCTTCCAAAGCCGTAGCAATGGAAAGCAAACAGTAAAATACGATAATTCTTCTTTTGAAGTAAATCATTTGGCATCAAGAAGGCTTAATTTTCTAATGCAATAACAAGAATAATAATCTATATTGCAACTTATTCTAACGCTTTACCTATGCTCCAACAAACACAGAAAAAAGGCTGGAATAGAATAAGTCCATAAGGAAATTTTTCCCAACTTTACCTGATTGCTTCGCAACATATGCGCAGTTGCAAAATAATTTTTCTTTTGTGCATCATGTGCAGTCAAGGGATGCAAAGGATGCCCTCCCCATGCCAAGTGCATAGACAAAGTGTGCATAATCAATGGTGATCAGCCTCTGGCCCATATGCTGAACGCTCTATCCGGTTCGGAACCAGGTATGCATGTAATGTCGTCCAAGCTCACTTTCTTCATAAATCGGTGAACATTTTTGTGAAATTGCGACGAAAAAATGGGCAATTTGTTCTCACGATTCAGTCCCTCAAACACAATTTGTATTTCCCAACAGTAGTCTCTATTATTTAAAAGGCAAAAATTTGAAATGTTCGGTATCGAAGGTAAAGGTAACATGCAAATAGACTCCTAATATAAACAGCAGTAACCCTTTAACACTCAAATAGTTTTTGCCTTTGGTCTGCCAATTTGGGCATTTGTTGTTGTTGTTGTTGTTCTCGTAAGAAGGAAATATGAGGAAACGCATTTTATCATTACGGTGTTTCAAGAGAATATTTTGTATTTTGCAAAACGTCTTATCATACTGAGTCCCGCTATGAATGGTAATTCGACAGTTCACTCTATAAAGATTAATACCTTACCTCTATAAAACACGGACGCAGGGGCTCAGTGTGTATGACAAGGACATAGGAAAATCATAGGAATTTAATTTCTTTGTATGTATATCTAATTTAGTGTATCTAAGCCAATAAGGGCTTGGTCACTCTAAAACACTATTTTCTAGTAGAAAAATCACTTACTCTATTCTTAACAAGTCAATATAGTTGATGTCTGAATGCAGATGCTCGCTTGTGGCGCATACGAATCAAAATCTACTTTGGTTTAAAGACTCTGATGTAAAGCACTTTTTTGAAGACGAACGAAACGGAATAAATATTTATGTTCCTTTGCAGAAGAAGAGCCTCAAGCAAGTGAATGCAAAGATTGCCATTACAATGCAAAATGCATCAACAGAGAATGTGTCTGTAAAGCTGGCTACACAGGAGACGGATTCGACTGTAGACGTAAGCACGATTTACTTCTGCGATGAAGTGCTTTTATCACATCCCCACACCCCCACAATATGTTTTTGAAATCCTCGTATTAGGTCACGCTGCAATCTCTCATCACGTATAAATGGCAACCGTCAAGAAACTGGACTTTTGCTTATCGGCTCAGATCAGTTTAATAAACAGGCTTGCTATAGAATAACTGCTTTCTTTATTCGTATGACGTTTGCTTTCCTACTTGCTGATAAAAAAAATTGGCCACAGGTCTTGTAAAGAGTTTCAAACGAGGTCCTTTCATTACTCACCATTTCAATCCACTATCTTTTTAATCAATCTATTCGCAGCTGACACCTGCCTACCAGGCTGCAAGCAACATGGCAAATGCATAAAGGGTTTTTGCGTCTGCGATCATCACCACTATTTTAATGGATATGAGTGTGCACGTAAGCTTCTTCTCTGTATACATTATAAATTGTTTTTTGTTTCACAAATGTGAACAAGTTTTCAACCTGGGAAGGCTAGATTTCCAGATTTAAAAAATACATGGCAAATACATACTCAGTTGGATCATAATCAACCACGGGACGTTCTCTTCATATTAAGCCAGATTTTGCAAGCGATAAGTGTTCATCTGCGCATCTGTCATCGAGAAAAATTGGCAGAACAATTGAATCTTTACAAGCTTGTTGCGTCTTTTAGCTCTAATGTAGATGGCGTGATAAACTAATTGTGACAAAACATGTTCAGAATATATGCACTATTCTATGAGACATTGATCAGTACAAAAGCATCGATTGCCCCTGCTTTTATAGTTTGTACCTTCCTCTGATTTCGTCGTAGCACATTGTTTTTAGGTTTGCCGTATACTATGTTACCCCACATAGCATATGAATATTAAGTTCATTCCTTTTTCACTTTTCTAGCATACAAGATAACACACAGAACTTGTCCCATTCAGTGTGCCACAGAGTGCCGTGCGAGATGTCCACAAAACTGCTGTAAACATCATAGAGTTCTTAAAATACACTATAATGATGGGAATCTCCAGCAGATGACTGTTACACCAAATGAACTGCTTCACAAAAACGCCTCTTCTCCAAACCCAACAGCAGTCCTTCTTAGGCCGGAAAGCAAATTGGACGAACACCTAGCAAACTTTGCACCAGATTTTGAGCAGCGTCCTGATGACTCAGAGGCTGCTAGTCTAGAAGCAATCAACTTGAAAAATCCTACAGGGGGATTTTCAGTAACAGAAATGGAAGGGAGACCCCTTCTCCAAAACGAAGAGTGTCCAGACGAATGTAAAACGGAGTGTCACGACTCTTGCCCAGTAAGATGTTGTTTAGGAAAATGCCCTCTCAGTTGCATGGGGAGGTGTCACCCGTCGTGTCCTAAGAACTGCTGTTATTCCCCAGGAACTAACCGTATGCTACCAGTGTTGGATCCAAAGGTTCAGGAAAACTTCATGAAAACTATGATCGAAAAATTCTGTCCAAAAGCGTGCAAAGAGAAATGTAACTCAAATTGTCCGCCCATTTGTTGTGAACGTAACTCGTCTGATTCTGGAGGCATAAAGAGTACAAACGTTCATCAATTAAAAACTGAGGGCAAGCACAGCACCGACTCTTTCAGAAATGCGATGAGCTGGTTTGGAATGATGAATTTCTTCAATATGATGTACAACATGTACGGGGACCTTTACGGCACCAAGCATTTCACTAAAATCCCTTTCAAACCGACTGACACGTTAAACCTACTAAAACCTACAAAACCCAAAACTTCGGGCATCTTAAACCCTTCAAAAGTGAATGAGGTTGGCGTCCCAGAGAGTGCAGCGATTTCCGTTCTGTCATGTCCAAATTATTGTAATAAGAGCTGCCGACATGATTGTCCCCCGAAATGTTGTGAAGGCAAGCCAGAATTAAAGTCTTTGAAAGCGGTTGGAGTCCCGCTGACTTGTCAATCATCGTGCAAGGTGTACTGTTCTAAAAGCTGTCCTTCAAATTGTTGCTCGAAGAGCAATCCTCAAAGGATATCAGAGCAGCACCCAACCGGGGGAATTAACGTTGCCAAGTCGGCATCCGTATCTCCACCTCTACATAGTCCGGAACCGGCTCCACCTCCAGCCCCACATCCTTCTTTACCTAGGCCTCCTGCTGCTTGTACGCCTATCTGTCCAGCTTACTGCTATCCTCAATGTTTGGAAAACTGCTGCCAAAGAGGTGAGGTTACCAAGAAGAAGCCATCAAAGGAGTTAAAAGCCCAAACTCAAGGCAAGCAATCATATGATAATTTCTTTGCTAAGGAACCTAATGGCCCTAGCCAAGATTGTCCAGTGGTTTGTCGAAACAACTGTGGTCCTTCATGCCCTTTACGATGTTGTCATCGCCCTCTTTCTTCACCAACAACATCACGACCAGCAGCGCCCTCTCGGTCAATCAATACACCTCTCTGTCCAGGTAGCTGTGCTTCGCAATGCTTCCCTGCTTGTACAATCAGCTGCTGCAAAGCTGGGTTTATAAGGAGCAATTCAAACCTTAACATGCCTGTTCTAAGTCCAACAAGAAGAGAACATCAACCTCCCTCAAGAACTGAGTTATTTCCGCTTCCACCTCCAGCGGCCGTTTGTCATCCTGGTTGCTCACGATCTTGTTATCCAAATTGTGACGAATCGTGCTGCCGAGCATCGACCCAAGCTTTGAGGGCGCTTCACTCAAAACCGGTCGGTGGTTCTTCCCGGCTGACCATAAAAGTACCTTGTCCGTCCGACTGCAGACCGTTCAATTGCCTTTACTATTGTCATCATGATTGTTGCCTGCCACGAAGCGAAACACCAGATTTGAAAAGACGTGGTTATAAAGATCTACGGAAAAAATTCGGCGTCGTGAGGAGAGCTAAGACGCCAACTGTAAAACCCATTTTTAAAGCTTTTGGCAAGCGTATTGTCAAAAAGAGGACTAAAATACTTGGGTAATCACTTCTTTCATAAAAGTTCTCAAATGAATTCGCTTGCCGTCGGAGACCTGAGCTACGGGTTTTGACTATCTGATGGAAGCAATCAAAGAACACTAGACGAAAGAAATTTTCTATACCTCGCGTATTTTAAGATCTCAGAGATGAAGAGCAATGATGACTTTTGAATTAATGCATCATAAGGACCGGACCTTGCAAAGTCTGAATCTACCATGAACAGACAAGTTACTAAGAGTGAAATATAGTCGCCGTGTTTTGAGTTCATGAGCTAGTTTCTGTGTCGACAGGCTGTTTACAGAGATATGCATTTGAAAAAAAATTTTGTCCATCAACAAGATAACTACGAACCCTAGTAGTAAAATTATTCTACTTTCCTTGACTGATATATCTTTGTTGCCCCTATTTGGTATAATAAGGAGCTTTTAGGCTTAGCAGTTATTTGTTATAATTGTAGTCATCTTAAGGCAACGGTGGACCTACCGATGACTGTAAGAATCTGATTTTTTTACTTGATCACTGGTGACCAAATTCTTATTTTAACCGCATTCGTAAGATTAAGAACCAATAAGCGGCCAGGCCTTCACTATTACAAGAGGTTGAGCCGAAATGATAGTTTAAAATTCCAAATTTTGTTGACAAAAAACACCCTTTACTGGGAGTACATTCGATTGGATTATAATTGCAAAATGTTTCCAAGTTTACACGCTATGCATGCATTCCATAAATTTATTTCCCAAATCGCTCTCTATATGTTTCAAAGTATCTTGGACTGGTCTTTTGGGAGTGTAAACTCAGTAACATCATTTGGTCGAAAACAAATATTGCAGGAGGTCATTGAGATGTATAAAACAGATCGCCTTAAAGAAAAAAATTTAATCTTCACTCTTAAATTAACAAAACTGTGTAACAACACGTTGTGCAAGCTATTAATAAAAAAATAACCTTCAATTTCCTTACTTGTCTCGTATTTATTCGTATGGTTAAAAATGATCTAAAAACATAACCTCGAGTATTCAGCGCCCGTGCAGAAACGTTTTTGCTTTTAGAAATTTTTGAAAGGAAATACGAAGGAATTAAATAAATGAGACCACTATTATGATAAGAAAGTTAACGAGGGGGAGGGGGTTCTGGATAGGTTTCTTAATGCTATAACGCCAAATTCACCGAACGTTTAGACTCAAATGAAAATAAAGTTTTGTTACTTAAGACTCAAGGGAAAGAAATCATAGGGTTAATCCTGCATTTTCAAAGTACAAAGAAATTCTAACGGAGAAACCGTGAACAATTTGGTAACTGTTTGGATAGCTCTTAATAACCGAGTTCGAGGGCCGAATTGTAATTATGTCCCAAGAGCGAAGCGCACAGGCCATAAATTCGAGCGGAAACTGAAAACGAGGTTTCGGAACTTGCAGTTCAGATTTTTACTCTCTTTCCTCGTTTGCGTATTGCTTGCTTCTCTTTCAAATTTTTTTCAAGATACATTTTGGCGATCGAAACAAACTTTTGAATTTAGCGCGCCGTACAGCAAACGTCCTAACTTATTCGTTAAGGTTGAAAGGCGAAAAAGACACACAAGGTGGTCTTTATGGGGTCGGAAGATTTTTCCCTTTCATGAAAAATGAACGCTAAGTCAGTTTTTTGTCCCATATTAGCCTTACACTCGCCCAGCTCAGCTTTGGGTGTGTCAGCAAAGGTGCTTCCGCTTGACTGAGCACAGTCTAATCAAATTGCAAGTTACTGAGGTGTGAAAACAGGTTGAAGAGAGGTCATCCTGTGAACAAAGTAATCACCTGTTGCCTCAAACAATTACGTTCTCACGTTTACTACACAGGTAAAGAAAAGATCAAATGCAAGTTTTCCCGAAACTACTTCTACTTTTGCGTTAAAGGTCCCCATGAACTTAAGATCAAAGTCTCAAAAATACAGACACAGACGGGGCGCAGGGTTGTTCGTATGTGATAACTTACAGTATCAAGCTAAACGCTAAGTTCAGCGAAGCGAAACATGCCGTAAATGACATTATAAGGAGATGGGACATAAGGGCTGTTCGTATGCGATCACTATAGAAATCTGAACGCTTTGTTCAGCTAAGCGATAGATATCGTGTATTCACACCAACTGTTCACACTCCGCCGAGTATGAAGTATATGAAGTATACAGTTCTTAAAAAACTTATGAAAAGATCTTGAAGTGTCACTTGAAAAAAGAGAGGGCAATTGTGACGGTACCTGACAACTGAAGAGTCAGATGTGGATAAACTTTTGCGCTGATTGGCGACTGAAACTAGGGGTCGCAGTTTCACAATTGCTATGCAGTTTAAAAACAGTTAATTCAATGTGTGCAAATATATACATATAAATATATTTATATAAATATATATATATATATATATATATATATATATGATTTTTTTTACTTTAATTTGGCTCAATACTTCCTAAGGTAGCTGAGCTTTAAGAATTTCGACACTCATTGGAACGTTTTGGTTTTCCTGGATTGCTTTGGAAATTTCCCATGGGAATGTTTCCCCCTGTAATTCGTGCTAGTGGTTTGTTTTTGCTTGTGGTTTTTGATACACGAATCAGTCCAAATCACGAGACACTTAGAATTATCGTCGTCACCTGAATTTCACGATTGAAGGCGTTTTGGATAGTCTATTGAGCAATCAAAATACCCGCATAATTAAGTTGACCGTGGAGTTTCTTCTTCAAAGAAATAACCTTACCTTAAACGTCTTAGGTGACTGTAAAGTAGCTACACACTCATCATTTCGTTGAAAATCTTTCTGTGATTCTTCCGCTACATCTTTATGTGTAAGGATGAAGGAAAAAAATTGACGTTTCTTATGCTAATGATGTTTGTCCATAATAAATCTCAAGGTCATGCTTCTTGGGTAAAAACCAATTGAAGCGATCCAAATTAGCGGACAAATATGTATTTTAGAATCTATGAGTTTGCTTGGAGCGAAAATTAGACCACAAACTCGATTAAGTCGAAAATAAATTCTTAAGGAAATTTTATGCAATGAAATGTAACGTAAGTGAGGATTGGGTAACATTGCAGTAATCGAAGAACCCCCGTAGTAATTTGACAAGGGCACCCTAACAAGACTGAAATGGGTTGACCGAAAGACGACAGGTTGAAACAGGTTATACGGTGTGAAAGTTTGTCCAAGATATAAAAAATGGTAAACTGCAAACGATTATGTCCTTCTGATCTCTTTTTGGTATACCAATATAGAAACGAATTTGAATAGTACGATTTTTCAATTGAAAAAGATCAATATGTCGATTGAGCCAATCTTTTACGTCATTCAAGAGGCATTTGTACCCAGATGATGTAACCGAGAACCCGTTTTTAATTTATTATTACCAGCGACACAATCTCATCGGAGTGACTAATGCGATCGTCCGTTTTTTGGATTTTCAAGGTTTTCCGACGTACAATTATGGGTTAAACTAAGGGATAAAATGTGGATTCGGCTATGATCGACGACAATGTTTCAAGACCTGGTCCGTCTCTTGCTTGTGGTTGTTTTCATGATTATTGTTCAACAAGGCAGCACACGAGATGTCAAACAAAAACATGGCCAGTTTTTGAACGCAACGAAAACTCAAAACATTTCTACAAATGGATCTGCACATCATAATAACAAGTTCAAAACGAACGCAACCATTTCTGGTAAACGTCTCGGTAAAACGAGGAAAAATCGAGGTATTTCATTAGCTACGCTTGCGGGACTCAACCGAGCAGCTCTTGGTATCAACCCTCTCACGGTGCCATATGGAACAAGGCTGGCTTCTTTGGGTTATCAGCAAACCCCTGCTTTGCAGCAGCTAGTCCCAACCACTGGTGGATTGATCCAAAGCCCAGCTGCTGTTAGACTTCCATACGGAATTCAACTCGCCAGGCTGTTGCCTGCTTTGAATCTTTATCGAAATAGATTACAACTGCCAACTAGTACAGGAGGTATGGCTGCCGACGTGCACGTTTACAAAAATCCTAATAGATTGAAATACGATTCGATTCCTCTTAAACCTTCCATCGAGCAACAGGAGTTGATGGGAAATGGACTGAGTTTACCTGCCCTGCTTCAGCTAAACTCCGCTGGGGTTCAGGGTCTTTCTGACTTGTCAGATGAAAGTGAAGCTGACTTGGACGAGCTTGGTATGTCATATCTTTTGCTTTGTATTATTGCCACGGCACTTTCAATTTGATTTGATTACATTTCCTCTCTCTAAAAAATGGGCGATAACTCAATATCTGCTCTCTCGAAAATAAAGCTCATTTCCTTATGGCCTCAGGTGCTTCAAAAAAAAAATTACATGCGCGTCACCCTGAAGAATGTCTCCCGCTATTTCTCTGATTGAGTGCATAACTTTTTGTTCACCGATTCAAGAGCCCAGTTTACAATTCCTCAAATGAAGACTAAGGAGCACCAGTTTTTGGAGATGTCTGAGAGATGATTCTGGAATTAATTATAATTGTTCTTGGCTCAACTTTTCCTGAAAGGAATTTTTTTAACAATGACTTCAAAATGATGCCAATTTCTGGTCGAATTGGTTTTATAATCTCCGTTTCAATAATCCTTATTAAATGAAAAGTGACCCAAAGTATTTGATCCCAAAGACGTTAATTTCCCTTCCCAAGTAATCTTCACGGCCCACAAAAATTTATTTCATTTATTACAAATACGCTTTCAAACTTTCAAACACGGAGGAAGCGGAGTTTTCAGGGTAAAAAAAGATCACACCTTGTGAACTTTTCATTATAAGTTTTGGAGATGATTGAAATAAAAACATAGCAAACATTAGAGAAAATTAAAAGTCGTCTACCTTTTCTGTAGTCCGATAAGAACTAAGAGAAAATAAAGCAGTTAACAAATTAATCGAAATCCGTGTTCGTTACATTGGGTCTCAGTTGTAGCGATATTTTTTATTAGAAAAGTGTCCCATACTATCGCAATTTGAGAACAAACGAAAACGCTATTTTTCAAAACAAGTATTTGTTTGCGTTTTAATTTTAGAGCATTGACAATTAATTACTACACCAACAACTAATTAGGGAATTGGCTCAATTTATTGACTTTTCTTCAGTTTTCAGCTGTTTGTTACCATCCCTTTTATTGGCGCTGAGCGTCTATTCGACAAATTACTTCCATCTCATGACGCATTTTTAATGGCATGGTAGACCAGACATGACATCGATTTTTTTTATCATTTCCACATTTTTTCATTCTTTCCTATTTTCATTTATTTTCTGAGTTCTTTATGATTTGTTTAATAACCAAAGTTGCCCTTGATCTTAGTTCAATATTCGTATCCACGACAGATTTTCATTTCGCTAGAAATTTGTGTTTTACTTGAAAATAAATTGTTATGACGAAAACGATATGCTAATAATGAAGGTATTTTTGTCTAAGAGACACGTTACGTCACCCTTAACACCCTCGTTCATGCCTTGTTGAAAGCATGACATGTTATCACTACGGCACCAGCAATCTTGATCCAAGAATCTTCTAAGAGTGACAACAGGCTTCTGTTTTATTTTAGCACTTGCTAAGCACAGTTCGTTGCTATGTATACAAATTTGAACGTGACTTTTCAAGGCACCAAAATCAAGCATTAAGGAATAAAAATTTAGGGCAAGATTTTCCCGAAGCCCCAAACCTTATTAAGTGCACAGTTCTTGGATAAAGGAAACAGAGGCGAATAATAGCGTGCCTTTGGGACTCCAGCTTAGTTTAGAATAGCATTGGCTATAAACAAATGTTTAAAAAAGTCCAAGGCGGTATTTGTCGCAATATACTACTATCAGAGGACTCTTCTGAGAAGGTTCAGTTGAGACAGACAAACAATTTTCTCAAAGTGATAAATACCAAAATTATCATTGTTCGACTGCAATCCGCACCAAAATTTACTGTATTTTGGAGCAAAAAGGTGACCGCCATAACGGTAAATAAGGAAGCATTGTGAGCGAGCAAACTGCCGTCAAATGCAAGGCAAATATCTTTCTTTTCTAACATAATTTATTATTATAATGGGAGCGAATAATTTTTTGACGATTCATTCTAGGAGGTGTTTGTTTGACGAAACCCTGTCACAATGGCGGATCATGTGTTAACATTGGTGAAACATTTGAATGTATTTGCAGAAAAGGTTTTACTGGAAAAAGGTGTAAAGGTAAGCGCAAAGAGCAAAAGGCATGCCGTTCTTCCTTTAAGTCGAAGGCCTGAACTAAGCCGACTGATGTGGCACCTCAGCCATCTCTCCTCTGTAGAAACCCTGATGTTTACTCTTTTGGAAGAAAGGCTTGTCTGGTCACTAATCTCAAACCTACCATTTGTCTTCGCGGAAAGAAAGCTAGCAATGTTATTAACTGATTAATCTTTTGTAGAGAACGAAACCTCAAGACTTCGAATTTAGCTCAAGTTTAACCCTTTGTCAGTATGCACAACATCAGTATGCATATTTTTATACTGTTCTCTATACATTTCGTGGATCAATATCAGTATCTGGGCAACTGCCCACCTACCCCTCCCCTAACCCAACATTAACCCTAATTTTTTATCAATAGACTGTTGTTGACTGTCGCAGATACTGATATTTATCCCATTTCCTAAGAAGCTAACAAGGGGAATAAGTTAAACAATCAGACCTCTTTAGTTGCTGATAATTTCCCTTATTCTCGTGACCTTCGAGGATGATATTATGAAGAGAAATTTGAAGCTAGTCGCTCTTAGCGGTCAAAAGGTTAAAATGTTTCGTTCTTCCTTGTTCATCACTACTTTTTTTTCTATACTATTCATCCAGCAACGATATCTTAATGATAAAGAATTTGCAATAACCAAATGTTCTCAGGCTCTCTGAACTCTAATACTGATCAGCTATATCAATACGTTTTAGCAGTTATTGTACAATTTTTTTTTCCTAACATAAATTATTCTACAATACTTTGCAATTGTGTTATCCCAGAAATAGGGATTAATGGAAAATCATTAATTATGTAGCTTCAAGAAAATTGAATTCACAAAATTAAAACGCATTTTAAGATTTCTAACCTCCAGACATTTCTTAAAGATCGAAGTGACCCTCAGTCAAAAATTGGTATAATTGCCCGATAAGATGCTTTAGGAAAAGTGACAAGTTTTCGTAGGACCTAAGATTTGTTTTAAAAAGTGATTGAGGAATTTCAAGCTCCCTTTTTCAAAATAACTCTTTATGAGGGAGTAAGTACAATAGTTGGCCTAGCTTAGCAGAACAGATGCTTGACAGCTTTTGCGTGCTGTACTACCGAATAATTTCGCCAGTGAATTAATTTATTTCCTAACTTTACCTTTGTAAGCTTACTTGATAGCAAATCCTGATCAAATTGAAAATAAGAATCTACCATATTTTTATGTTTGACATTTGCTAACCTCTACGGCCAAAATCCACTTAATTAATAATCCATAACTTGTTCTGGAACCACATTTTAAAATTAAGAGAATATAATTGTGCGCAGTGAGAAATCATTACGCTTTGAACAAAGAGTAACCTTTTTTTGTTTCGTAGAAACAACTAAATTTTTCCAATAAAACATAAATTGGATTACTGCCTTTAATATAATATAAACTGAAAATTGTAAGAAAATTACATGGGGTTATGAGCATCAGTAAACACTATGAATTGGTAGTAAATGTTCGGTAACAGGAATAAATATAGCTAAGACGAGCGTGAAACAAAGATTATGGATATATTTCAAGATCATAGATTCAGGCGGCCTTTATTTCAATTGACGTTATTCATGTTTAGACTTACACCTTATTACTTATGAAAATTTCACTTGAAAGAAGTCAAAATTTCACACCTATCACAGTAATTGGCACTTTTATGGTTCATCGGTTATGTTTTCCTAAGCGTTCTAAGTGCAAACATAAAACGGTTTATCATCCATATCGAACCTTGTGAAACTTGTACATCATAGGAAATATATTTCTGAGTTGCTTTTTGAAGGACGCAATTTCAATCAATTTCTTTTAAGGATAGTCACTCTCGAAGAGTTTTTGGTGATCACCAGTACGTTTTTCACGGTAAACTAGAAATTTTAATAGTTATACAAGGCATGGGACGATAATTTCACGCTTGAAAATAACGATGAAGTTCGAAGAAGCAAGATCTGAAAGTCAAAACGTGCAGAGGTTTCGTGATTACATGGCAAAGCGGATTGATCCAATCCGATTGCCAAAGATCACAAACTGTCAGCACTAAGGACACGTCCTGAATATCTCCACCTGCATGTGTCTCCGCCCAGGCGACGACTTTCAATTAGCAAGGCGTTTACTCACCCGTCTTCGTAAAACAGAAGGGTCGTTCCTAGCTCCTGATGTAATGAAAGAAAATCAGTGAACATACATGTGGCATGGCAAGTGTTTAGAACTCCGTATCGACAAATTCTACCATCCTTAAGGAAATTACATGCTTCAAAGGTTTCTATTAGGTTTTGTCTTGCCCAAGGACATATGTAGGAAAATCAATGTTTCTCGTAGGCATTTTTCTGCTTACGGAGGTAGTGTTGGTGTCTGCTCAATTTTCTTTGGCATTTTCTTCTCATGATGATTCAGAGCGGAATCCATGTTTGCCTAATCCTTGCCAAAATGAGGGACAGTGTGCAGTTTCAGGCTCAAGCTTCGACTGTTCTTGTTCTATTGGCTGGAAAGGGGAAAGATGTGAAGGTAGGTACGACTTGAGTGCGGTATTTCTCGATAAAGAACATACTTTTATTTTTCGCCAAAACCAGAATTTTCGATAATGCTAAATGAACTAGATTTTTCTCTTCACTGAATGAATTTACGCTTAAGTAGAGGAAATGCCACCGCCTATTTTGCATTAAGCACATTTTTCGTGTCAAAACAATTTGAATCGTCCTTGTTGATTATGTAGCATTTAAAGGATCAGGGACGATAGCATAGACAGAACAAGTGCACCAGCTATTGTTTATCCTTTTGTTTTTGATTGTTTAGCGGATCGGGCGTCGTAATCAGGTCTTTCCAATCACCTGGTTTTTGTAAGGGATTACAGGTGGAGGTTCACAGATGGATCACTTGATCACGGAGGTTATTCAACGCTAAATTGTTCAACTCACGAAAGAAGCTATAGATATCAGCGTTCGCTATTTTCAGGCTCTTTGAAACTTGTACTCACCGGTAGTCGATAAAATCCACGTAGATCACTTAAAGCAACCTTTTTTTAATTTCCACACAAATCTTTCTGTAAAATTCCGTTCAACCTGGCTTATATCTCGAGAATCAGTCCAGTCGGTTTTTGGAAATATAGAGCCAATACATAGCGTCCATTGTTAATATTTTTTAAGGTTGTCTAAATCTCCATTTTAGCGACTGAAATCTCGGTAAATAAGGTAAAAGTTTATCTTTAAGAATAAGTCCGGTAACCAAGCTTAAACTTACGCGAGGAGTTACAGCTCAATAAACTGGTAAGACGTTCACCACATGACCGGAACACACCTTTACACCAAAAACCAAACCAGCTATGTTACTGGCCCATACAAAACATTCCACAAGATCTACGTTACGATAAAATAGTTACTTAAGACGCAAGCTTTGCGAATGAGCTAAAGAGAATGCATTTTTGTTATTTTTCACAGAGCCCAACAAATGCCATCCTAATCCGTGCATGAACGGAGGGTCTTGCACAGCGTTACAGTTTGATTATGAATGCACCTGTCCACATGGATTTCGTGGGAAAAACTGTGAAGGTAAAATTGTCTTCGAATTATAGTTCAACTGGCGTTCTCCAAAAAAACATTAACCAATTCAGAGCCCAGTTGTTCATAGGGCGCATAAATCGCTATCCAGTGGATAAGTCTTACCAAACGTATTACGCTATCCGGTGGATAGGCATTTATCCGGTGGATAGCGTTATCCACCCCTCCGAGAGCTGGGTCACGTTTTTAACATTTTTCATTTTCTAAAATAATTCCTCTGCAAACGAAAATTGAAGTATTTCCTCAATAAAAAATATTAGATGATTTTACATACTTGCTACACTCATTTGGCGAGAGAGTCTGATCCGTTTGATGCCGTCGTTTTAGGGTACTGCATGATCTTAGTAATTGTTCTTTCCTCGAATTAAGCATTCTGTTTGACTATACTGACAAGTAGAGAGAAAATCTCAAACTTGAAACTTGCTATCAATCCTACAAGCTGTAGGAAAAGAAGATAAACCAGGGCTTTTTGATATGTTTTTCTCGGCATGCCGTTTCTGGTTCGCGTACTGTTGCACAGTTCTAAACTAGTTAGATTTATCTCAGGTCGTAGATGAGTATTCTTCGATGCAACGATCTTCGAAAATGATATACCTTCAAGTGAAGAAATTTCTAATATAGAAATTTACATTTTTTTTGTAGAGAAACGGTCCGGTTGTTCTGAAAACCCTTGTCATAACGATGGACACTGCATCGAAACATCATCAGGAAACTTTGAGTGTGTTTGTAGGTCGGGCTTTTCGGGAGTGACATGCGCAGGTACACATCAATCTTTTATTTTTCTCTCTATGATCAGGCAGAAGGCATCCTCTGAAGCTGCTATTACTCTGTCATGTCTTCTCTGCAAGTAGAGACTTAAAAGTATATGTTACTACGGAAATTTTTTCTTAACGACTCCAAATAAGCTGACAAGAAAGTCTTGGAATAAGGAAACTGATCATATAAACTTTAGGTTTATGGGGGTAAAAACAATTAAATTAACTTTTAATTTTGATGGGTAAATACAAACAAAATTCCTATTTTCAGCCCCACTAATCGTATTATACAAATTTTAATCATCATTTGAGAATCCATCACCTTTTTTTTTTTTTTTTTTTTCAAAGCAAAAAGTAACCATCACAGCACAAGAGCACATTATAAACCTATTGATTTTTTAGTAGGATTCCCACTTAAAAGTTTTTTCTCTGGGGGAACGGGGTAGAGGAGGCTTAGTTGAAAGGGATAGTGAACTTTTCAGAAACTTGATGCTCTACACAGAAGGACTTATTATAGATGGAGTCTTTTCGGAGCGTCACTTTTGATGCTTTTTCCGCATTGTCTTGTTGTTAACACATGTATTATATCATTACGTTGCAGTGACTCAGAACAAATGTTTACAAAACCCATGCGAAAACGGAGGGACTTGCATTGATTCTCTGAGTGGGGTGGGATATGAGTGTCGTTGTCCAAACGGATACAAAGGAGTCAACTGCGCAGGTAAAAGCAAACGTTGCTTTCTCGAAAGCGGAGAACGACCTCTTACTAGGCTACTGGTTGAGCGCTTCTCTCACTTCCGCCCGCAGCCTTCCAATGTACAGAAAATTACATTATTTGTAGCTTCTAAATTACTACTGGCTACTGCTTCCTCCGTACATCATGTATTGGATTCTTAAAATATGTAGTCCCTATCGACCAACCTCTTCCTAAGCAGAGTGCTCTCCTGTCCTAAGCAATTTTTCCCATTAAACAAGGAAACAGTTACAATCGATATCCAACTGAAATTTGTGGATCTCTATTTAAAATTTGCATTTTTCTTTCCGTTAACAGAAAGAAGTCCATGCCAACCGGGCACTTGTGAAAACGGTGGAACTTGTTTCGAAACAGAGAGTGGCTTTAGATGTCTGTGTCGTGCGGGTTATAGTGGAAAAACGTGTTCAGGTAATACCTAAGAAGTACGTGTAGCGTATCGTAGTCGACAGATCTCCAGAAAATACTCGTTGGGACTTCTTAATGCTAAAAGACAGAATTTTGCTTTTATATAAAGAATTTTACCAAGTTTATCTGTTATCAGTCTCAACTTGAGCTATTTCAGATCTTGTTGTATTTTGATTTATGTGATATGCGCTGCTAGCAAGGGAAATTTCTCCAGAAGTGAAAAAAATCAGTTTAAAACCTAGTAGTGAGTATACACCCAGATATCAATCCTGATGCGAAAAATGAATAATTTAAACACCAAACGTATTTTTAAAAAGAGCAGCGAAATCTATGAACATAATACGAGAGAGACTCGAAAGCCTTTGGCCAAAAATATACAAGTATGTCTGTGTGCAGTGTATCTGAAGTCAGCAAACGCTTTTGGAACTTGAATTATTCACTACACATGCGTTTCTCTCCTTTTTAACTTATATGATAAACATTTTGATCTGTATATCCAGTGCGGCATAGCTGTCAACCAGACGTTTGTAAGAATGGCGCCAAGTGTATTGAGCATGACAGTGGCTTTCGATGTATTTGTCCTTCCGGTTACAAAGGCTCTTATTGCGATGGTAAGTAACGTGAAATGAGACAGCAACCTTCATATGCTCTCATTCTTCCCTCGAAAAAGAAATGTATGCTGCAAGATAATAACAAGTCATACAATGTGCAGGATATTTCTGCATATTAAAACACACGCAACCCACAATTCCTCCAATCGCTCCGACGAAGGGCTATTACTCGGAAAGTCAGCTTTTGAACTCTTTACGGTGGCCAATTTATGTTTTCGACTCAGGTGATGATACTAAATTACCCTATTGTACAAGATAACTCGCTGAGGAAGTTTATATGTTTAAAGAAGCTAGCTCGACCACTTATTGCCCGGAAATACCTAGTGGTGTTTTTCACAAAATACCAGTTTGCTGTAAATTGAGATTTTAAAATTATCATTATTATCATTATCATAATTGCAAATAATACAGTCAAGTAGACAATTAAATCAAATACCAAAATACGAGTATTTGTAACAGGCTATCATTTCCCTAAGATTGCTCTTTGGCTGTACTTTCACGATAGGAAACATTTTAGCCTCCTCGATTTCGAATTAGATGCAAAAGAAACTGATAGCTTTCATTCAGTTTAATCTGATGTTGTCATTTCTTTTTTGGGAAAGATAATTTTTAGGGACATCCACTTGAGTATCGGTGAATACCCATGAGTTGTTTAAGAAATCTAACACATGGTGGGGTAACCTACGGTGGATTTGCGTCCAATCCAGGGGGAGTGAATGCTCTTGGTAGTTTAATACACATAAATTGAGACATGATCGGGTAGGCTTGAGTCACTTGCCTTCGGAGACTTCGCGTTATTTACTTGATATTGAATCACTCAATAATACGTTACGTCTTACCGACGGTTTCTTTGCGATTTAAAATTCCTAGAAATAGACCACTGTCGCCCCAATCCTTGCCAACATGGCGGAGACTGCGTAGAAACAGAAAACGGTTTTAAATGTCACTGCCAAGCACAATATCAGGGATTACGTTGCGAAGGTAAGCTGGCGAAAAACTAAGGTAAAAAATAATTGATCGATCTTTATTTTAAATTTCGTTTTAAAATCAATTTGGGAATCTATTCCCTTGCGATCATTTGTCAGCAGAGCCCGATCTTTTTCAAATAGTGCACTACAAAAAGTAAGCTGATAGCTGATCGTGATATTTATGAATGTCTCGGCAAAGCACCCTTGTATTTTAAAAATGGCGAGTCCCGCAACATTTCACCAAACAATTCTTTACATTTACAAGAACTTTTCCTCTTTATCTTTAGAACTTAATATGTGTATACCAAACCCCTGCAAGAACGGCGGGCAGTGTTTAGGATACGAAGGTGGTCACAAATGTATTTGTCTTCCTGGTTATAAAGGAGAAAACTGCGACGGTGAGATTTTCCTCTTTATTTGCCTTATCAACTACATAATTTCAGGCATAAAAAGCTTTCTTGTCAGATCCTTAAAGAACTTTAAGCCGAGCAAGGCAAACTTAATAAACAACAATTTCGAGCAGAGCAACTATCACAAATCTATCCCCATTTTATGAAATGTTTAATTTTTGGATATCTTCATTACCGCTTACTAATGTCAAATAAATACATCTTTTTCGATGGAGGGATACGAGCGGATATTTTGCAAGTGGCGTAGTATTTGTTCGAGCCCAGCAGGGGTGAGGAAAAACGAGAGCAAAGAGCGAAAAGTAGTTTTTATGTTTGAATCAGTATTTGTCCACATTTTTACGCCAAACGTAAGCTATTTTACGGACTTTAAGGAAATCTTGTTAAGCAGGCCAACGAAAGAATCAGGCATTCATTAATCCCTGAATATTGAGGTATCTAACACTGTTTTATGTGTAGAAACTGTACCGCCCAAGAATCCCGTTTTTTATTTTTTTTAATGATCTACTACTTAGTTTATAGGAATTGAGCCTTAAACTCAACTAAAGACTACACTATCATTAATTTAACTGACAAAATAATTTGTTTAAAAAATCCTGATTTGAACGAAAGCAAATTCTCATGCACTTGTTTATTAGCCTAAAAATTTACTATACATTTCAGTATAAAAGGATCTATATTATATACTTTGAGTAAGCCTACGGGTCAGTTTCGGCAAATGTACCTTAACAGACTGTCAAATAACTTCGTCGATGAAAACCTAGATCTCACAGAGTGGTATTACGTATGTTGCATTTGCTGGTACCAGGGAATATTTAGATCACAACTGCAGGTATCGCCTGAGACTGATAAAAAAAGAAACTCTGATTCTCCTCTTCTCTCTCCCAAAACTCATTTTAATCGTCGTTTCACCATTCGTGTGAACTTCCCAGAAAAAAATTTAACCATTAATAAACAAGTTCCACATCTTTTTTTTCTTCACTGAAAGTATTTTTGTTAACATTAAAAAATTCATGTCTTCTACTGGTGGGCTTTATGGGTCAGATTTTTTCTTGTCTCCTGATTCATGAGGCTACAAATACCAACATTCACTTCGTGCCCTAAAACAAAACGGAAATTAAGCGAAGAGTCTTGATCGCGCCGTTTAGATACGCGAAGAATCTGTTAAAGAAGTCAAAGGACAAAGTGATATAAGGTGCGATGAAATGACTTCGTGGGATAAAACTGGGCTCTTAAATGGTTGCCACAAACTAAGGTCAAGGTTGGGTGTGAAACTCTGATGAATAAGCAGAGCAATATCAGCATTTGATGGCATTTTGCGGCCACTAAGAATTTAAACTATATTGGAAGTGCCTCTCCTAAAGTGAAATGGCAGAGATGAGCAAGTCGACCTTAGTTACAAGTGCATGTTTTCCAAATGAACAAGCGTGACTGTTTTGTCTAGCTGGGGTGGTAAATGGCATTTTTTTCTCAGGCCACATATGATAGTGCGATGTCCTTCTTCACTCTCAGCAATTCAAAATTTGACTTGATTTCATAGCGACAAACGAGACCAAATATTAATTTATTGCTCGCGATAATAACTTAATGATAAAGAATTCAGGTCGTCTTTCATAAAAGCCGTATTCGCATCGCCAATTTTTCCATGGCACGTAAACTGTGAATCACACATTATCACTGACACTTATCAAAGAGAACTTGAGGGATTCCGATGTTCTTTGACCCTACAAAGTATTCTTCACTATCATTGAAAAGGACATTCCACGTCAAGTCACCAAATTCCGTCCGTGACAGTTATTTTAATGCCAAGTCTTCATGTTCAAAAACTAAATGAAACTGCATTGCAAAACTTGCTGATGTACATGCAACATAGACAATTACCGTATTTGGAGGAACTGCTCAAGTGACAAATGAAACGGATTCTAACCAGAGAGTGACTTTCTTCTTTCAGAAAAGAACCCGTGCGAACCCAACCCCTGCCACAATGGAGGAGCGTGTACAAAACAAGGAGAACACTACACGTGCTCTTGTAGACGGGGATACACAGGCGAACAGTGTAAAAGTAAGCTCAGCTTTGCATCTGGAATAAAAAATAAATCCACCATTCATTTATGCTAAAACGAAACTATTTTTGAAGTAATACTAACGAAATAACATCCATCTCATTAGCTATAAACAACAAGAAGGCCAAAAATGTCTTTTTTTTTTGTAAAATGGCTTTGTCGAGAAATTTCCATAAAACGATGCACATATATATCTTGCCCTCATAATGCTAGAAAAAGTCACTCTGTGTGTAATAAATACAAACTACTTTGCTTGAGATGTCGCATAAAAAAACTAACTAATAAACAGACGAATAGAGTAGCAACTAAAATAGATACATAAAAACAAACAAACAAACAAAAAATAACCATCCAAATGCTGCTCTATTTCCACCTTTCATAACTTTCGAGGATGCTTTTCAAGGCAGTATGTTATAATCTAAACCTAACCATTTTTCTTTTTTTTTTACACCTTCAGCCGTTGACAGCTGTTTGTCCAATCCCTGTCAACATGGCGGTAGCTGTAAGGCGGAGGAAGGAGGCTTTGTCTGTTCCTGTCCTGTCAGCCACAGGGGGACATTTTGCAACGGTTGGTACTCGTAACGCACCATATACTTTTTTATTTTAAGCCGTATGGAGGTATTTTCATAGAATATTTGAAGAGCAGATCGATCATATTAGAGTTGATCATCCCTCCATATAAAATCAAGCCCTCTTTTGACAATTTTCTTTCTTTTCAAAACAGAGAGGGAACCATGTCATCCAAACCCATGCCACAACGGAGGAAGATGTTTGTCAACATCTGAAGGGTTCGTTTGCAGATGTGCGACAGGATACAGAGGAGAGACATGCACAGGTCAGTTGTTATGGGTGTGTAATAAGCAAGTTATTATACAGTCTTCTATTCATCCGCTTTCTCTAACTCTCAAAGGAAAATAGAAATTGTATACACACCGAAAAAAGCAATCAACTCGAAATTAACGATTGCAGTCCATTTTTGGATAAAAACAAACTTACTTTCGGGGAGATTTGCGAAAAATATTCCGAGCTACGCCTGGTATGCCACACACAAAAAATACTGTTCAGGTGTGGTTCCTAATTTAGCTGTTCTATGCTTCCAAACAAAAGTTAAACAATACATCACTGGAAACTTGGAAAACGGAAAGAAGAATTCAGTCCAAAAACAAATGTTCGTGAAAGTAACTTACTGAACTCCTTGACACACCCAAGACATCTCACCATGTCACGCTACCTCCCTGACGTGCCAGTCCTCCATACCACCTCCCCCCTTGTGCCCTGACAACCGGTTTCTGATCAGTGCTCCAGCGGCACTCGAAGATATAGTGTTTCAACTGTCTTGTTTCGATCCTCAGAGGAAGATGAATGTCAGCCAAATCCATGTCAAAACGGCGGAAGATGCATGGCACATTACTTTGGTGGTGGTTTCGATTGTGAATGTCCCATGGGATTCAGAGGGACCACTTGTCAAGGTCAGCTTAATTTCAGTTTGCCAAATTTTAATTGCATCAACGGATAGAGGAATGAATGGACTGCCCTTCTCCCAGTAGGAAACAATTTTGTGCCAAGCATTGCCAGATGACAAGGGTTGTGAATAAGAGTATGTTTAGTGAGTAATTTGGCAAGGGTCAGGCTCAAAATTACTAGCTCACCCCTGAAATTGAGGGCCTTGTCTCTCAGATGGGACAGACTTTGTTTCTGTGACTCAAATTGTTCAACAAAAAAAAAAGGAAACCTTTGCTGATAAGCCAAAAGCCCTTGTTTCGTATCGGGCAATAGGATTTTTATCCATATCACAGCTATTTTGAATTCATCTTTTATGTCAAATTGGAATTTAAACTTCTCTTTCATGAAAATTTAGACAAAGATCCTTGCAGACCTAATCCGTGTGGTCATGGCGGGTTTTGTACAGAAATCGGCGGAGGTTTTGCCTGCAATTGTACTCTGGGGTTCAAAGGACCCACTTGCCAAGGTAAGAAAATGGCTGATTAGTTCGTACTAAGAAAGTATTTTTAGTAATGTATGTTTCAGAGCGATTTGGGTCAAGTCTGGTAAATTGAAGAGTAGTAAAGAAAAAAATTGGGAGAAATTAAGTCACCAAGTCCCCATGAGCTTCAGTTTTTTACATTTGATTGGTTAAGAGGTTGGTCTATAATTTCCCTTACGGTTTTTTCAACTTTTGAGAATCTTCCTCAAGGAAAAACTAGTTCCAAATTACTGCATCTCTGAAAGAAACTAATTCTTTGGCTCTAGATATCGATAAGTGTCATCCAAATCCATGCGGACATGGTGGTGTTTGCCGGGAAGTTGTAGGAGGGCCCGGGTTTGCTTGTCAGTGCATCTCTGGATATAAAGGCATGCAGTGTGACGGTGAGTGTTCCTTTGCAAGCAATACTTTCGCTAAAATGAGATGAATTTTAGACATTCATCGTAAGTATGGCTCGTGGTAAATCGCTTTGACGAGGATGAGCGGTGGATTGCTTCTTGGGGCCTAGGGAAATGATCAACGCCGAGGTGAAGAAAGAGGTTTTCAGCGCGCAGACGACTCCCTCTTTGTCTACGATCATTTACACCTAATAATTTGTAACTCATACGCTTGTAAAGGAAAAGGTTTCCGGAAAATCTTGCAAAGGCCCTTGAAAAATAATAGGAAATCTTAGAAAATGATGGGAAAGTCAAAATAATCAGGGGAAGTTAAATAAATTGAATTACATTAAATATATTTGTAAAGATATTGAAAATATCAGGATAGACATTTGTTCTTTCATTTGGGGGATGACAGAGATCAGGATTCCCTGGCTTTGATATGAAATGTGAAATAGAAGCGGAACAGTTATTGTGCATTTCTGTTCCACAGAAAAAGACAGATGTCACCCTAATCCTTGCCTGCATGATGGCATGTGTATGGAGATCAACGACGAACTGGGTTTTTTATGCAATTGTACAGCGGGATATCGTGGCACGCACTGTCAAGGTAGGCCACGTCAATATCCATGAATCCATGGTAACTCCTGATTGGCAGCACACCAACGTTATGTTAGTTCACTCTGTTTAAATTGTTGTTGTTGTTATCCCCAGCGGATGTTGTTCATTTGTTATTGATAGCTGTAACTGTCAGCCATTTTGCAAAAGCTAATATATCGTCTAAAGGTGTTTCTTGTGATATGCTAGTCTTAGGGAGCTAGGCAAGTCTTAACATCCAAACGCCCACAATCTTTACTTTAATTATAATAAGTTTGCACACTTGCATCTTAATTAATACCTGATGACGATATCTTCAGCTCTAAAAAAAGATGGCTGACAACCACCGAAACAGGTAAGTGTAGGAGAGAAACTTTCAGCTAGGTTTGGAGTAATTTTCTATTAATGCTCAAATCTATCCTGATGAAGTTCTTCATTGATATGGTTAGAATTTGAATCCATTACTTTTTGCAGATTTGGATCCCTGCCGTCCTAATCCATGTTTGAACTCCGGTGCCTGTCTTCACACGGATGATGGTTTTGTCTGCAATTGTTCAAGAGGATACAAAGGAAGACACTGCCAAGGTATCAGTTTCTTACTATCTTTCCACCTAGTTCTGATTGGCTACTATTATGGAACTGACAGTTCTAACTGGCATACCTGGGAATAGGAGTTTTTTTGAAAAAAAGATGCGGGACATGAGTCATACTTAAAAACCGTGGCCATAAGATTATGGATTGATTCCAGTAAGTAACATCGAATCAATCATTTTCAGAACGAGATCTCTGCAAACCCAATCCTTGCCAATTTGGCAACAAATGTCACCAAACAGGAGTGGACAGTTATCAGTGCGTGAAGAACCTTTGCAACCCCAGTCCTTGTATGCATGATGGACGGTGCATTGAGGTCAATGATGAAGATTACCTGTGTGCGTGTAAGCAAGGCTATAGAGGAAAGAATTGTCATGGTAAGTTCTGAAAGGAAAAGTTGCAATTCACAGCGAAACGTTAGGCTTTCAAGTTTGATGAAGTTTATAGATGTTTCTCCGTGAAAGAACAGTCAGCTTAAACCCTTTAACCCCTAAGAGTTACTGGCTTATAATTCTTCTTTATATCATCGTCTTTGAATCAAAAGTAAAGTTCATGAGAATTAAGGAAAAAGCTCCTGGTTGTCAAACAAATTCCCCTTGTCCTTACAAAAGAGGATTTAAAGAGAACATTGCGGAGATTATGAAAACCAATCTTTGGATATAGAGGGTTAAAGAACACTAGGAAGCCTTTACAAACAATTTGACAAAGAACTGACCACTGACACACTTCTACTGACTTGCCGCTCCGTCCTAAATATGACAGCAGATTCAAGCCTGCATTGCTTCCTATCTTTAAGAAAAAATAAATCTCACTAATACCCTCGACATGTTACCAAGACACTCCTTAGCTACTAATATCACAGCGATATAATTTTTGCCACCACAAATTTCGCACACCTAAAAGATGGAAGTAACTTAAAAATTCTAGATTATCTCTAATTAATTGATTCTTGGAATATTACCGAGGGTTTTGGCAAAAAAGCCTCCGATGACAAAATGTTTAAAACATCTTATAAAAATAGGTAACTAACCAGAGAATAAACAGACGATGTGATTTTACGCCTATCCCATTATTTGAATTTCAAAGTACTTTATACCTGTTTGGTTTTGTATAAGAAGACTTAGGTTCTCTTTTATGCCCCGTAGCCCTATCTACATAAGTTATCCTGTCTGGGTTAAAGATGAAATGTAACTAATGTACCAAATAATAACATAATAGCCAAATTATAATTAGGAATAACAGAAGGAATGTTTACTAACACAACGTTAACTTTGTATTACAAAGAGCTAGACTTATGTTACCCAAACCCCTGCATGAATGGTGGAACATGTTCCAGGACAGACTTTGGCGGTTTTAAGTGCGCTTGCACACCAGGATATAATGGGCCGAACTGTACAGGTGACTAACAACGACATAAACTTCTGTAACAAGTGGTAGACCAGAAATGAGTGATAAACTGCAGCTTATATAGATTGATCTCACTCAGCTTCGCTAGAAGATATATGAAGGCCTGCAAAAACGGGTTTTATGTTTAGAAGGCGTATTGACTTCCATAGCCACATGATATTCCAAGTAAGCTGAGCACAAGCCTCTGAATTGCTAGGAGATACTTGAGATACAAGAGATACTTAATTATTAGACCTCCGTCGTGACTACAACGGAAAACATCACATCTATTCCGCATCTTCAAAACTGCGCTAATTCACAACAGAAGATCCTATGGTATCCTTAAGCAGACGTTTTTTTAGCCTTTTTGATAGACGTGGAGCTGTTATGGCTAACAAAAAGCATATAATCCGAACATATTTTAGATTTGCAGTTGAGGGAAGGATGTTCACAATCGGGGTGGGATAGTGAAAGAAATACCCGGGTAAATAGCTTACTCTCCCGTCAGTCCTTCTATACATCGCTTGTTACTATGTGACAAACTTCGACAGCTGTTCCCTGTGTCTTAATCCTGAGAGACGGAATTTGAAGCATTTCTTTCGATCTATAATTTCCTTTACATGACTTGAAAATTTCAAGTACAGCATTACAATGAATTTCGGTATAAAAACTTCAAAATTAAATTTGTAATTTATTTTTCGTTCCATTATTCCTAGTGTTTGAAAACCAAGTAAACGCAGATGGCAGACACAAAGTTCCCATTTTTCACTCAACGTCGCTTACAAACAACTTGAAAGTTACATCTCCAACACAAGCTGTCTCAAGTCTGGATGTGCAAGGAAATAGGAAAACAAGCGCATGTGAGTACCCGTTATGACCTCAGCTAATGAAAGTATTATTTAATTTGATATTCAAGTATACCTTAGTTATTCTCAGATGCATACCGTTAACATTCTCCTACACCAGGAGCGAAGAAAAAATTCAGACTTATGGACTGAGTATGCAATAAATACCTTGTTACATAGTAGTACTACAAGTCACATTGCTTTTTAGTGGCACGTTTGGGACAAACGTATCTTCTGGTGATTCCTCTTGAGGGGCTTGTAACTAATCTAAATAGCTGTATTTTTCGGCTACGATCTCAATATATGTATTCTTTGTCTCACTTTGTAGTGGTTTGCAGTCCAAACCCATGTCAGAATGGAGGAACTTGTGCCAGGAAAGGAGATTCATTTGGTTGCTCGTGTCCAAAGGGTTTTAAAGGTCGCCGTTGCCAGATAAGTAAGTTGTAATCCTCCATTCGGATTATGCCATCTCCATTGTGCTAAATATCGAGACCTCATGTCCAATTAATTTCGGTTTTTCATTTCTGAACTTTAAATGAAAAAAAGATCAAGACCGATTAGTCAAAATTTACAGACACCAACCAACAGAAATGTTTTCATGGAGTTCGTTACGATTACTAAAAAAATTATAAAACGGAGCTCGCTCATTCATGTCATTTTGTGTTAGAAGCGTAGTGAAGATACTCTGAGGTGTTGGATGGTAGTAAGTATGTCCATGCAACCTTTTTATATCTAGTGGAAAATTAATGATTTTTTTTTCACTTGTACCCGCCATATTTTTCCGCGCTCGCTTACAGAGAACTCTTGCCTCCCAAATCCATGCAATAATGGTGGTACGTGTCTTTTGGGAGAGGAAGGCAACTTCGTTTGCCGCTGTCCTGCAAGGTTTACAGGCGCGTTGTGTGAAGGCAAGTCCCACTTGAAGAAAAAAATTTAAAACCGCGTTGAAAGAACAATCGAGATAATTGCCGGTCTATAACATCTGATTTATCACCCATAAACAAAAAAGTAACTAACTGCAAGAGCGTTTAAAGTTTGCCACACGACGGATACTTATATAACAAAGCATATAGTCAGTAAATATTAACCCCTTCTGTAGTGTGCATTACGGTAAGCTCCAACGCAAATCACTAAAAAGCCTTGAGCTTCATCCGCAGCGGTAATATCGTACTATCCATGAGCAATATCTTTTATACCAAGAAAAATCATCATTTGCCGTCTACACGTGCTTGCGTGCGTCTGTTTAATTTGCAGATCAAAGAGGCGAGGCAAACTACTAAAAATGTTTAAGTTCAATCCCCTTCTGTATGGTCCCTATGCCCCCTCTCCCCCTCTTCCTCTTCCTCCCTCTCCCCCCCATTTCCCTCTACCCCATTCCACCCCCACCCCTTTTCCCTCTCCCCCTCCCCCTCCCCCACCCCCATTTATCACTTAAAATAGTTCATTTCCAAGATCGTATTACTTGACGGGAAGCAAAGCAGACTCAGCACAACACAGTCAGCTCGTTAGATGGCCAAATGATTATATAACAAGGGTTAATCACACTGCTGAAATCTTAGATAGATCATTTCTCTCGTCATAACACTCATCATCATTTAATCAAGTTCACCTTACACCAGTATTAACCATGAAAAGCCAATGAGTTGTCAGCTCTAAGATAAATGTGTAGAATTGCTTCAACATGTGTAAAAGGCATAAAGAGTAATGGATAGAAAGAAGTCTTCAAAGTAATAAAGTAAATGCCAGTGAAGAGCCAGCAAAAGGAATAAAGAAGATTAACATTTTGACAGTAGATCAATGATAAAATTCAATGGACTTCACTCCTTTTCACAAAAATTATTTTCGTTAAAAATCTAGCAAGAAGATGTTCTAATTGTAGTAATCAAAATGTGCTTAAAAATACAAAAAAATACCTTGATATTTCGTCTTCACCATCGCGAAATTGAAACGTAAACAGCCCCAGACATTTCCAAATGAACGATACAACTTATGCAAGCATCTAACCAGACCTTGGTATTGCAGAAGCATCAAAGGCGCAAAGACTTCTTCTGAAGCCTCATAGTAAGTCGACCAAGTGCATTTTTCAACTCGCTTAGTTTCTGTTCGCAGTGAGGTTATTAAAGTGTGTAGCATGGGCGTGATGTGATAGGTTCTCTTGGTATAGCGATTGGAAGACGACTGTAAGAGAAGCAAATAAGTACGACTGGCAACTTATGGCTCACAGGAATCATAGACGTGTTCATCCATTTATGATCATATTCACATTGTCTCACGTTTGCACATTTTACTAACTCAACAATACTCAAATCAGACTTTAGAAAGACCATTTACTTCCTCCTGGGTTGGTCTTTTCGGAGAGACTTAGTCTTTCCAAAATATTGAACCATTAAAAATGATAAACATTTCTAACAAAATATAATATCATATATAAAGACGGAAACAGTGAAAGAACATTGCTGACCCCGTTTTGCAATCTACATAACCAAAGTTTTAATCCCACTCAAAGTCGACGATTGCAATACCTAACATCAGTTGCCGTAACAAGACGACATTAGTAAAGAGATAAAACTGAGCCAGTACTTAAATACAAATTAACAAAGTTTCAATCCCACTCATAGTTGACTACTGCACTCCCAACCCGTGCAAAAACAAAGGCATTTGTGTCGTGGAGGAAGGAAAAGGATATAGTTGCTCGTGTGAGCCGGGATTCACCGGTTTCCACTGTCAAGGTAATTGGCTTCATGTTCAAGTTCATGGTTAACCGAAGTGGGCTTCGTTGCAAAGCGTTTTTTTTGTGATTATTATTCTTAAAATATCTTTTTAATTTTTGTGTTACGGATCACATATATTTCCCGACTTCTTTGCTCGGACACAGCATGCTGTAAGTCATAAATAAGGTTTTGTTAGCTAACTCCCGAGAAAAAAATAGACGCTATTGGACCTGACGAGGAAAGACTCTCTGAGAACCAATCTTTGAAAAGTTGGCATAACTACGCAATAAGCTGGCCAGATGGAACCGAGTTTGTCAGACGGCCAATGAATCTCTAACGGAGATGTATATGGTGAATACAACTAATCATATCAGATTTCTTAAGAACTAATAAGTATGTTTCGATCTCTCCAGTGGACCACTGTAACCCCAATCCGTGCAAGAACCAAGGGCTATGTGCACGGGACAAAGCCAGTCATTACAAGTGCAACTGCCATAATGGCTTTTTGGGGCGCAACTGTGAAGGTAAGTGGCGTAAATTATTGATTGTTTTCCCTAAATGACTGTGAAAACAAAGTAGGCCTGACACACTAAAGGAGGGTGGGGAGGGGGCTTAAGTCTGGCAAAATATTGAAAAGGTAATCGGATAAAATATATTAAAGATGATATCTTCACTGTGTCTGTGACAAATCTGAGCATATCACACATTATGCTTTACATATGGATTGCACATCTGCGGTATCATTAACATATATCATGATATAATTAACATTTCACTTAATTTGTTGAAGGAAAGAACTTTTTGTAAATGATATATAAAAGAAATTCTTCAAAAAACTGTGGTTGATACAAGAATCACGATACCACTTTTAGAGGCAATTCAAATTTTGAAGTTTAAAGATATGTTTGTTAAGTCAAATACGAGAACTGTATAATGTTATTTTGACTTATCCTGTTTCTTCAGTAAATTCTTGCCTCCCCAACCCTTGCAAAAATGACGGATTATGTGTCACTGTTCGTGGAAAGGGTTACCAATGCAAGTGTCGAGATGGATTCAACGGACCGCACTGTGAGAGTAAGTTCCTTGCTCTTTTCACCATCTTAAAAGGTTTGAGAGCTGTCACATAATGTTTTTGGTTCTAGATTAATTTTTACGAGCGAAAAAAACACAGAAAATGAAAAAGAATCTGGTAGCAGTAGTTTTAATGCTGAGTACGAGGGTGTAGGTCAAGCTGTGATTTATTAAACCATCATAAACTCCGAGCTTTCCATATTTTAGGCAATCCATGTTATCCAAACCCTTGTAATAACGGTGGCAGTTGCCTGGTCTTTTACACTGTGTACCTTTGTAAATGTCCAACGGCTTACAGAGGAACACGATGCAATAGTAAGTGCTGAATTCATCACCTTGTCGTCACATATATTGTATACAACTGTTGCATGGGGCATGAAAAGAGACTACATTAGCTTGGGTAAATTAACAAAATGGCTTTTACATATCTCTGTTTTCCGATAAATGTATGAAATTAAGTGTTGATCGAGTGTTGACTTTCAGTGTTGATATATGCATCAGTCAATGGTTACTCTGAACCTTCATTTAGTGCATTTTTTTCATGTATGTATATAAATTTCAATATTTCGGCGTGCCAAATACTAGATCAGAATATGCCTATGCTCGAACGTCAGTCATAGAGCTGTTGTCTTCGGTGCACATTTTTAACTTATCGCGCCTCTTCCGAATCTTAAGTCAATAACTAACGATGGATTACTACCACTGGCATCCAGAGGAAGTGACAATACTCTTAGTACCTTTATATTAGAGTAATCGAGATAAGCTCAGGACGCTATTCGAGTAAATTCCTTTTGAAGCCTCCAATTTCAAAATGCCTTTATGATCTTGGAGGAATAATTGACGGTATCCATCTTTATTTTCCTATAGTTCTCATTCCACAAAAAGCTTTGGCCTCTCCACCACCTCCCGTACCTTCAGCAAATTTCATGACGGCGATATCCCCTGTGCGTAAGACAACGCAACACTTCAAAGGTGAGAATTGCTATCTGTGGGGGATGGTGCACCATGAAATCTGTAGGAACAAATGACTCAAGTGACAATTATTCATACCCATTAAGTGGGAGACACTTTTCTCTTTAATATCTTCCTTCTAACGACTTAAATCGTTTCTGTGCATAACGGCGTAGCAATTTACAATAAGAAATAGAGTAACTTAGTGATCTTTAACGGTACTTAGTGCAAGTGGTTTGAAAACATTGTCACTTCACCTCTGTTTTAACATGTACCTTAAAATAGCACCTAATAATAAAATAAAACAATTTCGGTATTCGAGAATTGAGAATTCACTGCACCAATTATAATGCAAAAAGAGGTACGTAGGTCCAAAACGCAACACATTACGATCATTTTCAGCGTCTGGGTAATTGCGCACCAACTCCTTCCCATACCCAACAATAGCCACGTGAAAACAAGTCAGGGTTAATGTTGGGTTAGGAGAGGGGTAGGTCTGTAGTTGCTTTGACACCTACATTGAGCTAAACACTGAAGACAGAAGATCCTTTACGACTGACGATAACGTATTACTAGTGAGAAAATACAGTAATTTCAAAAGATAATGACAACGTACCCAGCTGTGACAAACAGTGACATGACATTTCTATTTAACAAATATTAGTCAACGCTTGCTCTGCAAATCCTTGCCGCAACTCTGCTGTGTGCCTCGAGACGATTGACGATAACTTCGAGTGCTTTTGCCGAGGTGACTTTTCCGGACCAAGATGCGAAGGTTTGACTGACTGTTGACTGAACGTACTTCACTTTTACACAGCAAATAAGATGACAAATAAATCTCTCATAATTTATGTGATTGACGAGGGTTGAGGAGTGTTAGACCCCAAGTTATGTCCCTCTCCCATTGAATACAAAGAAGTTTACTCAACGTAACGAGAGTTACGTATCTACACGAGAACGTAAATTCTGTTACTACTAACATCCTGCCTCAACTCCTAACTCCAAGATGAGATTAACGTGTAAATTCTCCTTATATTATTCATACATTATCCAGCAAACAGGTAATGAGAATAATAGTCAAACTTATCAGGCGTAGGTTGCTATCTTGATCTAACATCAAATTCTCATAACCAGTGAGAGAGAATTGCATGGCAGGTAAAGGCAGGAATTAACAATCAGATCTCGTAAGTTTAAGGATGAAGCCCAGCGACAGCACCCAGTCGAGCATAAGACTTCGTAGAGCGCCTTTTAACTCTCTATGTCTCAGACTCACTCTTAACTTCGGTTTGTACTTTGTTTCTTAGATATTGGAGTATACACCTACTCTTCAGCTCCTAAATTCTTTCCCGGAAGAGGCGGTGAGTAACAAATATATGGAATTGTTAAGAGGTATAATTTATCAGTCCGTAGAAGATTGTACGCAACGCATTTTGTTTTTAAAATTTTGTGTCTGTTTATCATTCAATTTTTCACATCTTTGTAGATATTTTTTTATTTTTCCTTCCGCTTTCTATCTACCTTTAACCAAATGTTTCGCATTAAAATTGAACCTATGAATTGAACTTATTCGTTTAAACAGAGGAATGCCAGCATTGTGACCTTAACGCGCACTGTGTGGGAGGACATTGTATCTGCAAGCATGGCTTTGTTGGAGACGGCTTGGAATGCTGGGGTGAGATAGGGGACAACTCGAGACATAAGTTATCCTCTATTTTTCATAATAAAAAGAACACAATTGCGATTTAGACTACAGTTTCTATCCCTTTTTCTCATTATCAAAGCGGTAAATGAAAAATTTCGAATGAAAGAATTATTTAAACAGTAGTAGTTCTACAAGTACGGTAATCGTTTCATTGAGCCTCTGCAAGCGTCCGTTTGGCTACATAACCACAGCGTTGTAAATGCTTCCTTTACCTACCCCTGTGAAAACTAATTTGTTCCAAATGTCCATTTACAATCCCTAATTCAGTCAGTTTGTCAAGCTGAAAGTTCTTCCGATCACCGTGAGCTTTGTCAAAGGTTTTGTGGGCAAGTCCCTTTCCGCCATGGATGACACACCATTGCGAAATATTTCCGTTTTTTCGTCTTGTCACGAGCGTGGGACAAAGAAAATTTTCTGAGTCCACGGGAGCTCAAAGTTCACCATCTTTCTTACTCCATTTAAAAGCACCGTTGTTTTAAGTTGAATGAGCCTTAATTATGAGTCAGCGTTAAAGACCATTTCTTAATACCTTGGTTGTTGTGTACCTTTCAGTGGAGACCCCACGGGACAAGGACTGGACCTGTCTGGCGTCTCCGTGCCAGAATGGTGGAACATGCAAACCAGGCATATCTAAATGCGTGTGCCGGCTGGGATACGTTGGGGACTACTGTGAATGTGAGATTCATTGGCATGCACTCGTACTGCAGACGCTCATTTATTTTTAAAATGAGAAAAAAAAATTAAAGTCTGTTCAGTTATAGATCACAGATCACGTCAAAATGTGCTAAAAACAAAAAAAATTGGCAAAATGAAGCGCGCCCGAGTTTGTCACCGATGTTCTCCCTCCTTGTTTTGGTGTCTTCTGCGATCAATAACCATACAGACTTAAGGCGGTATGGAATCTACTTTTTCTTTAATAAATAAAAATAAAGAATAAAGAAGCAAAATTTGTTAAATGGTGACGCCATCTATGCGTCTGTCCTCCAATAGATCATAAGTAAGAATTGGTCAAAATGAACGTATAATTCGACTTATTAAACAATAAAGGAGAAGTACTTACAAAGAAACAAGGATTAATAAAATTGCATAAGAGTTGAAAAATACTATCATCAAAAGACAAGCAAATTTATTCTAGGCAGTATCCTTTGTTAGTAATATAAATCTTCTCGGAAACTAATTATGGAGAGCTAGATAGGTATATATTTCCTTATTCAAATTTCTTCATCTGATGCTTAAGGAGTTTTTCAAACGAGGCAACTTTTTTTTTACTTCCAGCCCATTGCCCACCCTCAGTCCATCTGAGTTTTGACAAGTATTCCCAGAGTGCGTTGTTAGATGATTCCGGAAGTGAAAACAGAGGTTTCCTCGCCAACGGGGCACAAATCGTTCCACATGGTGGGAAATGTGGTAATGCAGCAAACTTACTAGGTAAGTTAAGACGACTTGAAGAGTTTCTGAACTCTTTTAACCTTTTCTTTTACCATCGTTGTTACCGTTTCCATGTCACCCGGTGGATTTATGATGTGGTACACAGACTACAGCTAAGAATTACTCGAAGGATTCTCACAACTCTTCTTGACATTTTTTTATGTCCAAGACGTGTTTTTAAAGCAGTGATCGCTAAAAACGACGGTGAACTGTTTTAATTTTACAAAAAATACGCCTTAAAGTTACGGAGTCTATTATGTGTCTAACCAAGGATTCCCGTCATCCTGTCCAGTTCTGGAGCCAACCAAATCATAATTTCCCTCGTCAACAGGCAGTTTATGTTAAACTAACACTTGCTGCGATGCCGTTTTTTTCGACAACGATGAACAATTTCCATCATGTTTTATTTTTTATCTTATTATCACAACAGGTGGAGATGTTTTACTGGATGGCGTACACTTTCATCAAATCCCCAGGGCAGGAATTACCATATCAACTTGGGTTAAACTTGACACAAACAAAGGAATACAATCAATATTTGACACTGTTGGGAGCCATTCTAGGCACAAAGATGGTCAGTACCACTTTGAGATTGAAAACGGAAAAGTGCGTTGGTTTCACAGAAACGAAAATCATGACACCATATTCAGTCTGCTGTCGCGGCCCGTAGTGAGAGAAGGAGTCTGGACACAAATCACAGCGACTTACAGTGCAAAGAAACAGCGGGCAAGAGTGAGTATTGTAATAAAACTGAAGAATGACAAGAAGTTAGCGCACTAACAAGTAAAATTATTTATTTACTATTTTATTCAAAACATACATAACGCCCTTTAAACATTATTCAGACGCTTGCAAATTTCTACAATAACCAATAGCTATGAAGCTTATGCTCATAATTTACACAGATCAGAGACCCAAACTTCTCTCACTGCGAGAAATTCTGAATTCTCATTGGCAGAAGCAGCATAATGATGGCCGAGAAAGCACGAATTACATGCATTTAAAGATCTCCCTGTTCTGTTCCTATCATTTTCTGATTTAAAAGTAATTTTTCCCTAATGCTTACTTCAATTTTTTCATAATTCATCGAGTTAAAGAAGTCGGCACCGTCGTTGAATATGATGTCGTACCTTTTACTGCCTTGGCTGTCGTTCGTTACTCAATTTTGGCGTTGTAATTTAACAGCAAATAAACGAGGTCGTGTTCTGAACGCAACATTCTTAATCCTGCAATCACTCGCGTAGTAGCTTAATTCCATGATCATTCCGCAACCATTGCGTTTGTTCATTTTCTTTTACTAACCCTTCTTCTTCAAAACTAGGTTTTCTTTCTAATTATAACTACATTCTACTTCAACTAAAAAATCAGTGCTCTCACATACAACAATATTAGAAACATTTCCTCTATGTAACATTTATCTCAAGTGAACGCTTCTCTTCAAGGTTTTTGTTAATGGAGATATGGTTCAGGAGGAGAAAGGGCGAGGTTTTTTGTCTCAAGATTGGGGAGGCAAGGCCGGAATAGGTATGTGTTCCTTGGATACAAAAATAAATCATGCTTTTTGAGCCGTTAGGTTTTCCTTGCTCTTTGAGAATTATCATGGCTCTGAACATATTATAGCTAAAAGTTTTAAAGTAAGCCCAATTGTTTATGTTTGCTCGTACTACCCACAGGTCGTCATAAACATCAATTTGGAAATCGCCTGTTACGAGGAATGATTGACGAGTTCTACATTTTCCCCTGTGAGCTGCCACGCCTGGAAATACTTGTGTTGATGAGACACTGCCGCGTCTACTTCAGTAAGTTTCCGAGTCTGCTAATCTAATAATAGTGATGATGATAATAATAATAATAATAATAATAATAATGATGATGATGATGATAATAATAATAACATATAGTAAAGAGACTTTATTTACTTAAGGTAAACCTATAAAGTTACAAACTGACAAGCTTGTGGCCCTTAATGCTCATGACCCCAACAGACACGTAGCATACTAGTTGGCTATATGCAAAGCGCAGCCAAAAATTTAAACTCGGGACAACCGAGAAAAAGTCTATTGAGTAGTAAGGTAGAGGGCTTGAACTCAGGGCCACAAGATGACAAGTCCAGCCTTCATTCTCTGGAGTCGATTGGAGACTTTACAGCCTATTTAACACAGTTTTATTTATCTTTACCCAGCACATAAACCAAAGAAAGTGACAGAGGAGTCATCGACCACACGAGGCTCTACCGCAATCATGACACCGCCCGTAAATGGGCTACGAAAGAATGGACCAGCCGCTTTTTACAGGCCTCAGCCTCACAGTATGAATGCAATATCATCAGCTTATCAAAAAACACCTCCCATGAAGGATTACGTCGCCAATAATTTGCAGCAAATACTGGCCAGTCTGAATGTTGGTGTGCCTCCTCGTTATGATGTGCAGCTGCCAATGCTCTATAGACCACCTCAGGGGTATTCGCTACCTCCACAACAGAAAAAACCACAAACATTTTACAAACCTGCATATAACACGAAAATAAAGCCAGCAGTAGGTAGCTCACTGCCAGTGCCTCATCTCTTTTCTGGTAATATGTGGAACAACCATCCGCCTGGTGTAACTACTCCATATGCAACACAAGCTTCAATAAGGCACGATACTCCAGTTACTGCCCAGAGGGTAAATAACAACCATCAGCCATCATTTTCATCGCAAGCTTTGTTTAATAAGCAACAAGTGAATATAAATTCACTTCCGAGTGTGATAGAAATGAATACACCAGGAAGCCAACGGGCTCCTTATGTGCAAAATGGCGCCGGAAAGCCTCAAAGATTACATACTCTTAATGTTCAAGATGGACTTAATGGGCAATATGCAAAACAAGACTCTAAGATAACACAGCCCAACATGTCTTTGAATAGGATGAATACTGATGCACAATTCCAGAAACCAATTATATGGCACATTCCCTTGGGAGGTACGAGGCAAGGACTACCAGGAGGATTTCAAGAGCAGTACGCTAAACAAGAATCAATAACAACTCAGCCGAACATGTCTCCCAATAAGGTGAATAATCATGCACAATTCCAGAAACCAATCGTATGGCACATTCCCGTAGGTGGCATTAGGCAAGGACTTCCTGGAGGTCAAAAGCCCTTTTATCCTGCTCTTTCGACAGGTCAACGACTGTTAGGACAATCAAGGCCGATAAGCATCGGTCAGGGTATGCCCTTGCAGAACAAGACAGTAGGCATTCAAAATCCTTCCGGTGGATCGATACGAAATTCTGCGTTAAGCCAGCAAAGGCAGAAAGTAAACTTCATGCCTCCCCTTCGGGTTCCGAGTAACGTGAAAACTCAGTTTGGGGGAGTTAAGGCCCAGCTAGCAACAGCTCCCAGTCAACAACAATCACTTGCATATAAGATGGCCATGCTTGAACAACCCAATCATGTCTTGACGAGCAACACTTTGACGACCATACCATGGCCAAGAAAGATGGTCCCACCAATTAAAAAACAATTGCCTTCTGGTCACCCGTACTATACCAGCTATTATCCAAAGGCGCCATATTCTTCAAAACTACAGCAAAGACTCCTTATGCCTGCCTTAAGGACGCAGTCAAGTTTAAAGGGTCCGCTTTCATCAACTACACGGAAGGGTGCCACAGGGATTGCACAGCCTAAAATTTCTCCATTCAGGCCACATTTGATTTATGGGCAAGCGTCTTGGCCCTGGGTTGTTTGGAGAAGTCGTGTCTCGCCCATGGCGCAAGCTTCAAGTCGGTCTTTCTCCCCCTTACGTCCTCAAGCTCATGGTAACAAACCTCCGGCTTATGCTCCAAAAGTTGGTCTTTCACCCAGTCTGCAATCTTCTCCATACACAGTGTCACCCCAGGTATTGCTCTACTATTATTTTTATCCTAAGACAATTAGCAAGGCGCTAACAAAAGTAGCAAACATCAAAGGAGAAGAAGGGAATACAAACTTCTTACAATCGTTGACGAAACAGATTTCCAGTGCTGCCTTTAACAACAAACCGGGGGAAGTTACGACATATACAAATCCCACAATGACAGGAAAAACCGGAGGGAGGATTTCAACAGAACAAACCAACATGGTCACCCAGGTTAATCCAAAACAACTCTCACAGACCCTTTATACTCCATATTACCGACTTCTAACAAGCTTATTGAAGACACCAGCGGCCCCTTTAACTACAAATGCATATGGAAGGCAACAGGTACAAGCTCCTCTTTCACTTCCTCAACCAAGGCAAAATAAAGGAGGGCCGAGCTCTCTTCCACTCATGACATCACTAAACTCGATTTCACAGGCACAAAAGACGGTTTACCCACAAGTTTCTGCTTTGGGAAGCAGAAAGTCACAACTAGCAAACGGACTTTCCAACCGACCTATCTACATAGAGACTGTACCGTACCAACTATACTACCAGCTTCAAAGACTACCTTCTCTTAACACACAGTCTAGCACACAGCAATATTTACAAAGGGTATTAAATGATATTCTCAGGTTAAGATATGGTAAGCGTAAAAAGAAAAAGAAAAAACGTGGTGCAAAAGAGAAAACTACGCTGCACCAAAGTAAAAACAGCATAAAAGGTGTGAAAGGAACGTAATGAAAGCCATTCGTCCAGGCTAACTACTGGATCAGAAGGGGCCATTTTCTGCAAATGAGCAGCAACAGCAATACACTGTTGCACCTCACAATGCTACTTGATTGGTACAGAAAATGCTCCCAGCCTCTCACGCAATCAGCTGCATAATTCAAAACCAATCACGGCTCAGCCTCTTGCCTTTTTCCGTTTTTAAAGTCGTTCATTGGTGTGATGTTTGCCGTAACTGGCAGTTTTGATAACTTGAAATTTGGCTATGCAATTCTCAATTGAAAATATTTTCATAGGTAGTCCCATTTTGATCCACACTCGCGAATAATTTTTCTCAGGGAGGAGATTCGTCTGAGTGTAGACCAAACAGAAACTTAGATCAGTTATGCAACACTACCAGCTCCAAAAACGAAGTGAGCAACAGCTCACCCATACTCACGGTGCAATAAGCAGACCGATAACGACGTTCCTTCGTCTACCTACACCAACCACGATTTTGGACGTACGAAAAAAAAATACGACCACCATCAATTCATAAAAAGAATATCTGTGAATCAGCTCACCCATAACCATGATACAGAAAAGATCAAAACAAATATAGTATATGCAAATTGCATATTTCTGCAAAATGCTATGTAAGAGCAACAAAGCAACTCTACGAGTCGGTCTAAGGCTTTGAACATTTTTAAAATTGAGCTCTGAACAATGATCGTAGGAGGGAAATATCTAACAGTATTTTTGGACGATTTTTAGTATGTAAAAATGATGTAAATAGAAGTGATAGAACAAAAAAGTTGGTTCATAACGCAATTTGCTCATCAGTTAACTTATTAAATATAATTTTGAAGAGGGAAATTATCTAAAGATAATGAAATAAAAAAAATCACGGCAAATAAATAATATATCAACAGGTTGATACTTTCTAATAAGCTAATATCTTATGTTAATACTTAGAGCTTCTGTTAACCGTAAAAGGGTACCATAATATTGGTAATTTGTTTCCTGACAACAAAACTGAGGCAAACATAACGGGACGAAAACGTACTGTATTCGTGCAATAACAGAAATAGCGAGACTTCGTCTCAGAAAGAGTTAGCTGTCCTCTTCCCAATCACTTTTGGTGACAGATTGTGGAAATTTTGGATCATTTATTCCTTTAACGAAATTATTCAACCATAAAATCCAAATTATTTAAAGAGGACTACAGACAAAATGATACATCAACTGCTGCAATCCCATTTCCTTTGTGTGCTCTTACATGAGAAGGTATTTCAATCGGAATTTTCATTTGCATTGGACTTCCAAATATAACTCCTTAGGACTACGTAAGTTCCCAGTGGTTTTTGGACTTAGGCTCTGAATTCTGTTATGCATCAGCATGTTGCAATGAGGCATGAATGTATCATCATTTCTGCAGCTCAGCTTTCGTTAACTTACGTATAAATCGTCATTAATTAATGAAACTATGACGATATTTGATGACTACAACGTGACAACGTGTATGGAAGGCATGATGCGTGGACACCTCCTCTGACGTAAGTCTGCTACATAACGATAACTTAAGACTTTTCTTGCAACTGTTAAATCAAAGGACCACGCAGTAAGTTTCATACTCTAACGCCGTTTTCTTCGTCTTATCTTCACCAATTAGCTTTGCGGCTTCTATCTTATAACCATTCGACTGCTTTCTAACGAGTTAAAAGAACAATTTTCATTAAATGTCTGTTTCTTGTGATTAAGACTGCACTAACACAGAAGGTGACTCACCAATCACCTCTGAGGAATTTCTGTTAACGATAGTAATTCACAAAACGAATAGCAATGACAGATAGAAATTATAATCATGACAATGATGATAAATGATGAAGCATGGCAATGCTGTAAAATCAACATTTCGAGCGACAGGTTAACGCTTAAAAACGTCGGCTTTAGAAATTCATTTTGGTGGCTCATTTACATCATCAACTCATTTGATGAAACCAAGCAATATGAAAAAGGAGTAGTTTGTTGGGAATATTTCTAATCAGGCTGCGGCATTGTTTTCTGTGACTTTTTTACGATTTCTTTGTCATTTATTATTAAGCTTCCTTTTTAATACATATTCAGCAACATATCGCACCCATGAAGACAATACCGCCATCGGCGAGAGTCCCCTACGGCTCATCTCGCAGGCCATTTACAGCAAGCACACCGACAACTTACCAACAAGCCCAGGCGGAACGCAGAAGGTTACCTCCACAGACACAGCGACAGAGTCAAAGAATGAACGATGAAAGAGAACTAGCAAAGGCACTCGCTCTGTTGGCGTTACCGAACAGATGATAGCTCGCAAATTTAACTCGGCAATGAGGAAAGAAAAATTTGTACAAGTTTTCATCTACACTTCATGAATGCAGCTTACCAACGTAGAGCAATACAGTTTGTAGGAAACTGAGAAGTTTTTTAAACAACGTATACCTAAGATGTTTTCATAAGGGAGAAAGAAGGAAGAAAGCTCTGCGAAATAAAGAGCTCTGTGTTCTTTATTTTATTGCAGAACTCGGCCAAATGCCAGATAAGAGAGGGAAGACGGAAGTTTTATTTCTCTTCTGCTATAACCATACGTGTAACTCGGAATGTAAATTGATCAATCTACTTTGAAAAGAAGAGGCAATGTTTGAAATATCTGACAACGTAAAATCATGCTTCAGGAGAGAAAAGAGAAAAACAATAGGAAAAATGATCGCCTGATTCATCAGAAACTTGTTTATAGCAATGTTAAGAAAATTATTATGACTCAAAAGGTTTCAAAAGGAAAAAAAAATTTACTAGAGTCAGCTGTTACTAGAATGTAATAATCTTTAAGTATATGGTACAAATAGGACGTTTCATATCATAATTACATAACAATTATTACTCATAATTTTCCTTCATTTACAAATTCTTCGTTATTAATAGGAAAATCTCAAAGCCACACTTATTGGCTTGTATCGAGTTAAACCATAAAAATTTCCTTTTGTGTTCATTTTGTATCAAAACTAAGAACCTTGTATTAAGAAAAATTTATTCATCATTCGTTCATTTCATCTTTAATTACCGCTCATAACCTAACTGTGACGATGGCATGTGAGCTGTAAAGAGGCCTACTTCGGAAATAAAATATATTTTTGTTTAAAAAGAAGTGGTTATTCCTTCCTTTGCCATTTCTTCCTTCCAACCCTAAATCCTAACCCTGATAGGTCAATGCTGGAAGTATAACTAGGTACAAGACGGCAATTCAATTTTTTTATATCACACTCTTCCAAAAAATAAACCGTTAGCTGCATTCATTGTATAACATGATAAGTAAAAAGGAAAGACTCAAGAACATTTTGCAAAGCGTTCAAAATTGCAACAAAACTTCTACCGACAACGATTTAGCGTCAGAAGGTGATTTTTCAAGAAACTGGTAAAAAAAGAAAAGAAGTTTAAAAAGCGCATGCACTGTTCGTGTATTTCTTGCTTTTGTGAAGTTTTTTTTATATCCATTGGTGTACGGCTCGTACGCGAGAAAAACCGCAAAAAAGCAACTGCATATGCTATTCGCCAGCCGGGAGGTCCGTATTAGGAAAAACTGTGCCCGAGGTCTTGAGTACCGCCCAAGGCCGAAGGCCGAGGGCGGTACTCAAGACCGAGGGAATAAGTTATTTATCGGCTTGAAGTAGTGACCAACGAACGTCTTTGCTTAAAAATACTACCTAGCCAGAAAAGCGAGATACATTTATGAAAAATAGCAACAAAGGTAGGGATGTACTCGGCGACTCACGAAAGAGTTATCGTTGCCCATGGCAGAGATAGGAAAATACGGACCGCGCTAAGAACCAATCAGATTGCAGGATTCGTTACCGTGCCCTCTGAGAAAAAAATACAATAGTCATGTTTACTTTTATCAGGAAAACAGCACAACTTAACTCAAAGTTGACTAAAAGTCGGTACTGTAAATCCTCTCCCTCCTTCGAACTGCGCATACCTCGTTCTCCGCATTCAACAGGCAAATGACCAATGACCCCGTAAAGTACAAATTTGTTAAGGGCCTGTTTTAAAGGAGGTGGGAGACCCCTGGTAAATGAGGTGACTCGCCTAGTTGGGGTAACCCGCCTGTCCATACAATCTCTTATTTTATCTTGATCACGTTTACATGATAAGTGGGGTGACCCAGCCAGGCGGGTTGCCTGGTCTGCTGGGTAGGATAACCCTGACAGCTAGGGTCACGATTTGCAATGTAAACGTGTCAAGGTGGGGTAACCGCCAAGCCGGGGTTACGCTCATGTTGCACTTACAAGTGCGCCAGTAACCTCTAAAGTAACTTCAACCAGGGATCCCGGGGTTGTAAGATTGTATGTAAACGCGGGCTATTTTTCCACCTCAGCTTGGCGGGTTACCTCACCTACCTGAGGTCCTCTACCTCCATGTGAACTCTCTTCACTCGATACGTGTCCCGTCTAAAAAGACATATAACGTAATTGCAAGGTCGATATAAATATCCTTTGAAAGCCCACAACTGTTGAAAACAGTCAGCTGTAATATTCTCGCAGAAAAAGCAAACCTAATCGAAAGCTAAGGAAAAACATACATGTGCATTTCGCGATTCACATCATAAAAAAGCCCTCCTATGACTAAAATGAGACAAAATAAATTCAGCCAGAGAAAGAAAGAAAAAACTTTTTTTTGATTTAAAGTGACAGTTGTCTACATTATTACAAGAAACCTTATTTTTAAACGATGAGCTTAAATTTGCCTAGCTGCCAATATCTTCATAATCGCCACTGTTATAATTTTGACCAGATTCATTACCCGAATTCTCACTATAATCCTCTGCAATGTCCTTTTCCTGTTTTGATTTGCTATGTTTGCTAAAATGCCTATGATTGCCTGATTTAAATGACTCCACAGTACCAAGAGGAGTTTTTTTGTCTTTAGTGCGAGTGTCTTCTACAAGGTGATGAGACGCACCTTTCGCGTAGTGTGTATAAGTTAAGAAATTCTTCAATGACTTTAAGGATTTAACCTTCTCATTATGCCCTGAATAACTAGTTTCTTCAATTGTTGAGGCTGACTCTTCAGTGATTTCATCTTCAGGTAACATTGCAGTTTTTGATTGGCTCAAATGATGACCATGATTTTCCTTGATGAAGGTGTGGTCACCCTCTTTATCGTGGCCTGCATGCTTGTCTGAGCCTTTGTCCTGAAAATGACGAAATTTGATTCTATCATGATTATAAGGCACATGGTGCTTTTCCTTAGGGGATTCTAGAGATTTTAAACTATGCTTTGGGCTCTCGAAAGTCCTACTTGCACCTCCATGACGAAGGCGGGAAATTTCAGTATTTTCCAATGGATTGTATTGAACATTCTCTACATGGATTGAATTGGAATCATGTTCTGGTGACATTTCCTTGTCCTCTTCTGTTTTAGATAATGGAAATTTCTTTCTGTGATAGCGAGAATGAACATTGTTACGATCACGGTTGAGAGCACCGTTGACTGAACGATCATACAACAGCTCACTCTCTCTCGTTTCTTCATTGCGTTGTTTTCCATTTCGATGCCGATCATGAAGTCTTAGATACTTCCTTCCTTTATTTGTCGGATGCATTTTGCGTCTTCCCTCGTATCTTTGCTCATTTCCTCTGAAGTATGGTAGAGCATGAGAATGACGAGGTTGGTCCAAGTCGTATGGCGGCTCTTTTTCCGCCTTGATATCAATATTATTGCCATCGTCATCACTATTATCATCGCTATGATCATCATCATGTATTTCATCAGTATTAGAATCAGCATTATTATCATGATTATCATCAATACCATCATCATCATTACTGTCATCTTCATTGCCATTATCATTTATATCATCGTTAGAAAAATCCTCGTTGAGTTTACTGTCTTCCCCGTCAGTGAAATCTCTCCGAGAGCCGCCATGAGACTGCACCTTCTCCTCGTCCTCCTCCTCCTCTTGATCATCTGTTTCGCTGTCTTTTGTATTCCAATTGTCTTCTTCCTCGGGTTTAATACTAAAATGCCCTTTAGCATGACTTCTATATTTTCCTATTTTCCTTCGTTCTGATTTAAGCGCTTCTTTGAAAGCACTTTCAAATGACTCGCTTAAACTATTGAGTGCCTCAGCACTTTTACTGTCCTCTGGGCCTCTTGTTGGATTGCTATTTTCCTTTATGATAAATACCTGAGGGGCTGGAGGAGGAACTGGATATGCATTCTTCATGAGTGGCAATGACGGAAGAGGGGGCGAAGGATTTGTGGAAGAGGTAGATGAACTAGGAGGTGCTGGATTCGCGCCAGGTGGCCCTGGACCAACAGGATAACTTGTAGTTTGAGAAGGACCTGGAAATGGGAAGAATAGATTTGAATGTCACATAAAGAAAGAGAATAATATCTCGAAACTGCTTCCAGCCAAGCACACCATCAGCTTGATTTAGACTTTAAAGGTGATATGCTCAGGTTTGAAGTCTACAATGAAAATCGCTAAAAGATAATGGAAACACTTAACAAAGCATTCCAGCATTTCTACATAAATATATTCAAATCAGCACAAAGAGAACATTTTTATATAGAGACCTACAAATCAGCAACAACATATTTTCAAAAAGTACGAAAAGCTGTCAGTAAACTTCTCAAGGAGTCTATTGTAGAAATAACCATCCAACAGATAAGAGTTTGGAGAGCATTCCATTTCGATCACTCATCAATTCAAAAGGATAGTAGATCATTAGATCCAACTATGCTTTTTTTCTTCTTTGTAACATTTCACGCGTTAAACTCGACCTTTTCCTCATTTCCATTTAATAAAATGAAGTTACGTCTACAGAAATTTTCCTTGATTATCTTTCAACGCAGTTTTCTTCAAAAAGGATACTGCAAATACAACATTCTTTACGTCCCAACGGTTTTAAAATTATGTTTAAGAAACGTGCCTGCTCCAAAGACGGTTTTACTTATAATTTCTCAAAACGTGATACTCACCAGTGGTTGGTGATTCACCCGGTAAGACTGGAACTGTTGGTATCTCGATGGGTCCGTAGTTGTCCGGAGGAGGAGCAACTAACTCACCTTGAGTCTTTGAATTGTCAGGACCTGGAGAACCTGTATCAGTGGGAGGTGGCTCTAATTCAGGTGCAGTATTTTCGTTCCCAGGCGGTTCAGTACTCGTTCCAGTACTTATCCCTTTTCCTGGAATCTCCGGCTTAGGTGGGACAGTCGAACCAGGAGGACCTGGAGCTGGAATTTCTGGCTCAGGTGGTGGAACAGCTTCAGGGGATACAGGAGCCGGGACCTGACCTGGCTTTGATGAGGTTTTTTTTGGAGGAGAAATTTCTGGTTTGGGTGGGAGTGGGGGTGGAACAGCAGGCGCTAGAGCAGAACCAGGTGATGAAGGTTTAGGTGCTTGAGCAGACGGCTGAGATGCTGTGCCAGAAGACTGAGTTCCAGGCGATGAAACAACAGGAGGATTAGGGGCTTGTGGTAATGTAGGAACAAGTGGCAGAAGTGGGGACGCTGAAGCTGGCTGTAATGCTGGACCAGGTTGCTGAGGTCCAGGTAATGCAGATGATGAAGTGAGAGGAGGCGCTGAGGCTGGCCGCCCTAGAGAGGGCAGAGGTGGTGCTGATGCAAGTTGCGATGATACACCGGGAGCCTGAGGTCCAGGTAATACAGATAATGAAGGGAGAGGTGGAGCTGAAGCTGGCTGCGATGGTGGCACCAGACCAGGTTGGGGGGGAGCTGCAAGGGCAGTAGCACCGTTAGAGATTTGCATAGGTTGTATCTGGTTTACGGTTGATGCTGGTGCCGGCTGCACAACACCTTGTTGCAGCTGAGGAACTACGGCACCCCCACTGGGAGCTGACACAGTTCCTGTTGCAGTTGCCCCTACAGGCTGTGTGCCTGCTGCGGCATTTACACAGGGACATGGCATTGACTTACAACAGTCTAATGTGTCAATTATTTCCTCGTCGACGTCTTTGCAAAGGTTGCAAAGGTCCGGGCACCTTCTTTCGCATCCACATCTACAATTGAAGGGAAGCAACAAAGGCAAGATTCCAGATAGTCCAGAAAGAGTATTTGTACCTCCTACTGGAGCTTTTCCTGCTGTGGCTTGGTTTTGGCTTCCGCCTGCTGGATATCCTTGATTTTGATTCCCACCACCGGCTGGATATCCCTGGTTATGATTTTCACCTGCTGGATATCCCTGATTTGGATTTTCACCCGCCGGATATCCCTGATTTGGATTTTCACCTGCCGGATATCCCTGATTTGGATTTTCATCCGGCGGATATCCTTGATTCGGATTTCCATGCGCTGGATATCCCTGCGCTGGATTTCTGCCGGGCTGATAAGCCATTGGAGTAATTACAGGCTGAACAACTGGTATAACTTTTGGGCGACTTTCCTCTTTTTTGTTTAGAGTGTTAAGCAATGCAGCTGTTTGAAGAATTTCTGCAAAGTTTGAGTCTTCTTTATCTGGAGGTGGAGCTGGAGCTGGAGCTGGAACTGGAATGGCAACTGGTGGTGGTAGAGGTGCTGGTAAAGGTAATGGAACAGGCGCTGGAAGGACAGCCGGAAGCGGAGGAGGAGGTAATGGAGCAGGTAATATAAAGGGCTGTGGAGCTGGCACTTGTGCTGGCATCGGAATCACAATTGGTCTCACAGCTCGATAAGGATTGGGTGCAGTGATTATAATGGGTTGCTTACGTTGACCAATGATGTTGGCATCGTTGTATTTTTTATTTACGTGAACATGAACATTAATGGGAACATTCCGACCTGGTAGTGGTACTGGCTGGGGTGCTGGCTGAGGTGGCTGTATGGGTAATATTGTGCTGCCAGTATTTGGGTCAACTCTTTGCCCATTTATGGTCACGATAACACCTTTTGGTGCACCCTTAACGTGTACCTTACGCCCGATAAAAGATCGCCTGATGGATCCTAGATGATTAAGCGGATGGTGAAGAGATCCTAAAATAGAAGGATTTGAGTTAGAATTCTTTCACCTTTACTGCACATGTTCTCGGTGTAAAATATTGCTCTGAAACACGTGGCTGTAGTCCTAATTCTATCTTACCCTTACACTCTCCAGCTCAATTTCCTGAACCACAATTCTTACTGTTTTCTGGTAGTAAAATGGTAACATCAATACGTATATTTATTTAGTCATTTTTGACAAACAATTGATATAGGTTTTGAATCACTCCGAACGACACTTCACAGCCTTGATGCAAAATTCTTTACTAATTGAGAAGATTATAAATGCGGGGTTGGATGCACCAAATTGTTGTAGAGAGGAAAAAAAACATGCACCACTACATTTTGAAAGTTTATACTCGATTGTCCTTTGCATTTTCTCAGACTACCACGAATAAAAGGGACCACACGATTGTAGTTCAGAGTAGTGTACTATAATGATCTAAAGAGTTTCCATGGTCATCCCCCCAGTGTTAGATCACTTGATGTAAAAACTCCACAATACACTTGAGCACTACTCATATTAGGAGGTACCTTAGTTCATTCTTATAAATGATTGAAAATACAATCCTGGTCATTCGGAACGTCACTAATCCACGCATTTTATGGCAGAAGTAAAAGATCCGAAAGCCAAATGATTCTTATATCATCCTTTGAAAATTATCTTGAAATCATTACTTAATTTCAACTCTAAGAAAATTATTGGACCAAAGACGATTCCATGTTCAATCTCTCTACCCTGACATAACGAAATCCCGCAGCCTTCTTTTCAATCTCATCGCGATCTATTTTAAACTACTGGAAGCTACAAAGAATGCATATATGATTCAAATTATTTTTTTTCTATTCGAAGGCTTTCCTAGCGGATGCTCGTTAATTACACGTTCGTTTCACATGTCCAGTCAGGTTGCTGAGTCATTTTTAAAACTACGATCTCCGTCTACTTTTTTTTCCCATTTGAAGGCAGTTTTCGAACTTGTACTATGCTACTTGTAATCTAACATATTTCCTCTTATTTATATCGTGAGCACTCTTTTTGAATTTCAATTAATGTACCAATGAATTGTATGAAATAATAAATGAATACATTTTTCATCCTTAGTATCATCTTAACGTCAGGTTGATTCGTGGCATGTAGTTCATATGACTGTCTCTTCTAAGTTTAAAGGTCGAGCGTTTTAATATCAAATCACGTTAAAGCGCAGTGTAACAGCATGCCCTGCAGCAGATTTCAGCCGTCATTTCGATACAAAAGGCATATCTGAATTGAAGTTGCAACCAAATTTGTGCAAACATTGATTTTGTTACTGATATTGAAACCCGATACCTCATCAACAGGAAACGACCATTTTTCACTTCATCTCACACAAAGTTAAAACATCCTGAAAAATTTATACAAACAGCGTTTTCGTATGATCTGTTTTCATTTTTCGGCAACTTTTTGTCACGTCAACCGCGGCTGAGCCAAATTATCACTTCACGGATAATATCACATTCGACAGGGTCGATGCTAACTTCAATCACCTTCTGTTATTTTTCCAGCCTCTAATTGTATATATGTGATAAATACTGTCTCTACAGATCGTGTGCTTCACGGTTCAATCTCATTGTCAAGTAAAGGATGGGAAGATTAAGTTTGCTAATACTTAATGTTTGGTCATCCTTGTCTCGCTCACATCTTATATCCACTCCGGTTACACTTCAACTAACAGAAAAAAAGATAGTTCATGATAACATTTCCACTCAACTCTTACCTTTTATCCTCCTTTGGAGAAAGTAGTTGTTTAATTTGTGTCTCCTATCCTTCAAGTCAGATTCTGTTCGTGACCTTTGGCCGTTTTTTCTATGATATCCAGCCAGAGTGATCACCCAATGTACACACAGAACTTGCCATAGCAGAAGAAACTCTCCCTTGATTTTCATACTATGAGTTATGGGTCACAAACCTTATTTCTTTCCATGTTTTATTACCTAGCACTAAAGTGCTGTAAATGCCCCGTTTAACTCGAACGCCATGAATCAAATATTTATAAACACCAGTCGACAAAACTGGTTTTGCATTGTTCCTGAGTGATCCTTTCTTAATTTTTTTAGATATGGGAAGATTAGTTTGACTGCTTACAAGTAATCTTTCTTTCTTTCGTGACTCATAAAATAAAGTTAGATGAGTCGTTAGATGAGTCGTGATGGAAGTTTCTTAAACCAAAACTTCCATTGTTATGGAATCCTACTTCCTCTTACGACTACGAAAAGAAAGCAGGGTAATGAATTACCCGTTGACTGTTACAGGCGCTTCGATAATGCTCATTTGTTCAACAAGAAAGGAGGAAATTGAACAAAAAAATCAGTACAAATCAATGGCCATAAAAATGGTCTGAGTCCATAAGATCATCTACAAATTAGTTCTTCCCCTGCATGCAATCAATTCGTCATAGCATTTGACCGCTTCTAGAATTACTTCATCTTCGTCTGAAATATCCTGAGCTACTTGCGTGGCAAGAAATGCAAATTAAGGAAAAGATGTAGATTAGAATTGATTACTTCAAGAATAGTTCTGATGTCTTGACAATACACTTAACTGACTGTTATTTTGAAAGCTTTTCAAATTAGTTGGAGGAAACCATTCACAAGCATTTTGCGGGGGAAAGTAATTGCTTATGCATTAAAAAATATTTTATAGAATTGCAAAAGTCTAGTGAATGAAAAGCCTCTGCCCAGGGCAGGTTCAAGCGCTTTCGTGCAGTGCAGTTCAAACCTATTAAGTATTCTGAGGGTGGGAGCAACAGTCTAGTGCATCATATGATCTTCAGGGCGAGGCTAGTTCTGAGGGGGACTAATTTCGGTAACAGGGGTCTCAGTGGGGTTAACCGTTAGCCTTCGTGGTAAAAATTGACAAACATTTTAATCATTAGTGGTGAATAAAATTAACCGTAAAAATAATTCTGGTGATAACAATGGAAACATGCTGATCGTTTGTTGTAACAGCCATCACCCCATACCAGTACCGGTGAATGACATTTACCAACCGGAACGGAAGTCATCATTGACTTCGATAACAATTGCAGATCAAGTTGTCGAGACTTTTGTCATTGTTATCGACGATAATTGTTGAAACAGAATGTACAAGGACAATTATCACAGAACAACATGAACGTTGAATAAAAAACCTTTTTAATATAAATTGTTTAAAATGTATCTCTATGCAAAAGGATTATCTAGCACCAAAGTCTGTGAACGAAGAAACTTGAAATGTGCCAATGAAGACCCATCATCTTAGCCCGACGTGATATATTTTGCCATCCCATTCAGCACGGCTCACTTCGTTCTCTGACTAAGTAAGTGGGAAAGTGAGTTGCTAAGTAACAAGCTTTTCAAACTTCAGTAACCACAAGAGCAGTCTACTCTGATAGGGGACCCTCAAACTACACTAAGTTGAACCGTACATTGATTCAATTTTATCCTAGCCATTTTAAAACCTCATAGCTGTCGTAAATTGGAATAAAATATTCTGAGCTACTGTTTATTTCCACCTTTCATGAGAGGAAATCTGGCGCCAATCTGGTCTTTTTCTCTCAAAGACAATTTAACTTCGAGCTACTAACCAAGCACCAATACATACGGCATACCAATATATCAAGTCAATTTTCAGAAATGCCAGTGAGATTAACAATACACTTTCATGTTGAGGTCTCCACTACTTATCATTTCAGCCTTGCTGACAATGAAGAATAATACAATATAAGAAAACGAAGACCTCTCTCTAACTCTCTTACAAAAATTTCGAGGAAGCCTCTGCTGATTACGAACGATTATTTCTTCCGTCCATTGGAAGGATTTATTGAGCCAGTATTGTACTGATTTAAAATGTTGCCATAACTATTCTCTGTGCTACTATTGCACAGGTCACACGGATTAGCACACGTCGGCTCGCAACCACACCAACACAAACTGGGATCAAATCCTGGAACACCTGCTGATGTTGTTGCAGGCAGAACTGTGCCAGTGCCCTGTCCTTGAGCTTGAGAGAGACCTGTCACTACTCCAGGTGTCCCTGCTACTCCTACATTAGGCTGCACAACGGGTGTTTCTGAAGTGTCAGTCTGGCCCTGACCTTGAGCAAGGTTAGGGTTCCCACCAGCGGTACCAACAGGCGACGCATTCGCAGGCAATAGGGCATTATAAGATACTGGAGGAGGCACAGTAGCGGTTGGTGCATTTGATTGTACACCAGGTGATGGACCAGGTAAAGGTGGATTGTTAGCCTCAAGAGGGCTAGCAGAAGGTTCAGGAGCTAGCCCACTCAGAAAGTTTGGTATCGTTGCTTCAGCATCCATATTTTGGCTCGCAGCAGCAGGAAAACCCAAGTTCTGGGTGGTTCCGGATGGATTCCCTACGTTTTGATTAGCTCCTCCCGGGTAGCCCAAGTTTTGATTCCCACTAATAGGATCTCTACTGCTTTGCTTATTGCCGTCTAAATACCTGTTATTTGGATTCCAATTGGCAGGATACCTTACGTTCTGGTTTACACCGCCCGGCAGGACACCCCTTGCAGGGTAGCCCAAATATGGGTTTCCTAAAACAGGATTTCCCACATTAGGGTTCCCAACGGCAGGATATCCCAAGCTTGGATTCCCTACAGCGGGATATCCCATGCTTGGATTTCCCGTGGATGGATATCCCATGTTTGTGCCAACGGCTGGATGTCCCATGTTTGTGCCAACGGCTGGATATCCCATGTTTGTGCCAACGGCTGGATATCCCATGTTTGTGCCAACGGCTGGATATCCCATGTTTGTGCCAACGGCTGGATATCCCATGACGCCAGGTTTTGCCGCATTAAGGCCTCCTAGGACGCCTGACGTTGCTGGATATCCCAAGGCTTGTGACCCTGTTTGTGGAACAGTTTGCGCTGGGTATCCTAATACTGGGAGATTACCTTGAGGATATCCCAGTGAGGGATTTCCGACGGGCTGAGTCGCAATCTGAGGATAGCCCAGAGGAAGATTCCCTATTGATGGCAAAGCAGCAACACCTGAAGTACCCGGGAGCAGAGAATTAAGAGAATAGCCATTAGAGGCAAGTGGGTTTTGCATCAATGATGGAAATCCTTGTGTTGCGCTTTCAGAAGAGTCTCCTCCCGATAGAGTCTTCAACAAAGCAGCCGTAAGTAATATTTTACTGAGACTTGATTGGCCCTTCTTTTCAGGGGGTGCTGGTGCAGTGGCGGAAGCAGGAAGTGGTAGTACTTGAGGTTGTACTTGAGGAACCACCATGGGTTGAACTTGTACTGGCGCAGGTTGTGATGCCATCGGAGGAACTATAGCTACAACTGGCTGTGGCCTCGGTGGGGGAGCTATGATAATCGGCTGGTTACTTGGTCTCCCAGGGGGGCTTACTGGTCTAGTAAGGTTAATGTGGAGGTTGATATTGTGTGTTTGAGGCGAAGGAGGAGGAGGAGGAGAAGTCGTTGGTACGCTAGCATTGATGGAGAAGTTTGATCCTTGAGCTTTGCTGGAATAAACATTTTGTCCATTCACCCTGACGATCACTTCTTTTGGGGAACCTTTAGCATTTAAGAACTTTTTACGGTGCTTAAATATCGAATGAAAAAGATGTCTATGCCTCACATTCATTGGTACACTTCCTGGCCCTGTAAAAAAAGAGGGATAAGTCAGCTTATCTCAAGCCATGTATAATAGGTCGGTCTTAAAAACATGTGATTAGCACTGTCGCCTCAAAGGAGAGATTCTTTTTAATCCTGAGGAAACAAATGAAATTTTAAAGAAATTTATACAGGTGGGAAAGAAGTTTAACTAAGTTCAATGTATTTCAAACCTATCTTTGCCAGTCGTTTGGAACCACAGGGGAATTAATAATGAAAGGATAATGACGGCTCTTTTTGGATCAGAATAACAACATGGACCCTTTTTTTTAACTAAAAAAAGAGAAGACAATGTTGGTGTGACGGGTCATCTAAAATTAAAAAAAAAAAAGAAACTGCGATTATCAGTCGCAATTATTCTTAACAGTCATGCTTATAAAGGCAAATCACATTTGGAGTGCAAATATAGAAATATCGTCTTGAGATCGCTGCCTAACGGAATGCAGACTCTTGTCAAGAGTGAGCTGTCTTTTAGTATAAGATTTATTTATTCTTAAGTTCAAAAACAATAAAAATACACTCAATAGTTCATGATGTCACTGACTAAACATACGAATGTATTATTGTTAACTTTTACATCGCCTTACATACCATGCTTGTTGTTCTTGTCAATTTGATTCTTTCCATGACTGTATAACCTTGAATGAATTCGATGTGACGACTTAAATCGGCGGCTTTGAAGTCTCACTGATTGTGCTGCCCTTGCTATCACATGACCCAGAAAAAGCAAATGTATGGACACGCAAAACAAGGCAAATCTCATCGCTTAAATATATCGAGACTTTCCTTTTTAAACGAATAAGAAAGAAAGAAAGAGTATCTTGTTTGTGGTTACTTCTACATAGAAGAACGGCGAAATTTAATATTCAGCACCACCCGTTTCCATGCTGGTCGCTTTATTGTCCGGATTGGGCAGGTGTGACCGAATTAACCATTTGAACTTCCCCCCTGCAATTTTAGGTTTTCATCTCCTGGGCGATAAAATCACTGTGAGAGTTTTGGTCGTTTACGATTTGGTCACCCCGCGCTATTAGTAATACTTTCTGTGGTTAAGCTTTTGTTCATAAAACTGTCAACTAGGAGCTTCGGAATTCTCTTAATGGGGTAAATGTGTTATCCAGGACTCCAAGAGTCGAACAAATATTTACTTAAATAAAAGTTAACAATTCCTTTTGTCTGCATGCTTACATACCAAATACGAACAATAATATCACACTGGGTAGCTTAATTAGGCTCGTTTAATTACACCTTTTTTCCGTTATTATAACAATACCGAGAAGGCGTTTTAAAGCCCGTTGGCGAACCTGGAGGGAGGCTGATGATTCAACCTGTAAGAGGAGTTTTTTTTTTTATTCCCTATAACTCACGATCGGGAAAGTCGACTCAACTTTTTGAGTTATGATGATAAGTTAGCATGTCTTTACCTAAGTTAAATACGATCTCAAAAGTGAAATTATCGTTGTTATCAAGGTACCTATTTCCGAGAAAAAACTGCATTTACAATAACCTCTAAAATTAGCGTTTTTGGATAAAAAATCCTGCGCGTATGGTAACTTAGCACCTGATTAAACCTGCTAGTCTTTCAAACACTAGTTTTCTGCTTCGAGGCATAAATATTTAAACGAAAAGTTGGTTAATTATGTACTCTAAGTAAAACAAGACTCCCATGGAAAAATTAGTGACAGTCCAATGATGTTTATCGTTTTAAGATAGATATTTTGCTTCTCTGTATATCTTAAATATCAAGGACCTGTGGTGAGGATGTTGTTTGCCTTATTTGGGACGAAATGATTGCGAAAAGGGCCAAGGATTCTCAGGGGGCAACATGAAACGTTTATATGCCCTCCATGTGAGAGAGTTTGTGATACTATGTGTCTCTATTTTCATCTTCATGGTAACGATACATGAAGGAACTGCTTTTCGTAACAGGAAGACCGCACACCTAAAGACAATCACTTTAAAACGGAGAACCGACAAGTGGGCCGGAGCTTCACACGGAGATGGTGACCCGCAAGTCAAAAGAGCCATAGACAATGAAAATGTCAGACCCATGAAAGATACAAATGGCTATTCCATTACGAAAGTTTTAAATCACAAAAGGAATCTAATTGCTTCCTTGCACACTGGTGAAACAAAGCCAAGAAGATCCAATGGTAAGGTGCATATAATCAAGGAATTACATTTTTAATCACATGTGACCAACATATTCATATTACACGTAAACCGATCGAGGTCACACAAAGACGATTATATTCGTTTCTAATTTAAAAAAATTGTTTTATGCTACTCACGGGGCCAGTCTGTGTATGTTTCACCTGATACACTATTGTCGACATGAACAATCCGACTAATCGACGCCATATTATTGTGTCAGAACCAGAAAATTCGCATTTATAAGGCCGATAAGGTAAAATTCAGACCGCTATAGCCAATCTAAGGTATACCGTCTGTACTGCAATTTATAAAAATTCTTGGTGTCGCAGTATTTTTATGTTTAGGGCGAAGGTACATGATGCTGCTTCTGTCCAACTGGGTGAGTAACGTTAAGGACACCTGTCAAAAAGACCGGAGGCTGATGGGCTATCCTCGATTGGATAAAAAGCAATACCCTAGCTCATCTCAGGCAATAGGAACCAAAAGTAATCACAACTAATTTTTGTTTTGTTTTGTTTTTTTTCTCTACTAACAGATTTCACTTGGAAAAGAACTAACCTACCATCAGCGAGAAAGCCCTATTGGGGACATTTCCTAGGCCTACATCCTTGGTACGACCCAAACTTGTATAAAAAACAGATTTCTAACAATGAACCAGTGGTAGACGATGAGCCTTTCATTGTTTTGCCACCTGATAACACAATAAACACTAAAGATGAGGCTTTCAAACTGGACGAGGAAGCCGAAACTGCGGCACCAACGGCAAAGAAGATACCTACCACGACACCTACAACGCCTACGACACCAACAACGCCTACTACACCCACAACAACACCCACGACGCTCACGACACCGTTAACAACTCCAACTACCCTACCCCCGATAACAACCCCTCTGCCAACAACCCCACCAACCACTCCTCCGACACCGCAGCCCGCGCCGCCAACCCCACGACCTATCCCACCGCCGCCTGCACGGCCACAAATCATAGACATCCAGTCTGAAAACCCTTTACTTAAAAGAGGGACACCACCAGTTCCTGCCAACATCAATCTAAATCTTGAGATTGGGGATAACGGCGAAACGGCTGAGGCTGAACAACATGAAAATGTACCGATGTCACCAACACCACGCGTGATTTATGCTCAAACCTTGCCCGCTCCCGCAGAATCTACCCCACAGCCTTCTCCCCAAATAATCATTGCACAAATGCCTGCCGCCTCGGAAGCGTCACCAGCCGGTCAACAACCTCAAATAGTAATGGCACAACCTGCTCAAGCACAATCTCAACCCCAGTATGCCCTTGCACCTGCTCCTTCACCGCCGCCACAACCACAATACATTATTGCTCCTCCACCCCCAGCGCCAGCTCCCCCACAATACATAATTGCATCTCCACCAGAGCCCCAACCGGCTCCAGCTCCAGCTCCCGTAATTGTTCCTGCACCACCACCGGCTCCTATAATGTATCAACAACCAATGGTGCAATCACCTCCAGCCCCCGTTTACGCCCCTGCAGTGTATTTGGCTGAAGCTTCGCCACCCAGAACCGTTATTGCCACGCCTTCGTCACAAAATTTTGCTGCTCCACCTGGACAAGTGACTATAGCCGCATCACCGCCGGCAGCAATAACGGTGTCCTCGTCAGCACCTGCGGCACCAATGGGAGGACTAAATAACATGTTAATGTCCAACCCTGTTATGGGACTACCTTCGTTAAATCCAGTTTCTCCTCTTCTCTTAAACAATAGGCTTATGACACAGGGAGGGTCTTTATATCCCGGAGGCATGGGCAGTTTGCAGTCACCATTAATGCAATCTTTAGGCTTACCTTTGCCTTCGTATGCTTCCCCACTCAACCAACAATTACAATACCCTTCATCACTCATGTATCCCTCCCCTCTTTCGCTACCTGGTATCCAACAGTTCCCTAATGTCCTGTCCTCTATTGGCCAAACAGGCTATGATCCCCTTCTGTATAATGGATTAATCGGAATGTTTGCCAATGCCATTCGCTCTTCCATGACCCAGTCTCAGCCGAATGCCCTTGCATCTGCCTTGGCTCTCGCTGCAACTCAAGCTCAGGCGCGAAACCAGCCGCCAGACCTTTTAACAGCTGCTCTTGTACAAGCCTTGGCACAAAACATGCAGCAAGGTATTCAACCAATCAGTAATGATAGATTAGTACAAGCGTTGTCGCAAGCACTGTCACGGGCTCAACCTAGCGGGCAGATCCCCAACCCTGCTCCTGCCCCTGCACCTCCCGCCTCTTCGTTACCACCGCCACCAAACCCACCACAACGTTCCGGTCCTCCAGTGCCGCTATATCAAGTGGTTCCCACTGTGACGAGACAAGACGCTCCCCCTCGGGCTTCAAGGTCCAACGCAAGTAGAAATGAGTATTCTGTGAATACAGTTGGAAAGGCTTTAGCTAATGCCCTGATAAAGGCGGCAAGAAAAGTTGCCAGTCAAAACACACTTCCTGGTAAAAGACAACATAAAGGGTCTCGCCACAGACATCACAAAGCCGATAGCGATGGTCGGTATGATGATAACGAGCATTATAATGTTCGTTCATTTGTTCCTCTTTTATATGCACACTCTCCCGACTATAAGTACGAAAAACTACATGGTGTGATCAATCAATGGGAAGGAAAGGACATGATAAAATATTACGCAATGTTTCGCACATTCTGGAGGCGTGTTGTTCACCCTTGTTACTCTAGAGCCTGTTTCATTTGCCAGAGATGTCCTGAATAGTTCGTAACTTCAAGCAACCTCAGAGATAAGTAAAAAACATATTTTGTAAATACAAATTCAACCATATTCTTTTGTATAGATTCGTAAATGTGCTGCTTCAAATTTTGCCATCTTGCAACGTAAAAACAAGAGATGTAAAGGGTTTGTGTATATCTAATTGTGCCGTTGCTTACGCTGCGTTCAACATGCACGTTAAATGGACAACGGAATTTGAAGATGCAGCAGTCCCAAGACAATTAGGCCTACTTTATATTCAGGTAGTACCAAAAAAAACTGAGGAAAACATAAAGCTGAACATACCCGTAAGGTGGTCACAGGACTAACGTTTTGTAAGGTGAAAAAAAGTTTAAAATTCGTTTTCATTGACATGTTGACCAGTAAGTGTGTTGCAGAAAAAATCTGAAAAGTAGGCAAAATTTTCCTCAACACTTTTTCCCAATACGAAACGAGACGATTTCAGCAGGATTGTAGGGAAGACGTGATTTGATATTTTTACAGTTCGAGTGTAGGTAAGTGTGTGCCGTAAGCTTAATTAATTAGTCGTCGGCACTTCAGTAAAATTAAACGGTGGTTTGCAATTGTTTGTTCAAACGTTTAAGTGTCTATTTAGAGCTTGTTTCGTAAGTAGCGCCTAAAGCTTGTCTCTATGTGATAAAACATTACCTATGTTTAGTGAAGGCGGAGAACTGTGTTTTCTCTCTAAGCGAGGTTTTGAAATGAAGCACCTGTCTGGTCGATTCTGATACATTTTAGGAATTAGGAATGGATGTTCAACCACAACTATCTTGGTTTCAAAATACAAAGGACTTCCACGAATTTCCACGATTAGATATGGATTTTACAGTAAATATTTTTGTAAACTGAAATACCGATATTTTCGAATGTACATCGCGTAACGCACTGAGAACACTATTACCCAATTGTGCTCAAATGTGACCGGTGCCTAAAGGTGCCTTTTTAAGAATATTTCAAAAAAACTATAAAGCTTCCAGTCAAAGGGATGCCGCGGAGTCTATTAGATAGTTCACTCGGAGTACTCTTGTAAGCTCCTAAGTTTAGATAACAAAATAATGAAAGTTAACTCACGCCTACTGTAAAAACAAATATCAATAATTTTCTTCTTTTTCGTGAAAAAGGTGGTTACCTGGTGACTAGCACTCTTAATTTGGGGCCGAAAGGTTAGGTTTTGAGCCCTGGTCGGTTTAAAGTGTTGCATTCCTAAGAGGCGGGGAGGGGCACAATATGTCAAACAGAGGGTACTCACCAGTTATCGCCGTCTGAATATTGTAGGTTGTTTGCTTAAAAAAGGCTTACAAAGGGGAGGTTACGGGCACGACAGAAAGTCCCCCCCCTCCCCCCTAGTTGCGCTCTTGAGAAGAAAAAATGCTTTTGGAAAACCAGCGATTAACTAGCATCACATTCGAGGGAAGTGACAACATTCCTAACCACTTTATGCTGCGGAAACCAAAATAAACCCCAGCCAGATGAGCCTCTAGTATAGCGAACAAACTCGTTATTAGTAAATACTTTATTGTTTGTATTGAGATTGTGCCGACTTGAGATAATAACAGTTGCAATGCTGTTACAGATATGACTACGTAATAGTTATCGTAATTTCAAACCATGCAGGCCTTTGCAAAGCTTAAGGAAGAAAAGGTAGGAAAAATGCTAGTGGAAGTTGTGTCTTCTCCAACGAGCAAATTTTTTACTCGTATTCCTACAAACAGTGAAAAACTGAGGGAAAACTGATATTGAATTCTGAGGACTAGAAGAGTAGGCAGTGCGCTGATTCACGAGCTGACAAACAGGTTAGAAGGCTATACAGAACTTCTCATTCTAGTTGTGGAAGGCAACGTTACGAGTTTTTTTTTTATCCTCTGTGACTTCTCAATATGGCCAAAGTCTTGAAGTTGGAAATTTATAAGAAACGCAAAGAAAACGCAAGAAACCTGTAACCCACACCGTACAAAACAGCCGCAAGAACAGACAAAGAAACATAATTTGGTTTAATCCGCCCTTCAGCATGAATGTACAAACAAACATCGGCAGAGAGTTTCTGAACCTCGTCAGTAAACATTTCCCGAAAAATCATCGGTACAGCAAAATTTTCAACAAAAACAATATGAAAGTTAGTTGTAGCTGCACAGACAACCTACAAACCATAATTAAGAGGCACAACAGAAAAATCCTCGAAACAAGCAAGACACCCTCCACGGAAAACAAATGCAACTGCAGGAAAAACGACTGCCCTCTGAAAAACAACTGCCTCACTTCAAGCGTCGTCTACAACGCCAACGTAACAACAGAAAATGACACAACCAGAAAGAATTACGTTGGACTTACTGAAGGATCTTTTAAGCAACGTTACACAGAACACAAACTTTCTTTTCGGAACAGAAACTATTCAAACAGCATGGAACTATCAAAGCATATCTGGACACTCAAAGACAGCAACGCCAATTTTACAATAAACTGGAGTGTTTTTGCGACCGCCCCGGCTTACGGCAACAAAAGCAAGCGGTGCCACTTGTGCCTTACAGAAAAACTTTATTTAGTTAGAGCTAAGAAACCGTCTTTCTTAAAAAAAAAGAACAGAACTCATTTCTAAATGCCGCCACGAGAACAAGTTTTACTTGGCAAATTTCACAAGCCGATAACAATAGCTCTATAGAATTTTTATTTCTCACATAGATCAGATCATCACACTAGTGAATTAATTAGCTACTCATTTAATTTGTATATAGGGAGGTATGTTCTTCATTGAATAAAGTTCTGTCTGACGAGCGCTTAGGCGCGAAACTCAGAGTAACAGAGAATCGATGCGTCGTCTTTGATTCCTTCACTTATATATAATATTTATTTAATATACTTTTATGCTATTGTTGCGCTAGCAGAATCTCAATAGGAAGTTACTCTGAGCAAACGAAATTAATGTATATCCTATGTTGATTAATGGGTGTCTTCAATCTTAGACTCTTCAGCTGCGGAATATGAAGAACGTATTTTCAAAACTAATAGTTAAAAATTTGTAATACTTAAAGGCACAAGAAATCTTTAACATTCTCTCTCTAGCCTTTAAATGTTTTCTTTCGGCTCGTTTTGTTAAAAATGGTTCCCTTTTTTGCACCAGATTTCGTAGAATCTGCTTCTTCTTTTACCTTGTTTCCTGGTGCAGGTACCATCAACACTGTTTCTGCATTGCTGTCATCAGCAAGGTCGGATGGTGGGTTAGGCAGAAAGAGCGGCACGGAGCGTTGTCCCTGAGTATCAAATGTATAGCCGGGAACAACATCGGGGTTATCATTTGATCCTTTCGGTTTCACAAAGTCATTTTCAGGCTGATCATCTGCCAAATTCCCTTCCATATTAGCGGTATCTGGTCTTGAATAGGCTGGTCCTTTCCATTGTGTAAGAGCTCTTTCAAGTTTCCAATTGAAATCGAAGGGTGCCTGTGACTGACTTAGGAGAGGCGATTTCCAGTCTAAATTGTGTATGTTTTCCCCATTTTTCTTGAGAACGCCTTGACCTAATTTAGCAGGATAACCATGATTACTTAGATTGTCATCATTAAATTGTTCATTTGCCTCACCCCTCCAACGTGAACCATAACTATGGCCTGTACTTGTTTTGTCATGAATTGCCGATTGTTCCTCAGCCGCTGAATGGATTACTTTTCCGATGGAGTTTAAAGAAAGATTCGGCAGAGTCAGCATGTGGCTATTTCTTCCTGGGACTGTCGCATCAAAACCATTTTCTTGAACACCCCCTGGAACATTTTTGTGAACATCTCGATTAGTGCTAAATGTAGCCCGTTCCTGCAAAAGAGAATTCTGAGGTGCCTTAACATTTTGCCGTAAATCAGCTCTTTCTCGTTCGGCTGATGTAGGAGAATGTAGTATCCTTCCCTCCTGGTGAGGCCCAAATGTACGAGAACTAACCATTACTCGCCCTTTCGGGGAAGGGGTGCTATCAAACTGTTGCTTGAGTAAACCTGTCTGCATGGTATCTAAGCCGCCAAGTAATCCTGGAGTGAAATTTGAGTCGCTTTCTCCATCCTCATTTCGTTCCCCGTCAACAATGGACTTCCCCGCTTCCGAATATGATTCTTCTCCATCAGATAAACTATGAGTGCCTTTTTCGAGCTGCTCGTTTTCTGGCGTAGCCAGTACAGCTTCTTCTGGAAATTCCGAGTAGCTATGGCTTGCAAACCCCGGTATAGACTGTTGGAGTATTTCTGGGAAGCCATTCGCGTTCAATGAAAAAGTTGAAGACTGAGATCCTTTCTGGCCGGTTTCATTTTCCTCACTCCCTTCGTCTCTTGGCATCTCCTCTGTGGGTTTCTCAGAGGATCCCAAAGCCTCTTGACTACGAAGAATATTCAAAGTTGCACTGACAGTGTTTGGCTGATTTCCGACTTCCTGCCACGACCTTGCAGGACCATTACCTGTGTATGAAGCCTGTCGGCTTGTATCATATGGAGCGTTTGTACCGGTTGAGACTTTGTCTGGGAACTGATCTACCTCTTGAGAGAGTTCCATCAATGATCGTGGTGGGCCCTTTGGAAAAGCGAGCAATGGAAAGCGTCGAAAAATTTGCTGTGGTACAACGGGAGTATATGGTAAGGGCCATGGTGCAATTCCCGGTGAAACGTCTACGCCATACGATCTAGGCGCTATTGAATATCCTTTGCTCAAGATCTCGTTCATTGGATCCTCCACGGGATAGACTATTTGTGTTCTTGGGTCGTTAGCAACTGAAAAAAAGAAAAGAAGAGAACGATTTTAGATCCTATATGAAATAACGCTTCGTATTTAGAAAACTTCGTGTTGATCTTCTATTTCCATTTATTTCGTTTTTGAGGAATACTCACCTGAAACTGTTTTCTTGCTGTGAATATCTGTCTCATTTAAATGTGCTTGTGTGCCTCCCGCTTCTATCTTCGAATATTCCCTTTGGTTTGTGTCCAATAATTTAAAACTTGACTTAAACTTTCTTTGGCG